GCCAAGTTGCTAATGACGCAGTTGGGAGCATAAGAACAGTTGCTTCTTTCTGTGCTGAAGAAAAGGTAATGGAACTATACAGAAGGAAATGTGAAGGTCCTACAGCGGCAGGAAAAAGACAAGGCTTGATCAGTGGATTAGGATTTGGGATATCTTTCTTCTTCCTGTTTTGTGTCTATGCAACCAGTTTCTATGCAGGAGCTAAACTTGTTGAGGCCGGAAAAACGACATTTGCTGACGTTTTCCAAGTAATTATTCCCTCCATATCTATCAATGCCAATCCTAAAGTTTTGGAAACATGCAGAATTGGCATCTGACCTGATTCATTGCCTACCAATTTTTTTGACACCAAAGCATGTGTAGTTGAATATCATATGTGTGTTTGGCTTGCAGGTTTTCTTTGCTTTGACCATGGCAGCTACGGGAATTTCTCAGTCAAGCTCCTTTGCCCCAGATACTAACAAAGCCAGGATTGCTGCTGCTTCCATATTTGCAATAATAGACCGCAAGTCAAAGATAGACCCAAGTGACGAGTCAGGTGTGAAATTGGATAATGTAAAGGGAGAGATTGAGCTTCGCCATGTAAGCTTTACATATGCATCTAGGCCAGATGTACAGATTTTCCGAGACCTCAGTTTAACTATTCATTGTGGCAAGGTAAAAATTTCATCATTGAATTGGGTTTCAATTTATTTTTTATTTAAATTTGATGACACATTGATAAAGTTTAAGTCTTAATGTTGTGGCTGTGTTTGTGAATCTCTTTTACAGACAGTTGCCCTGGTTGGAGAAAGTGGGAGTGGAAAATCCACAGTGGTAGCATTGTTGCAAAGATTTTATAATCCGGATTCAGGTCATATCACGCTTGATGGAACTGAACTTGAGAAATTTCAATTGAAATGGTTGAGGCAGCAGATGGGGCTTGTGAGCCAAGAACCTGTTTTATTTAACGACACCATCCGTGCCAACATTGCTTATGGAAAAGATGGGGAAGCAACTGAGGCAGAAATTATAGCTGCATCAGAGTTGGCCAATGCCCACAAGTTCATTAGTAGCTTACACCAGGTTAGAACATTGATGAAGTTAATAATTTGTAGACACATACAACTAAACTGAGCTGACCTTGTGTTGTTATGAACTTATAATGTTCTTATTGCTGCAACATTAATCCTAATGCATTATGCAGGGCTATGACACCGTAGTAGGAGAACGTGGAGTGCAATTGTCTGGGGGGCAGAAGCAACGTGTAGCCATCGCACGTGCTATCATCAAGAGCCCTAAGGTATTACTGTTGGATGAAGCTACAAGTGCACTTGATGCTGAATCTGAGAGAGTAGTTCAAGATGCATTAGACAAAGTGATGGTAAACCGGACCACGGTGGTGGTCGCCCATCGACTATCCACAATCAAGAATGCTGATGTGATTGCAGTGGTTAAAAATGGAGTTATCGTAGAGAAAGGCAAGCATGATACTTTGATTAATATCACAGAGGGATTTTATGCATCCTTAGTTGCTCTTCACATTAGCGCTTCAACTACATGAGCCCTTTGCACACTTGTCTTTTCCTCTGTAATGCTTTCGTCAAAACTGCCACCTTTTCTCACCAAAGACTAGAGAGAAAATGGCATTGCCAACACTCCCCCACCACTCTTTTCCAATTAGGCAACTAGTTATGTTTCTTCTTTCTGGCTTTTGTGTATTAATTTTTTGTGGTGTAATCAATGTATTTAGTATATCTTCTAGTAGTCGGAAGACTAAAACTGCTATTTGATGTGGCATGGCAAATAGTTTTCTGTTATTATATTGGTATACTTGTTTGAAAATAAATGAATTCCTCACATTTTTTAAGATTTCAGTTCGAAGTTTGTTTTTTCATTCTAAAATCCTTTCAAAATAGTTTGAGAGCAATTGCAAGTGAGTTTTACTCTATTTCATGTAGTTGTCATCTCTTCTAGAAGTCACTTGAAATTCACGTCATAGGTGGGTAGGTTGTATTTTCACAAATGAATTGCAACTTATCCACTCGTTTTTGCTCAACTCCCGCTTTAATCGTCAACTCTCTCTCTCTCTCTCTCTCTCTCTGTGTATTAATTATTATTATTATTATTGGTTTTCAAGCTTCAATTCAATGTGTGGATGGATCATGGATAGTCAACAACAACCGGCCGATACCAAAATGAAACGTCACGCATGACGACCCCAAACAAAACCCATAATATCAAATTCGAATCTGTGTCATTGTCGTGAATAAACACGGGATTATTGCTGAGATGAGATGTTTAACAATACTAATTAATTTACTCTTTGCATTCCAAGCAAGCTATCTGTTTGCTTCGCTGTCCCACCGCAATTGAAAAGTCTGCTTTCCATTCCTTCCTTCCACCTTGTATAATATATTATACATGATGAATAATAAATAAATAAATGATGTGGAGTTTTGCACACTTAGTACCTGTCATAATCTACTTGGACTTGTACACTGTCCACGGGACAACAGACACTTTCTCAAATGTCTATTAAATTATACAAAGGATAAATTATAACAATCCATGTAAAAATGTTTAAAAAACCATCACAACTTGCAAAAGAGTCGTCCAAAGCATACGTATTTCCTTGATCCGGGATGCACTATCCAAAGCATGTTCAAACACTCTCTCACTCATTCTGTAACCACATTACATTGCCTTGAGGCTTGAACGGAAACACTTGTCAGGCATCCTCCTAACACTGTTCGGAAAATTAGCATTCTGAAATAGAACTATAATGCAAGTCCTAACTTTATCCTTCACACGAGTGTCGGAACAAAATACTCCTTGATTACGAGATTTATCCACAAACTTTGCCAGTCCATTTAGACACAAGAAAAAGATTCATGTTGGGAACAACCCTCCATCAAATCTCCCATATCCTTTTCCTACAGATCCTAAATTCAGGAGAAGCACCCACCATGTTTAAAAGTTTACCAGACTCAGACAAGCAAGTAACGAAAGGTTCCATAACCATGACAGAAACTCAAAGGTTCTAGAAGAGGTCCCTTCCAACACCAATCCATAATCATCAATATGAGCATAGATGTTCAAAGGAATTATACCCAAATGCATAACAGGACCAATCCCACCATGAAGAGATTCGTTTACAAGAAGCTCCACAATATTTGCCTTGGTTGGAAAATTAGGAAACATATTTACTTCAGATGGCAACGGAGCTTGTTCGGTTGTCCAAACTGGCTAACACTTGCCTAAAAGGCTTACGAGACCTCAAGAACCCAAAACTACGTGGAAAATTATCCATAGTCTATGATTTCCTAGCAGCTAGACACATGCCTATAAACACGTGTTCATTCAATAGAAAGAGATCTCTCTTGGTGGATCCACAGAGAAACATCCACAAGCTCTGGTTTTTTAATGGCCCTGTCCACAGGAACAGACTGCAGCTAAGGGAACACAAGTATCATCCTCATGTACATTAATATCTTCACCACACAATCTTAACATCGTCTGTTAAGAATTAGGATTGCAAGAAACTCTTGGGACTAACAGAAAATGTTCTTGAATTATTTATCAGAGTCTTCCCTCAAGAAAATTACTAGAATGTCCTAAGAGGCACAACAACACACTAGCGAAAAATTAAGCTCCCTATCTAAGAAAGCTTGGTCGACCATAACAACACAACCTATGACCTCAACCAGCTTAGCAAGAAAACTTATCCCACAAATGCAAAGGGAAGGAAATCTGACCCAACCAGCTCATTTATCCAACCTAAAATTACTAGGATTAAAACATGAGCGCCCCCTTTGAAGAGAGATGATAAGCCCTTATTGTTCCAGGGCCCATCTTCTGACACATAATCCAAATCATCCGAGTCCGAGTCCACTCAATGGAACCAAGCAGGTGACAACAATGAGTTAAATAAATAAAAAAAATTGGAAAAAAAAAATTTGAAAAAGGGATAGGAATGCATGAAAAGAAAAAGGCATGAGTAACCCAATTGTGACCTCCAACCCTCATAAATAGCGAACAACCTATCTAGGATGACTCCATACATGTTTAAAGAAAGATATTAATAATAATTTGAATATTTCCCAAAGAAATGGAGGCATCAAAACAATTTCCTTCAATTTATAATTTCTTAAATTTGCTTATATAAAGTCACAAAAAATCATAACAAGAACTCACAAGATAAAAGTTGACCTCATTTTTTGTTTTTGGAGAAATCTAACGAGACAAAAATAAATCAAATATAGAATAACAAAAAAGAAATGAACTGCTCTTCTTGCATTTTTAGCAGCATAATTAATAATAATGCTACATATTCTTCTATCATGCCTTTTTCCACAGATAAATAGCTAACTAATTCAATCTTTCTTGTGATATGCTTTTTTCCTTATGCAACAACTGTAAAAAGTATGACCATAATGTTATGTAAGCAATCCATGCAGTTAAAGTCGAAAGATATGAGTAGTCAATGATTCACGCTGTAGAATTTCGACTTGGATTGAGGGCTTCTATTTGAGGTTTAAGTAAACATCAAATTCTTTTCCTTAAGTTCCTTCAGCTAGCCTTTTCTTTTCGCCAAAGGTAATATAAGGTTAAACATAAATGGGAGTCCTCACCAAGATAAAATATTTTGGGTCCACGGCGTCTGCCTCACTGGACTCCCCTAAGGGTTGGCCCTGCTTCCATACCAGAAAATAATTCACTTATAATGCATTAAACTAGATATCCTTGAGTATTTATATATATTTGACTGAGGCATGCCATATACGATGAAATAAGAGCTTGCGTTTGAGGCCTTTTAAAGACCATGTCACAAATCATATCCTACTCTAAGTTTTTATATGTTCTTTTTCTTCTCCGTTGCAATACATATTTTATAAATTTAAGGTGGAATAGATAATCCTAAATCCCGCTCTGTGTATATTGAAAATCAAAAGGCAAGGAAAGAATAAAGTAGTTCAATCAATATTAATTGCTCCTTAAAGATAAAGAGAACAAAACTGCTAGTCATCTTCACTCTCGTCACTATAGGAAACAAGGCCTGTCTTCGCAACAACACTGGACTTATCAGTATCACTATTAGGTGTCTTCATTACCTCTAAATTTTTGTCTGTATCTACATTTGGGGTTGTCACTGTGTTCGTGGGTTCTTCAACACCTCCCTGATCAATTTTAGCTTTCTTTGCTTGTGGCTTCACCTTAATAATCATACCTAATGGACGAGGAGGTGGATTCCTCTTCCCAGATGATTTCTGTTCCTGCAAGCAGAAGGTTTCATTCAGAAATGTGAACTAACACTTCCAACCATCATAATCACCACAAAACAGTGGGAGATGGTATCTCTCCTCGCTCACTCTCATATTCCTCATATTGAGATACCAACCTGTATTATAGGAACAGAAGGTGTTTCCTGAAGCTCTTGTACAATGCTAGACTTTGCTACCACGGCTGCCTGATAAGAGCAACTGGTGTGAAAAATTCTGACGCCCAAGAAGAATTTTATCTTGAAAAACTAAGTGTATGGCTATGGCCCCAATATAGTATGAGATAATCATGCATACTTGAATTTCAACAGATGAAAGATCTTAAATCCCTGAAGCATACGCATATATGCATAAACATGCATACATAGAGGTAAGAACTAAGTATATGCTAGCCAGATGGACTGCTAACTATATTCTATAAAGTTTTGCTTCTCACGAGCTTTAAAGAAAACTTTCTCATGTGAACCGTTTTACCAAATTAAATAGAGAGCTTAAAGATAATCCAAAAAGCTTTGAAACTGCCAAATTCTAGCATACTGTCTAAGAAAAATAAATAAACCAAAACCTTAAACATTTCTTTTTCTGAAAAGAAGTAAACCTCAAACAAAACACCTTGGAAAGTAAAAGTAGTCAAACTATCCCAAGATGGTTGGAAAACAAACCTGGAAACTCAGAAGTTGTTGGGCTTCCTCATCTGCAATCTTTCGCTCATATTCCTTCCTTGACTGAAAAACAATGTAAAGAAAATAACACGTGTGATAATATGCAGTATCTCAGCTGTGCACCCAACTTGACTGTCTAACTGCTTCACCCAACAGTAGTTATCAATGTTTTGAAATTAAAGAAGAGTAAGTAAGACTCCAGTGAACATATCCTACTTAACTACCTCTACAAACTACAAATTCCTGTTAGGAAGTGAAAATCCATAGACACTTTATATGCAACAAGTAAATATTTCAAATGAACTGCAAATAACACTGATGACATGGATGACTAAGAAACATAGAGTGTTGTCTCACATTCTCTAAAGTATCAAGGAACTCGGTCTCGTCATCGTCCAAGGCTTTGGGTGGTCCTGCAAAGAGCTAAAAAAGTGAGTGAGCTCTGAGCACAGAGCAATAGCAAAATACTTTGCCTGTTTTTCATCAGACAAAATGCAATGGAGGCCAAAGAAAGGGTCATCTCATTTTCATACAAGTATTGAAAGAAATGAAAGTTTGAGCTTTGAGCACTCACTGTGCTTGAAACGTTCATTGAACTCTGCATCCTTCTTGTCTTTATTTTCTTTTAAAATCTGCATTGAATAGAAACAAGTTTTTTTTCATGGCCCAAACAGATGAGAGGGATTTTAATTAAATTCAGAGAATGAAAAAAGTAGAGGAGAACCTCGAAAAGAGGTCTGTCTCTCTGGGCAGTTCCATCCTCAACCCGTTCACCCCTTGTTCTCTTGGCTTCATCCAACTGTCAAAAATCAGGGAAATGCACGCATTATCATCATTGATCAATAGGATTTTTAGGGTTTTTAGGGTTTTCAGAGAGATAACAGTAGTTCCAGTACCTGTTCCTCAGAAACGAAGCTCATAAGCCGGGGCGGGCGTGTGAAATCGTCATCCATTTCTCAAAATCCTAAGAAGTCACAATTCTTTTACCTTTGGCTATGAGATTTTGGGGTCTTTTGCTTCCACAACCATAAGCTTTTTCTGTTGTGTCTATTTCTATTGCTACACCTACACGCCTATAATTAACGAACAAACATTTAACAATTTTTTAAATATTTTACATTTCTTTATTCAGACATTCACCTACATTAGGCCCATTCAATCAATAATCTCCCTATTTGGATAGCTCAAACTAGCCCATTAAATTCCCCGACTTCGCTTGGGCTTTCGACTTTCCTTGGTCTCTGGACACCCGAATTTTTGTTACAAATTAATGAAAACTTTATCCTAGTTTTTTTTTCTTCCCAAAGTTAGGAAGGGGGAGGGTTGGGGTTCGAACCTAAAATTACTGGTCTGTAAGTCAATGTCATTTTTTATTGGATTAGATCCCGAAAACTTTACCCCTTCGGTTAAGTTCAACTTAAGCTTGAATTTGAAACTGCAATGAGATGTTATGATTCCCGTTGATTTACTTAGGCCTCAAATTAGCCGCACAACCAAACTAAACCCACTTCATTTAGTGATTGGTTTACTTTGGTTTGGTTTATTTCCATTTTTAAGCATGCAAGTAAAAATTCCATGTTCTCTAGGATATATCAAAGAAAACTTTATACCGACCAATAGTTTAGAGAACTTTATACCAAAAATGTGGAGAAATTTTGTGAGAGGCTGAATTCCTATAGGTTAGGGATTTTGCTTTTTAGTTGATATATAGTCTAGGATGAAACACAATAATAAATGGTAATTACCAATTAAAAAATGTCATCATAAGAAATTAGAACATTAATACAGGAATGAGTCCGTTTATGCAGTTTTCAAATAGGCCAACTTGATCATCAAACTCTTCATAAATTGTGGTTTTGCTCCATTCATTTTTTTGTTATTATTATATGAAAACCAAACCAAACCACCCAAATTTGTTGATTTAGTCGACTTAAACGGTTTTCTGCCGACCCGAAACGTACTAGGATAATTTTATCTACAAGTCATTGTGAATAACTTGACGCCAATAGTTAAGCTAGGGTAGAGCTTAAGATGTTGAAGTGTGTGCCAATTACCGAGCTTAAGCCACTCAGTCTGAAAGAACGGTGTTGAATCCACGAAATCTCATTTTGTGTATAAAAAAAAGAGCAAGGCCAAAACTGAGCCAAAGCAATTCATGCAATATCAATGTCACACAAGCTTCATCTCAAACATTCAAAATGCATGCTCATATAGCTTTAGAATACATCCATACTGCTATGACTGGAGAAGTTGGGCGCACTTGGGTTACTTTTGAACTACCAAGTATGTCCTCCGTTGAAAGGGTTTGTTGCAAAGGAAACTAGCCAAATTTGCATATAAAATGAGGCTAACACAACACCACCGAATTCAGCAAAAAGGCATGTCCATCCCCCTTCCAATAGTTATTAAAATGAACATTCAAGTCGATATTCATCTAATGGAAAAACCCATATCATAAACAGAGTCCGGTAAATTCTAATATTAACTAATCTAACTAGCGAATACATTTTAAGAAGAAATCACAGAGGATAACTAAGTATTTCGGATTCGATTCTTTCGGGTGCCTGCGAGAGATAATGATTCTAATTTTGAGTAACAATCATTCAAGCAGGAGCATTGGCTAAAAAAAGACCCATAACCAAAATGTGCAACTCCAGACTGAGTCCATTAGATTGTTAAAATCAGCTGATACTACTTGTTAATGTCTAAAATCTAAATGATAAAAACCATCCAAGAAACCGATAGCACCATCCACTTCCTACTCAATACACATGAGCGCCCACATAGAATTCATGGATCTTAAATTCACAAGCAGAACACAAACCCAGTAACCTTCCTTGCAAAAGGTTGAGTTGTGGCTGTGTCCATGGTGCCATTATAGCGGGACCAGATTGACAACAAATTGGGTCTCTTAACCATATAAAAGCGCTAGATTTTCCAAAGCATAATCAAATAAAGCTAATTTGTGTCTCAAATAACTTAAAGCGAAAAATAAGAGCCCGGTATATGATAATATAATAGCATTTAAAAACCAGCACAAAATCACTGTCTGAAGATCCAATCCAGTGCGTAAGACACTTAAAACACATTAAACATATCCATACTTGAAATTGGGAAAATTTGAAAATTAAAACTCATCAGATCGTTGTTCGCTAATTTTACTACCAAAACAGAAAAATGAACTAGTTTTATAACCAACCAGAAGAAAATCAGTCGACGTTCTGCATAATATCTTCGGCTGTGAACTTAGTACCCTTGTCCTTGTCTGCAGCGGCACGACCCTTGGCCTTGCGATCCAGCAGGGCCTTCCTATCCTTGTCCAGCCTGAGCTTGGTGATCACCACCTTGGATGGGTTGATGCCCACGTTCACCGTCGACCCATTGACCTTCTCCCTGGTGATGCGCTCTATGTGGATGACCCATTTGCGCCTGTAAACCTGGACTACCTTGCCCTCGCGACCCTTGTAGGTCCCGCGCACCACCTGAACCTCGTCATCCTTGCGAACCGGCATGGACCGGACATTGTACTTGGACCGGAGGTCTGACGAGATAGGCGAGCTCATCAAAACACGGCGGACGCTCGACGGCGCCGTGAAATGAGCCTTTCGGTTCTTGCGGCGAGAACTGGTCACTCTTGGATTGTACTTCATCTTCGCTCTCCTAGGGTTTGCTCTCTCTGTGACGGCAAATAAGAGAGTGAGGTTTGGCTTAGGGTTTTCTAGGTTCCTTTATAAAGAGGAGTTGGGAATGAAACGACGACGTATGGGACACTATACAAAAAAGAATATCATGGACGGGTTTCAAACTAAAAGAAAAGGCATAAAATTTCGGGAAAAAAATAGAGAAAAGAAGAAAAACCATAAATAAATACTAATATAAAAAATTCAATTGAATTCCTTCTTTTATTAAAAACAAAAATAAAAAAGAAGTATACAAAATGCTTAATGGACTTCATATACTTTTGCTAAGGTATAGGGTAAGGATCAAATCAGTTCGGTGTGATTAGGGGTGTTCAATGTCTGGATTGGATCGATTTCATCTCAAAATTACGATCGAACTAATTACAATATAATAATTTGGTTCAGTTCAATTTTGACAAACCGTATAGCTGCACGTCTATACTATTTATATATACAAAAAAGTACGCGCTAGGACCTAGGTGCCACGTGTGAAACAAGTAAAGCCGGTTGGCTATACTATTTCGTAAAAAAATTCAAAAAGAATCTAGTATAGCCAGTCGGCTGTACTATATGTATATATAAAGACCCACCCAGCGCCTATGTGCCAGGCGTCAAACGAGTACAACCATGCGGTGATACTTTTTTTAAAAACAATTAGAAAAACGAGTATAGCCGCAGGCTATACTATTTTTAAAAGCAAACAAGAAAAACTGATGTATACTAACAAGAAATAGTATAGCCGACCAGCTATACTTAGTTTTTCCTTTATGTGCTTTTAAAAATAGGATAGCCATGCGGCTATAACCCTTTTTTGATTTTTTTTATAAATAGTATAGCCGGACGGCCATACTGGTTTGACTCATGGTGCATAGGCGCTGGGTATATATAGTAGCCGAGCGGCTATACTAGATTCTTTCTAAAAAAAATTGAAGACATAGTCTAGCCATGCGGCTATACGCTTTTTCCTATTTTTTTTTCAAAAGTAGTATAGCCGGCCGGCCTTACGCGTTTGACACATGGCACCTAGGCCCTGGCGCGTCCTCTTTTGTATATATGAATAGTATAGCCGTGCGGCGATACTCTTTAAAATGAAAATTTAATCGAAGTGTCATCAACCTTCGTCGCGACAGGTATGTTTAAAAAAATATTTAAAAAAAAATTAGTTTCTTTACTTTTGTTTTTTGGCCTACTTCTTTAATTTAATATATGTAATTAAGTAATATGTTAGCCTTTTTTAATTACTTTAATTAGTAATTATATTTTAAACAAAAAATAGAATAATGAAATTAAATATGGCGTTTGCTCCACTAGTATACAACTTTCTAAATCAAAGTCCTAGCACTAGTGAAATTTGTGTGTTTATCTATACGGCTATACAAGAATGGTGATATGAATGTTCTCTGCAAATTTACAGGGGCAAACTCAAAACATTATATGATATTTGAATTTTAAAAATAATTCAAATAATTAATTAACTAATCGGGTTTTATTTAAATCACATATCCCAAGAGGCCCAAGGCTAACCTTCTGATTAAATAAATAAATATATATATATATATTACTTAACCATTACACACATAATTCTAACATATTATTGAATACAAATGATATATACTAAAAAGAAATCATATAGCCGCCCGGCTATTCTTAGTTTTTCCCTTATTTGCTGTTAAAAATAGTATAGACGGGCGGCTATACTCTTTTACAGACATGCGGCTATACTCTTTTTTATTTATTTTTATAATAGTATAGCCACATGGCTGTACTTGTTTGACTCGTGGTGCAAAGGCTCTAGGCTGGTCTTTATATATACATATATGGTAAATTCACACTTTTTCATATTAAAAAAATTAAAATTAAAAGAAAAATTAGATAATAGATCATATTTTTATGGAACACAACAACCCAATATATTTTTTAATTCTAAATTAAATTTTAAAAAAAACCTCTCACAAGTGCGGAAGTGCGTGCGGAGAGCCTAGTATTCATTAAAATAAATTTAACCAACATAAACCAAACCATCCGTCCGATATGGTCAATATGTAGATTTTTTAGATCAAATGCCACTCCTTACTTACACTTAAGAATTGATAGTTCACACATGAATTATTCTTCCAACAAAAAAGGAGTAAGGACATTTTGAGATTGATTTGTAAAATTTCCATATTTTATATTTTATTAGGGAAGAACTTATGACCCAAGCTTTAGGGGAAAAAAGTACAACTTTTATAATTCAAGTTTTAACAAACAATTTGAGCTTAAACCAAGCTGAACTTGTCTTGTGAAAACATATGAGCTGCTCATTAACTTCATGAGCCAAGTATATTAAAGTTAAAACTTGGGTCGCTTAATAAAATAAGCTTAATATTGTGTTTGAACCACATATGCCCTAGCATAATCGGTAAGAATTTAACAGTAAGGTGATGACCATGCATGTCGAATACCTTTTTGGCATGAAACCGCCAAACCTGCCTCTTGCCAAACTAAATGGCCACACCAAACCTTCCTTCGGGAAAGGATAAGGATGGCAATGGGTTGGGTAGAGGCCGGGTATAACAATATCATCCCCGTTCTCGCTCTCCATTCCCACCCCCGCCATTGAACCCATCCCCATTTAATAGGTTTTGGTGAATTTCCGTCCCCGTTCTCGTCGGGGGACTATCCCCCATACCCGCCTCGAATTCTCCATTTTTTTTGCATAAAAAATATTTATCATACATTTTAATATTAAGTTTCATATTAAATTATCATTGAACACATCCAAATTAACTATAAAGTTTAATTCAAGTATTTAAAATAACATAAATATGAAATTCCAGAGAAGATTAGGAAGAATTAGGAAAGGGAGGTTAACTTAGGGTTAAACATAAATATTATAATTATATATTTATTTAAGTATAAACATATATATTTTTGGGTCGAGTTCGGGTATGGGGATGCCAATACTATCCCCTCCCCATAACCGTCGGGGATTTTTCAAGTTTAGAGATTTCCGTACCTGATACCCATTTGACCCTGAAATCTCCTCTTGTTAAGGTTGGGAACTCAACGAGGACCCGCTTCTGCAATGATTTTTGCCATCTCTAGGAAAAAAGAAGGCGCTCACCTTCGGTATGAAGAAGGAACGAAGCTCCTTTTTCGGCTAGTCACTTGCCATACAACTTTTAGACAAAGCGCTTGTGTGCCACTAAACCCTAGGGACACATGTCGGCACGACAAGCAATGCTATTAGTCCTATATCGAAGAAATCGCAAGGGATGCTTCCCACGTCGTGTCTATAAATAGGGTAGTTGCCCCAATGCAACAATAATATTTAATTATCACGTTTACTCTTACTTAATCGAATTAATCCCTCAACCCACACTAGTGCTAATTCAAACATCGAAGTGCCTTCATTTAGGACCACATCAGTGCCTAAGTTCTTACCGTGCCTTCATTTAGGAACAAATTTAACTCGTTTTACTTACAACCAAGTTGGAGCATGCCAACAAAATGAGCGGAATGCAGCTAGAGCCGGTCAGTCACTGAGCTGAGGAATTGGTGTTGGACTGCTAGTAATTTGGTTTACAAAAGCGAGCGCCAAGCTACGACGTCGTTGGATGGCCACGTCAGGAAACACCGTTGGCTTATATGAGTTGGTTGTTTCCAATCAAAACAAGAAGCGGTGCCAAGCATGCAAGGCAGTGACAAAAATCTTTACCGCAAATGGGTTCCCAAATTTCCATGTCCAAATCCTCCTAAAACGTAAAACGTAAAACGTATACATAAGAAGAAAAAAGATTAAGAAAAACACGGGGCAAAGGCCAAGAAGGACAGAAAAGAAAGCTTCTTCAAGTCAAGAGGGTCTTTGATTAAAAAAAAAACTCAAATTCTCTCATTCTCAATCCTCCTCAATCCTCCAGTCTTCGCCAATTCTCTCTCAGCGTCAGTCTCAGGTACGCCAATTTATAATTTCTTCTTTGCTTCTTGATTTAATTCCAGCTGAATTCCGATTCTCAATGTATTATATAACCCTAGATCCTTTCCCTGATTACATTTACATTCATAGATAGTCCAATTGAATCAATTCGCAATTGTGAATTTCTCCTTGTCTTAGATTGACTTCTGTGTACAAGAGCGGATATCTAAGCAGTGAGAAGAAGCTTCTACTGTAAAATGATAGGGACCCAGTAACGTGTTGCCCTAAATTCCATTCCATTTCATTTCATTCATTTTCCTCTTAATTTTGGACTGGGGTTCTAGGAGGTTTTTGCTTATCAAAGGCCTCCAATTTGATTATACTTTCTTCAAAATCTTTGCGTTTCAATAAGATCCATGTGTGCATCTACTTTTCCCACTGCTTCATATCATCCTTCAATTCAATTTATATGAATAACTCGTTTAATTTGCCTTCAAACTCGAAGCCCTCACTTTCTAAGACTGGGTTTCGACATAATTTGCTGCTGCTTTTCCTTATAAAATTGTAATTATCGATCCTGTCTGAGCTTTTTTAGTTTTCAAGAGAGAAAGTTTCGAATCTTTGATGGCTAATCCACGGCAGCCTTCCATTGGATACTCTGTCTCTATCACTCCCTCACACCCAGATACAACATCTCCTGACCCCGAGAAAATTTCCATACCTCCACCACCTTTAATTACACCAGGAGCTCCCAGATTTCCTGTGCCAAGGTTTCAACAGGATCAAGCTCCTTCTCCATCACTCAAAACCCCAAATGCACCATCACCAGCTAATGGGTTGAAAACTGGCAGCCCTATTCCTCATTTGAGTACTCCACCTGGACCTCCTGTCTTTACTTCCCCTGTCCGGCCTGCTGCTGTGCCTTTTCGTGCTTCACCTGCAACTCCTCAGCCAGTTGCTTTCTCCCCGGGCTCATCTTTGCCAACATCTTCGCCCCTCAATCTTTCAAATGGGTCACTTGAGTTGCAGCATGAACTTTCTAATGTTGCAGAGGATGATATAGCGTCTGTTGGAGAATCACCATATGTCCTATTCTCAGCTCATAAGGTATCTTTCTTGTTCTCTTTGGTTTCCAACCTTTATGGTTTCACTATCTGTTTGTTAAGTAATGTAGCGTGTTTTGGATGATGTTACACACACACACACATTTGTATACATATATATACTGAGTTGATTTTTTTACTTTCTTAAACTTAAAAACTCTAGATTCTTTCACCACGCATGCATAATAAGTGTTTCTGTAAGGACATGTTAGATTTCCATATCTGTGTAGTGTAATCATATATTCTTTATCTCATTTTCGCATTAATTTTTGCTTGAAAAGATTTTATTTTCTTGCCCTACTTAGTTAAAAATTCAATCGAACCTTTCTCCTACCCATATTGTTATATAGGTGTTGAAACAGAAGAAACAAGCAAATATACCCAGTTTGGGTTTTGGGGCATTGGTTTCACCTGGAAGGGAGATTTCACCAGCTCCTCAGATAGTACAACGTGATCCTCATCGCTGCCACAGTTGCGGAGCTTATGCGAATATCTACTGCAATATCTTACTAGGCTCAGGTCAGTGGCAGTGTGTAATTTGCCGAGAGCTGAATGGAAGTGAGGGCGAATACATAGCTCCCAGCAAGGAAGATCTTTGTAATTTTCCAGAGTTGTCATCTCCCATGGTTGATTATGTTCAAACTGGGAACAACAGACCCGGTTTTATCCCAGTTGCTGATTCAAGAATGTCTGCACCTATTGTTCTTGTCATAGATGAGTGTTTGGATGAACCACATCTCTGGGATTTACAAAGCTCCTTGCATGCTTTTGTCGATTCACTTCCCCCAACAACGAGAATTGGAATAATACTCTATGGTCGCACAGTATCAGTTTATGATTTTTCAGAGGAATCGATTGCATCTGCTGATGTGCTTCCAGGAGAGAAATCACCAAGTCAGGATTCCTTGAAGGCATTGATATATGGAACGGGTATATACTTGTCTCCAATGCATGCTTCACTGCCTGTAGCACATGCCATATTTTCATCATTGAGGCCATACAAATTGAAGATTCCAGAAGCTTCTAGAGATCGGTGCCTGGGCACTGCAGTCGAGGTTGCTCTTGCTATAGTTCAAGGGCCATCAGGAGAAATGTCTCGAGGAGTAATTAAAAGGTCTGGAGGTAATAGCAGAATCATTGTTTGTGCTGGTGGCCCTAATACATATGGTCCTGGATCTGTTCCTCATTCTTTCAGTCACCCAAATTATCCTCATATGGAAAAGACTGCTTTGAAATGGATGGAGCATCTGGGTCATGAGGCACACCGACACAATACAGTAGTTGACATTCTATGCGCTGGGACATGCCCTGTAAGAGTTCCTATTTTGCAACCTCTTGCAAAAGCTTCTGGGGGCGTTTTTGTTCTCCATGATGACTTTGGGGAAGCCTTTGGTGTGAACTTGCAAAGGGCATCTACCAGGGCAGCAGGCTTCCGTGGGTTCTTGGCAATACGTTGTTCCGATGATATTCTCATAACTCAAGTCGTGGGTCCTGGTGAAGAGGCACATATGGACACTCATGAAACCTTCAAAAATGACACTTCTCTTTACATACAAATGCTTAGTGTTGAAGAGACACAGAGCTTCTCACTCTCCTTGGAAAATAAGAGGGACATTATGACCGAGTATGTGTACTTCCAGTTTACAATTCAGTATTTAAATGTGTATCAAGCGGATATATCAAGAGTAATTACTATTAGATTGCCAACAGTTGATAGTGTTTCAGCATATCTTGCAAGTGTTCAAGATGAAGTGGCAGCAGTTCTTATTGCGAAGAGGACTCTCTTGCGAGCTAAAAATTATTCTGATGCAATTGATATGCGAGCAACAATAGATGAAAGAATTAAAGATATTGCTATGAAATTTGGTTCTCAAGCACCAAAGTCAAAGCTTTATCGGTTCCCAAAGGAGGTGTCTTTATTGCCAGAGCTCCTGTTTCATCTAAGAAGAGGCCCACTTTTGGGAAGTATTGTTGGCCATGAAGATGAGAGATCTGTATTGCGGAACTTGTTTTTGAATGCATCCTTTGATCTCTCACTCCGAATGGTAGCGCCTCGTTGTCTAATGCATCGGGAAGGGGGAACATTTGAGGAACTACCAGCTTATGACCTTGCTATGCAGTCAGATGCAGCAGTTGTTCTTGATCATGGCACAGATGTCTACATTTGGTTGGTATGTCCTTTCTGCTCATATGATTGTCATTCTTTGTGTGGCATCTATGCCTGCCTTTTGTTGCCCCCCCCCCCCCCTTTTTTTTCTTGTTCCTACTGCTTTGTTTTGCTAACGAGAAAGGGCCAAAACCTTGTAATTTCTGACATATTTGGGCTTACCTTGAAAAACATTATTACTATCAATGCCTCAAAAAATATCAGAAATACTTTCTCTGCCTCTGATATATGAACTTATGTAGTATAAGTAAGTGCAGAATCTAAATGCGGTCACATGCAGTGACAGTTGTATCACTATTCATAATTTTGGAATTTTCTAAATCATTTTCTTTTACTCGTTAGAAAATCTTGATGACCTGTTTTTGATATAATTTGGAGGCTAATAATGTGCCTACTAAGGTTCAGATTTTTGGTTCGTTTGTGGCCTCTGGGAAAAATAATACTTGTGAGATGCTCTAAAAAGAAGACTTATGCATGTTCATCTCTTGTTCTGTACATTGGTGTCTTTATTTAAATATGATGATGAAAGTATTCAGATTTTTTTTTCTGCATTGCTTGTTCACTATGTGTTTGGACCAACTTGCAATTGTTTAGTTTTGTGGGAGATTGACCTAGAAACTACTACTTTTTGGGTACCGGTTTTTATTTTTTGGGAGTTGAGCTAGTGAGAAGATGATTACTCTGCGATGATCTTCAGTCACCGTCATTTATTGGACTGTTTTAATTCAGACAATTAACAGAATAGGGAGGAAGTGGATTTCCTTTGGGAAAAGAGCATATATTTGACTTCTTTATGAGCATTATATCTCTTATGGAGAGCTTGAAGGTTTTGGGCTTTGGCTGTTCCTCCTTATTGCACAAAACAAAAGTAAAGTTGTAATAAAAACTTTTTCTCAAAAGGAATAGGAAAAAATAATAAAGGCTGGGTTTGCTGATCACCCTGGTGTGATATAGAATTCATACGATGACCATAAACTGGAAATGTATGTATTGTTGAGCTTTTGACATCTGTTTGAGCATCACTAAGAGCATTCCTGGGTCTTTGAACTCAAATTTTGGTTTCTTTTGTTCCTTGAGTCTTTCTCTGTTCAGAAATATAATTGATATTTTCAGCCTCTTATTCTTTTCTTATTTTTCACCTTAAACACTTTTTAACTGGTTTATTCAGGGTGCTGAACTTGCTGCTGATGAAGGAAAAAGTGCAGCTGCATTAGCGGCTTGCAGGACATTAGCTGAAGAGCTCACGGAGTTGCGGTTTCCAGCTCCTCGGATCCTTTCATTCAAGGTTATTCCTTTCTATAGTCTTTCATTGCTCCATGTCAATTTCCTCTGCCTTTTTCTATGCCTAGAAATAATGAAGATGAACCTAATGGTTTGGTTGTGAAACAGGAAGGAAGCTCTCAGGCTCGATATTTTGTATCGCGGCTCATACCGGCACACAAGGATCCTCCTTATGAGCAGGTGAGGGTGGAGACAATAAACAGGCGTGAATGTGGCTAGTTTTCTCCACAATCCTAAATGGTTTCCTACTTAATTTGGTGTGAATCACGAATTTAACTGTTGCATATTGGCATTGCAGGAGGCAAGATTCCCGCAGCTACGAACTTTGACAACAGAACAGCGGACAAAGCTGAAAAGCAGCTTTCTCAATTTTGATGAGCCTAGCTTCTGTGAGTGGGTACGAAGCTTGAGAGTGGTGCCTCCAGAACCAAGCTAGATGATCTTTACTTTGTTAAACTTGTTGGCATAATGCGGCTTCAGGAAGGTAGCGTTGGGAGTTGTATCAGAGGAAATTGTGGCAAAGGAATTTTTCTTCTTCTTCTTCTTTCGTTTTCACTGTTGGAGGAAATTGTAGTTAAGATGTTTCTTGACAGGAAATGATGTAGCTCCCATCATCATCAATGTGATGAACCATCAACATCATCCAGTAGTTGCTGAATGATTATTTTATGCTGCTGAGGCAAAAGAAGGAAGTGTTAATAGTGAATAATGGATTATTTATATACTCATGGAAAAAAGAAAGGTATTGGACTTGAGTGATTTCTCTGTTTGTTGTAACTCCTCTCTTCGTGCAAAGAAGAGAACTGATGTCCTAAATGTATCAAAGGCGCCACTGGTATTGGTATTGGTATTGGTAGTAGGACAAATCGAAGGTGAAACATCCTCACTGCCTTCACCATCGCCACCGTTAACGTTGTTACCATGATGATGATGATGAACTACATGGCCATGTCGAGCACTCTGAAAATTTAGCATTGAATTATTGGATCAGTACATGTCCTCAGAAGATATGATTGTTTGGATAATTGCTCTTCTTAATATTCTCAAGAAGCACCAAATGTGGTCGCCTCAGCGCAACCAACTCTTGCTCGTCTTTGTGAAACTTGCATCGCGTCCCTTCTTTGGCTTCTCTCTTGTTTTGTTTCCTCATCTCTTTGTTCTTTCCCTTTTCTCAGTAGTTTCTTCTGTTTGCTCCATCGTCTTTGCCATTGTTATTTGAGGAATTGATATTAGCTAGGTCTTCTTCTCAATTTATATTTATATAGCTAAGGATCACTAGTAATATCTTTGCTTCTTGTTTTAAATATCCTATTCCTCCAAACCGACTGATCAAATCCAATTGTGGTCAATTTTCATTGACAAAAAAGAGTGATAAATTTCGATAAATTGATGGGCTAGATTAGATTCACAAATTCCATGATCGACGTGATAACACAGTAGAAATCGGACCTATATGATGGTATAACCGTTACACTAAAAAAATTACGAGGTAAGGTCTCTACTTGACTTGAAGAAGATGATTCCAAGTAGCTAATATGATCCCTAAACAATAACCATTTTTTATAATTGCTGTCCATTATTTGCTCCTCTATCTATGTAATCTAACAACGTGTATTTCTGTGAGAAAGAAAGAAGAAAAAAGAAGGAAAAAAAAACCGGTTTTTGTCTTCATGTTCTGTAATCTTTTTTTTCTTTTTGGGTACTAAACGTAAATTCCCCCTCACTCACCTTATCCCCTCTCGTTTCATGCTTGAGAACAAGCCTCTGGATCCTGGGCTTTTCTTCAAAACAGAGACAGCATGAAATGAAACTCATCCATTTCCCAATAATCAAGTGGTTGTGAATTCAAGACAGGAAATTTGAATCCCTGACTTCATAGCCGGAAGGAATAATGGCGGCGACACATCTGTGTGAGTCTCCTCTGGTGAAGCATCATCACCCTTGTGTTTCACTGTCACCCCTGTGCTCTTCCAAGCTTTCCCATACCCTCCTAGACCTCAAAAAATCCCACTTGGTTACCTTTTCTTTCGGTGGAAAAACCTTTCAAATGCCCAAAACATCAAGAATGGCAAGTCGAAGAAGGCGACGAATGCAAGCAGTGGCTTCGTTGGGAGGTTTGTTAGGTGGGATTTTCAAAGGGACTGACACTGGCGAGTCCACGAGGCAGCAGTATGCCTCCACCGTGTCTGTCATCAATGGCTTGGAAGGTCAGATGTCTGCACTCTCCGATTCTGAGCTGAGAGAAAAGACACGGCTCTTTCAAGAACGTGCCAAGCAGGGCGAGTCTTTGGATTCTCTTTTACCTGTGAGCATTTTGAAACTTTGTTGCTTCGTTTATTATATCTTCTATCCTCACTTTGTGGTGTTCTCTAGCATGGTAATTAAACATGGGTTTTGTGTTTTTGAATGTGTTTATTGCTCAGTCTGGGGATGCTACTGAATTGTTGTTGTTGGATAACTATTTTAATGATGATTGTTTGAATGATCGAACCAATTCCTCTAAGGTGTAACTGTGGCTTACTTACTAGTTTTTCATTTATAGTTGAAGTGCTATATTTGCTTTCAGAATATTTATAACCAAAGAAGCACTACCATTTCAGGAAGCATTCGCTGTCATAAGAGAGGCTTCGAAGAGGGTTTTAGGCCTTCGTCCCTTTGATGTCCAACTCATAGGTAGATATCCTTCACTCTCTGCATACTATCTGAATCTTGCTCAATCCTTTCCGTCAAGATAGTTGAATGAGCATTCAATTAAGCTCCTGCTATTATATCTTTGTTTACATCACTCATTGTTGCAACAGGAACACCACCTTTGTGCTAAAATATGTATATGATTGTGCCTTCACTTATTGGATCTTACTTTTTGATCATTTAGGTGGCATGGTCCTTCATAAGGGGGAAATAGCTGAAATGAGAACCGGAGAAGGAAAAACCCTTGTTGCTATCTTACCAGCTTATTTGAATGCATTAATTGGAAAAGGTGTTCATGTTGTTACTGTCAATGATTATCTGGCCCGGCGGGATTGTGAGTGGGTTGGCCAAGTTCCTCGTTTCCTTGGATTGAAGGTTGGCCTAATCCAGCGTATGTCTCGTTCTTATATATTTGTTGTACCCTGCATTCTGTTTCCTTCTATATCCATTTCTATTGGTTGATATGTAGGAGCAAGACTAGCTCCTAGAAACTTGGAAATTGATCAATTGAGTGCTTGATGCCTCACTCTTCCTGCAATTTGAAAGTCTAATCATTCCCAGTCTATTTCATTTTAATATTCTGGAACTTAATTTTTCAAAAATAAGATTATTGAAAATATTATTTAGAGCCTAGTTCTTGGTCAGTTATTGTTTGTTTGCAAGTTTACTGAAATTTTTCTAGGAGCGGGTGTAAACTGAAAATTGTTGCTGGTTATTGTTTCTACATATTGCTTGTTTTCTAATTAAGATTGAAATAATTACCTAACAACTGGATGTTTTCCGTGAGCAGAGAATATGACAAGTGAACAAAGAAGGGAGAATTACTTATGTGACATCACATACGTTACCAACAGTGAGCTTGGTTTTGATTACTTGAGAGATAATCTGGCCACGGAAAGTAATTCTTGCTTTATTTGCTAGTTCCGTCTTATGTTACTTTGTTGCGAATAATTTCAATCCATTTGATGTTTAACTATATTATTCTAGCTGAATGCATTTCTTCACATGTACAGAGTGTTGAGGAGCTTGTCTTGAGGAACTTCAACTACTGTGTAATTGATGAAGTTGATTCCATCCTCATTGATGAAGCAAGGACACCTCTCATAATATCTGGACCTGCAGAAAAACCTAGCGATCGGTATTATAAAGCTGCAAAGATTGCCGCAGTCTTTGAGCAAGAGATACATTACACTGTAGGACTGCTGTATTATTTGAAAGCAGAAGTTTCTCTATTTGAAAGGATTCATAAATTCCAGGTGCCTTTAATGGTAAATTAGTTGTTCTAGTTATATTCTTACCTAGCTTTTTGTTGCAGGTGGATGAAAAGCAGAAAACAGTTCTGCTCACAGAACAGGGTTATGAAGACTCTGAAGAGATTCTGGGTGTAAAAGATTTATATGATCCCCGAGAACAGTGGGCATCTTATGTTCTGAATGCAATAAAAGCGAAAGAACTCTTTCTTAGAGATGTAAACTATATCATTCGTGGCAAAGAGGTTCTTATTGTTGATGAGTTTACAGGTCGAGTTATGCAGGTGATTAGTGCATTTTTTTTCTTAATTTTTGTTAGAAGTTGGCAAAATAATTATCTCCTTTTTTTATAGTGGTATATAAACTAATTGCCATAGGTACAAATAAGGAAGGTATAAAAGTTTACTATACTAGTAGCTATTACAACTAATATACAGCTAATTAACTATTTAGCTTATTCTGGTCTTTACTCTAACACTTTCCAGGTAACAGAAAACATTTTTCATGTAGAGTTATCTTATAAAATTTGCAATTTGCAGTATATTGACTTTCCTGTGGCAAACGTTAAGGTTATATTTGTTAATCTCTCACGGGGCAGGATTATAGTGGCTTGTTATTTGTCATTTAGGGGAGGCGATGGAGTGATGGACTTCACCAAGCGGTTGAAGCAAAAGAAGGTCTGCCAATTCAAAATGAAACTGTAACACTGGCTTCAATTAGCTACCAAAATTTCTTTCTCCAGGTTGGAGCATTCTATCTCTCATCTCAATAAGTGTTGCATCTCTAGAAATTTATGTTCTTGAAATTAATTAATTAATTAATTTACCTATACAGTTCCCGAAACTTTGTGGGATGACTGGCACTGCAGCAACTGAAAGCACAGAATTTGAAAGCATATACAAGCTTAAAGTTACAATTGTGCCAACAAACAAGCCTATGATTAGAAAGGTATGCTATACTGTTTTAGCATACCATTATAAAATGATGATACTAGGCTATAAAAATTGTGCTACAAATATGTACTCTTATTTCCATTTCTCATATATAAGTGGTTTAATAATTAGTTTTGAATACCTTGTATAAAAAATATAAGTAGATTTGCATAAGAGGTGATGGTTTATTTTACTATAATTAGGCAGCATACCATTATAAAATGATGATACTAGGCTATAAAAATTGTGCTACAAATATGTACTCTTATTTCCATTTCTCATATATAAGTGGTTTAATAATTAGTTTTGAATACCTTGTATAAAAAATATAAGTAGATTTGCATAAGAGGTGATGGTTTATTTTACTATAATTAGGTACAATGCCTTTCAAGTTTCTCATCATCTCTTCAATCTCTTTCTCAGGATGAGTCCGATGTAGTTTTCAGGGCAACTACAGGAAAATGGCGGGCAGTTGTAGTAGAGATTTCTAGAATGCACAAGACAGGTCGTCCTGTACTTGTTGGCACAACTAGTGTTGAGCAGAGTGACTCATTGTCTGAACAGTTGCAAGAAGTTGGAATTCCCCATGAGGTGTGGTCTCCTCTGTCATTATGGTTTAAGTTCATTACTTAGGGATTTTGTACATATAATTAAATTATTTGATGTACAATTGAGAGTGAAGGTAATCTTTAAATGATTTTTGTTTCTCTAACTTTGGAAAATTTTATTTAGAAACTGTAGAATACTTTATGTCCTTTGTGAGAGGAAATTTAGTATTTTTGTTTTTATTTTTATTTTTTATGTAGGTTCTCAATGCAAAACCAGAGAATGTGGAAAGGGAAGCAGAAATTGTAGCCCAAAGTGGTCGTCTAGGGGCAGTGACCATTGCGACCAATATGGCAGGTCGAGGAACTGACATTATCCTTGGTGGGAATGCTGAATTTATGGCAAGGTTGAAGCTTCGGGAGATGCTTATGCCAAGGTATCATCATCTGAGCTTCAAGAATATTTTTATTTTTATTTATTTTTCCTGTAAAAGTTTACACCCTTAGACATCCAGTCTGGACTCTAGTGCTTAACATGTTGGAAACTTGGACTTAAATGTTTACCAGACATCAATACTGCCTAGAAGATTGTTAGTCATAGAAAACAATTACTAGAACTTTAGCTCTTAAAAATTCAATAAACTTCAAATATTATTTCGACATTGAACATTTTACTTCTATTCTACTTTAGAGTCTTCAGATCTTTTCTTATTATTATTTTTTCATAGGAAACATACTTCCATTAAATGAAAATGAAATAGTACATAACAGAGGACAAACATAGTCTGCTGATCAATGCCTAGGAAACATATTTTAGAGTATTGAGAATAACTTGCATTAAAGAAAGAATCAATTACCACTGAGTTTATTTGAGTCTGTTGCATGGGGTCTGGTATTCTGGCAATTATAATAATTTATTTTCAAATACTCCTCAGGCTTTTGTTTTGGTTTTGTTTTTCAAAAGTTATCTACGGTTAAACATACATTTCATTCTGCTTATAATTTTCTTGCAGAGTTGTTAAGCTAACTGAAGGCGGTTATGTGTCAGTGAAAAAACTTCCCCCCAAAAAAACATGGAAGGTGTGTTTTTCCTTTTTGTCCTGATCTGTAATTTGTTTTACTTTAGGCACAAAAGTTCAGATATTATAAACACAAACTCGCATTGTTCAATGATTTTATTATCTTGAAACTCAGAATGACTTTTCCAGGTGAATGAAAACCTATTTCCGTGCAAACTGTCCAATGAAAAGACCAAGTTTGCTGAGGAAGCTGTAAAGTTAGCTGTTGACACGTGGGGTCAGAGATCATTAACTGAGCTTGAAGCAGAGGAGCGTCTATCATATTCTTGTGAAAAGGTGAATCTTTGACGCTTATCTGGAACTTCTCTCCTTATACTGCTGGTTGGAGATGACTAAATCTTTGCATTCGTTAGGCCCCTGCTCAGGATCCAGTCATATCCAAACTGCGGAGTGCCTTTCTAGAAATTGTTAGAGAATACAAGGTCTACACAGAGGAAGAAAGGAAGAAGGTTAGTTTCGTTCCACGAAATAAATTTTCTCCAACTCTCTGTATCAGTCTTGATTATGTTTTTTATATTTCTACGTTTCTGCAGGTTGTGTCAGCTGGTGGGCTTCATGTTGTGGGGACAGAGCGCCATGAATCTCGCCGAGTTGATAATCAGGTTTAGGTCTTGGAAAGATTAGTTATACTGTCTTCAGTTAGCTCAGGCTCTTCTATGACTTGTTTTTAGTTGAATTTCCTTGTTTTCTCAACATGCTTTAGACATGAGTTTTCCTGCCAGAGAGCATGCCTCGAAATTGATTTTAGTAATTTGTATGTATGTAGCTGCGTGGTCGAACTGGCAGGCAGGGGGACCCTGGAAGTTCTCGCTTCTTCTTAAGTCTTGAAGATAATATCTTTCGTATATTTGGTGGAGACCGTATTCAGGTTTACACTTTGATTCTGGGTTTCTAATTGCTAATGCTGCTGTAGGCCTGTTAACGGACGATTGTTTTTGCAACATGTAGGGTTTAATGAGAGCTTTTAGAGTTGAAGACCTACCAATTGAGTCCAAGATGCTCACCAAAGCACTAGATGAAGCACAACGGAAAGTGGAAAATTATTTTTTTGACATCCGAAAGCAATTATTTGAGTTTGATGAAGTCTTAAACAGCCAAAGAGACCGTGTCTACACAGAAAGAAGACGGGCCCTTGAATCTGACAATCTCCAATCGCTTATAATTGAATATGCTGAACTAACAATGGATGATATCTTGGAGGTATGTGGGCCAAGCAATTTATTTTATTTTATATTTTATATATGTTTTTAATAAAGATGTCTCTGATTCTTGGGTCTGTGAAATCATTTTGTTTATAAATAGGCAAATATTGGTTCAGATGCTTCAAAAGAAAGCTGGGATCTTGAGAAGCTCATCAAGAAACTTCAACAGTAAGTTGCATCTTTCAATCTCTGTGCTTGTGCAAAAACTGTAAAGAAAAGATTGTCAGATGAATCATGGTGCATCATGTCTTTCTTATTGTACCATGCAATTACAGAATGCTGAGTTTTTAAATTCTCTTAGAAAACCTATTACTGTATAAGTACATCTGAATGAAAGAAGATTAACTATTTAAATTGTTGTAACTGCCAGAGTTTTGTTAAGTTCTATATATATATTACCTTCTTATGTGAATTCCTACTTTCTTGATGAAGGTTGCTTTATGCATGAAAAATCTTCTTTTTATGTCAATTCTATGATTTATCTCCTTGTTTGATTTGGCTCTAAAAAGATTTCTAATGACAACATATTTCCTTGGCTTTAGATATTGCTACCTATTGAATGATTTGACACCAGACTTGCTGAGGAGCAAGTGTTCAAGTTACGAGGATTTGCAGGACTACCTTCGTTGCCGTGGTCGTGAAGCATATTTGCAGAAAAGGGTCAGTATAATAAGTTTCTGTAAGAAGACATTTCCAGATTATTGGGATTTTTTTGATCTCAGCACACTTGGAGTGATGTTTCATTATAATTAGATGGGGAAGCTTCTGGTAATTATGATTACAATTCTGCTAAATGTGTGAGCCATGAATGAATACTCTGACATATAAGATAATCACAACTTGCTGCTGAGAACTGTGAGTAGCTCTTTGAGAAGTTAGTCTTGTGACCTTTCCTAAGTTGAATATGTATAATGGCACACCAAGTCCTACAACTGATTGCCATCTTTTGTTAAGACTAGTCTTGGGTTTGCAAACTAGGCTCGATAGTGATGTTCTGAGAGGCATATAATTCTGCTCATTTGTGTTCTGCGTGGTATGAGTTCCTGATATTTTTGATCTGTGTATCAGGATATTATCGAGAGCAAAGCACCAGGCTTGACAAAGGATGCTGAAAGGTTCTTAGTTTTGAGCAATATTGATCGCTTGTGGAAGGAGCACTTACAAGCACTTAAGTTCGTTCAGCAAGCTGTGGGATTACGTGGATACGCACAAAGGGATCCACTTATTGAATATAAGCTTGAAGGCTACAATCTTTTCTTAGAGATGATGGCACAGATAAGAAGAAATGTTATATATTCCATATACCAGGTGTGTATTAAATGAACACTTAAACTTTTTCATCAGAAACATGTTGGTCAAACATACCAAATTTTCAATTCTGATTTTGTTTTTGGTGTTTTATTGTTTGGCAGTTTCAACCGGTGCTGGTAAAGAAGGATCAAGACCAAAGAGAGAATAAGAGTTCAACAGAAGTTGTCACAAATGGTAGGGGTAATAATAACCCTGATCCAGTTAACGCCATTGAGTCTTCTTCAGCAGCTGCGAACCCCCAATCTAGTGCTTGAAACCTACACATGGTTATTCCCTGCAGAAGTTCAAAAGGAAGAGGTCCAGAGATGGAAGCATCATTCCATTATGTTGATTGGTATATATTACTGTACAATTTATTGTAAAGTAAAATTTTGGAGTCAGGGTGTAAAATCTCTAAAACATTTTCTTAAAAATAGAAAAAGGGGGATGGGGTTTTATCTACTGTATTATTAAAAAAAGGTGGACCAAAGATTGACAAATTCGTTGTAACACTTAGGTGTGGGATGCAAGTACATTGTTAATCATAATGAGAAGAAATTGTAAGATAACTGTATTTCTTCCATTCATTGGTTTGATTAGCTTAGTGCTGACGAAATTAGGGAAGGATCTTGATTGTACTGGATTTGGACTCCACGGAATCATGGGCAACAGGCAATGCGATTTCAATCTGGTTTTCAAGTAATGTACTGCATTAAGAAGTTCTCCTGACCTTTTGGTTGCCACTTGCCGCACAAATGGTTAAGTGTGAAACAACCTTGTAGAGCTGTGAAATTGAAGATTCCTCCAGACATCAAGTAATTCAAGAAATGGCCAGTAATATGTAACAAGTAAACTACAGTCAGTCATTCATATGATTATTTGGACAAGCCACTGGAACATGACCAAAGAAAGACTGCTTTCTTCAACATCTACAAAGGAAAGGAGGCTCATCTCTGGACTTGCCCATGTGCTGTTGTAAGCATTGGAGTCGAGTTGAGGCATTCAATTCCAAGTTGAATTGTATTGCCGCGGAGAATTTCCTCAATAAGTTGATTGATGACATTTCCTTTGGCCTGCAGACAATTTAGTATGTTTCAAAGGAAATGCTTTGAGTTGGAGCACAAAATAAAATAAATCTAAGTAAGAGGGGTTTGAGGTGACACAGAGAGGCATTTATATAGACTATAGTTTACCTTAACTCCAATGGCAATGGCGGTTTTAAGTTGAACAAGTTGACCCAATCTTAAAGAAGCTCCCTTGTTATCTTTGAGAAAGATCAAGGGGACCTTCCTTGACAGGGCCAAGCTTGGCAGATGCTTTGACAGCCATCGTGGATTGCAATCAGAAGCTATCAGAACAGCCTGAAGCCCAATGTATGGTGCTTTAGTACGATTAGAAGCTAAGCTTGGCGCTAACGGCGTCAATGGCTGCAACGTTGGCGCCATTGGTGTCACTGGTGGCATGCGTTCAAGGACACGAGTGACTTCATTCACCCCTATTGCAAATTGTTGCTACAAAAATATAGAGAAAAAAAAAGTATCAGTTTATTATGGATGATCAAACACGAACACGTAATCAAGCATACATATATGATAATATGATATGATGATCTGAATCCAATTATACAAACCTTGAACCACATCTTTTCGGGTAAACACTTGCTATCATCCATCATAAGTCTTGCTGACTCTATCTTTCTGTGAAAAACAAAAATACCATTCAAGTTAATATTTTAGATGTTTTTATGGATAATATTGTATCAGTCAAAGTTCATAACATAACGTAACCTCTGAATTGATTGGAGCAGACGATCGAGACGTTCCCCTTCATAGCAACTGCATGTAAACAAACAGGGAGTAAGTAAGTTAACAACCTATTTGTCGTTAAAATAATTGGAACGCAAAAGTGCCACACACCCAACCCAAAGGAAGGACCCACGTACTCTTGGTCTTGGGACTTGGAAGCGTGGATGATGCGCCCTTTAGAGTCTTTGTTTCTGGGTGGCATGTTTACGCACACTGCCTGCTTGATGAAAGACCTCAACCAGCCTGCTCAACGTCTTTACCAAAACGGAAAAGAAAAAGAAGCGAAATTCTATACTGAGTCTGAGAGTGCCATAAGCCTCAATTCAATGCCCCAATGGAAAGCGCCAAGCGTTGGGCCTACAGACTCGGAGATATTGGAGACCAACAAAAGGCACCAAATTAGCGCTAGCGGGCCCAGAATCCTCTAAATATTGTCCTTGTCTCTCCTTGTTTAAAATCTAAACCGTCCACATCTTCGGAAAGAAAATCTAAAGGCTGAAAATACCGCATCTCAGCTCATAGTATCGTTACTAGTTCAAAAAGGAAAGGTAAAGATATTTTAACCCTTAGTTTTTAGCCTTCTTGCAGTCTTGTGAGTGCGGAAAAAGAAATGTGAAATGTCAAAAAATTGTAGACTTTATTTCATAGAGATAGTAGCAGTGGAACTATTTCTTCCACTTGACAGTATAGTCATGTTAAAAGATAAGATGTGTGCCAACTGATCTGCTAAGTGAAAAAGGACTTTGACTTGTAGACAAAAGGTCTCAGGTTCGAATTCCATGACATTTTGGTTGTGTGTATAAGAAACCTCTCTCCTCTAAAATTTAGACTATCACTTATATTCCAATAAAAAAGAAAGATAATACGTGTTGAAAAAATAAAAGATGGTCATTAAAGTTTGCATGCATGTCATCTGTATCTGGATTCTACTATCACTTGATACTACCACATGATAAGAATAGTCTCCACAGAAGTTTTCTTATACGAGGAAGAAATGTTACAAAAGATGACATTTTCATAACAAAATGGCATTATGCATTGCCATTGCTAAGGTTCACGTTAATGACAAATTTCCTTGCTTTGCCTGCTTTTAGCACCCTTGTACGCAACAAGTTCAAGTATGAATTGATTGTCATTTATTAATGTTTTTTTTTTCAAAGAGGGAAGAAAGTGTCGCAATTATGCAAGTCGACATCAGTGGAAAGATTTGAACAACGTAAGTTAAGGAGAAAGAGATGGTAAATCATGAAAAGAGTAGGTGAGCTGAGCTAGCATTCATGCGGCGGGAGTCAAATGAGAGACATTGATATCATGCTTTAAAGTTTACAACCACCATATTTGTTCACTGGTTGTGTTTTGCTTGGGCTAATGTGGCATAGGATACCTCAATACTTTGGAAACCTCTCTGCTTACCCCTTTTCAGAATGCTACAGATTACGACCACACTTCGCTATCTCTCTCTTGTCCGGGCCTTGGACCTTGTCCCCCTTTTTTTGGACAATTCTTCTCTCAAGTCTTAGTTGATGGCTTAAATTTCTATGAATTTCTAGTACTCAACTGCTTGATGGATTACTAATGCACATGAAAATTACATATAAACATAATACACAAGTCAAATTATGTTGCTTCATCTAAACACTTACTTTACCTTGTTAGGAAGGATTAAGAATAATTCAATCTGGCATGCTTGTCTGATACCTTAACATATAATATTTAATGTATAATAATAATAACAATCTCCTCAAGTGACAGAAGGTTATATGCATAATAACTGGAAAACTCATCGAATAAAATATATGAAAAATTATCTATTAAGCCTTGTGTTATGATTTAAGAGTTGGCAAAACATAAATGATATGACACTGTGCAGACAGTGAAAATGTGATTGCTGTCTTGTTAGCTTGTTTTGTTTCTGATTTTGCTAGGAGTGGACAATAAAGAAAAAGAAGAGCGAATTGATAAAATTGACCGAACTGGATGGTTTGGTTCGGTTTTTATTTTAACTTTTGTCTATGTTTATACTCAAACTAAACCAAACCAGCTTGAACCGGTTTGGGTACGATTTTAAATTACAGTAGTATTAGTATCCCCTTATATACAATCATATTTTTCTCCTAACCCTAGTGCATATGGCATGCCTCACCTTCTCTCTCATGTCTCTCATCTATATCTCAACTCTTTCATCGTCATCGTAGATCTAAGAACTGATCTCACTCCTCAAAATAGAGTGTCTTTCACTCCGTATCTGAGCAAATCTCACCTCTCCGAGCAAACCCCTGCCTCTACACTCCGAGCAAAACGTGGAATGGACCAAAAAGGGTGTGATTTGGCTCCATTATTAACATCACGCAAGTTCACGGGAACCAATTTGAACCGAAAGTGTGACTACAATTTAGTCGCCCAAACCGAATTGTACTCTCCCCAAATTTTTACTTCACTTCTTTCACTGATTCACTAATCATATAAACCATTGAACTACTATTTTCTTGTGAGTTAAATAAATGTTTACAAAAAATTAATTTTCAAACCATGAACAAAAAGATAATAAATTCCAGGTCAAAATCCCAATTGGGTCCAATTGCAGGAAGCACAAGTTTCAAATAAAGGAAGTGAAAATGGAAATGAGGATTAGACAAGAGAGTATGAGGAGCGTGAGCAATGGCAAAGTGGCGAGCAAAAGGAGAGTGTATGTCAGTTGGTTTTGCTTGGTTGATCCGCCAAACGAGTCACGTTGTTTGGCCTTGTAACTCGTAATCTTTATTTGTAATTAGTATTTGTTGCCCTGAAAAAAGTCAAAATCAAAATCGAAAACAAAAGCCCCAGTAGGCAGCAGCAGCATGCGGTGGTCCAGGTCCAGCAGGCGTCCACCACCAGCCTAATACCCCAATCCCTGGGCTTGTAGCCTGACTTTTGTTCGTATCCGATGTCGCACGTTGCAGGTATGAAACTCCAATTAAAGTTTAAACTCCCAAAAAAAGCTATGAACTGTGTTTATATTATTTACTACTTGTTACAAGTACAGACAAAAACCACAAGAAACAACAACAACAACAGAAAAAGAGAGAGACTTTTCAAAAGAGAAAATCATTCATGAGCAAACTAGTGGAATTTAATTTCTCAGTCTTTGACTGGTAAATTCAATGATCCTCTAGGTTTGTCACATGAATTGAGATGTGCATGAGCATGACAGAAACCCCATCTATCACCATGCCAAGATCAATGGTGCAAATTAAGCTTTATTCTTGATGATGAATTTCTGAAACTCTCTCTCTCTCTCTTCCCTCTTGTTCAGCAGGAATCAGGAAAAAGCCAGTGTCAGTGACACAGTGGGCGTGGGTGCTCCCAAAAATATACTAAGAATCAGAAGCACAACACCCCAGCCTCCTTTTCTTTTCTGGGTAGCCTCCAGTTTTCATCAAAACTTGCTACTGCTCTGCTTTGAGTCCCTGACACAGAGAAGGAGAAAGTGACGTATTGGAGAAGCTCAAGTCAACAAAAGCATAGGGGACCTACTGCTTAATTTTTGGCGGGCAGCAACGGTCACTTTCAATGATTTTATGTGGGTGGTGGTGGCTTTCTCCCTGACCCATCTACTCACTCTCTCACACACTTGCTTTGCCTGTTTGGCTTAGTTTGCCTATTTTACCTATTGCCCGTGATCTTCTCAGTTTGATCCTTCATTTCATTTTTAACCAACCCTCTCAAGCTTTCTCCTTTTCGTCTCTCTGCCTTTGCTTGTTGCTTGTTTGATCACAAGGAAGGAGATTGAGCTGAGGCGGACACAGGCTTTCTCAAGCTGCTTGGGCTGTAACGGCAAAAGCAGATCTCAATCATATGAGGAGATCTTCTACTGTGAGTTACTTTTACAGATCATTTGATTTCTCCCTTCTTCTGGTTATATAAAATTTCCCTTTCCTTTTTTTCTTTCTCAAAATGGTTGCTACTTTTGTTTAGAGTTTGAAACAAACATGATGTTCTTGGATTAATTAGTAGCATGTATCAGAGAGAGACTTGATTCATCTGGTTTCTGGCCCAATTAAATATGAACAAATGCCAAGATCTAATTTAGCATAGATGGTCTCTCTGTAATCTAAAAACTTGAAATTTACAACTTGGTGTCCTAAAATGCAAAAAATCAGGCTCTTTCCATCTCAAATTGTTGTACATCTGCTTTACTTTTTTTTTTTCCTTGGCCTTTTGCACTGATAGATCAACATACCTTGACTAAAACCAATAACTGCATATCAAAAGGCCTATCAAGGCTGCGCACTCAGATCCTATAGTTGACCAGCTTTGGCACTAATCTATGTCCAAAATAAATACATGTTTCAGCTGGTGGATGTGTTTCTCCTACTTGCATTGTTCAGTGGTGCTCCATGGGCTGTCAAGGGCAGTCCACATTGCAGCAAACGGGCCAACTCAGGGGAAATTCGACCTCACAGTGTCACTATCACTGAATTTGGCGCTGTTGGAGATGGGGTCACTCTCAACACAAAAGCCTTTCAGAATGCCATCTTCTATCTCAATTCCTTCACAGACAAGGGTGGGGCCAAGCTTTTTGTCCCAGCTGGCCGGTGGTTGACAGGAAGCTTCCATCTCATCAGCCATCTAACCTTGTGGTTGGATAAAGATGCAGAAATTCTTGGATCAACGGTAATCTTTCACCCTCTTTCCAAAAGTTAAAAGATGCAATAAAGACTTTGGCTGATTAATTGCAATCTGCCCTCTTTGGATACATTTGTCCGCCCTCTCTTGATTTGTTTTTGGCACAATTAATCTAAAATAGGCTTCTTAATACAATGTACTGTAAGAACCTAATTCACAATCCTACAGATAGAGTATTGTCCATACCAGAGAGATCTTGTCTGAAATGTAAGCATTACTGCTAGTCCCAAAGAGTAACTATTTTCAATCTCCGGATAAGAGTTGAGCTCCAAGTTCAGTAAGGTAGTGCCATGACCATGCGGACACAGGACTAATATTTTAGCTCATAATACTCAGTAACTTCTTCTGGAATGTTCCAGAACTCTGATGACTGGCCAGTTGTTGAACCTTTACCATCATATGGTCGAGGAAGGGAGTTGCCAGGTGGAAGACATCGAAGTCTCATTTATGGACTCAATTTGACGGATGTTATCATAACAGGTTGGTAATATAAGATGAGGAATCGTCTCACATGTGCATTTTGCTTGATTTATTGATGTTGCTGTTCTCCTCATGCAGGTGATAATGGGACTATTGATGGCCAAGGCAGCATCTGGTGGAATTGGTTCCATAACAAAACCCTGAATTACACAAGGCCCCATTTGGTGGAATTGATGAACTCAACTGGGATTGTGATCTCAAACCTGACCTTCCTAAATTCACCATTTTGGACCATTCACCCTGTATATTGCAGGTTAGTTTTAGCCACAAGGATTGAATAACATTTTTCTTCCTTGTTTGGTAGATTTCAAGTGTTTTCAGTATCATATTAAAACTAAGGAAAAAGGGAAGCTTTTATGAATTAGAGGGAGAGTTGAGACTGTTTTTCTGGATGAACAGCCATGTAACTGTCCAGAATGTGACAATCATTGCTCCTCCAAAGTCACCAAACACGGATGGGATTGATCCAGGTGAATCACCAAAATCTCCCTCTCTATGTGAAGATAACATTTCTTTTTCTTATTTCATTTACATATACGAATTACTCATGGTTGGTCTTGTCATATAACTCTGTCTAAACCTGAAGGGTCCCAAAATCCACTCATGGTTGTTTGTAAACGCTTGTAGAGCAAAACACTAATAGTTTTGCATGCGTGGATCAAATGTTAATCCTTACCCTTAAATGTGAATACTGGCATATCTTTCATTGTTGTGGATTCCTCATTCTCCCACTTGAAATTGCTTAGTGTCAATTAAGCACATAATACACTTTCACTCCTGACCAAATGCGTCAATTTTAAACTATGTTTTAGCTTCATTTAGTAGTTGTAAACTATAAGCAAACAATTTTGTTCTTACCCGTCCATTTTGATGCATCCAGACTCTTCTGATAATGTCTGCATTGAAGATTGTTATATTAGCACTGGTGATGATCTGATAGCGATCAAAAGTGGATGGGATGAGTATGGTATTTCATATGGTCGACCCAGTAGAAACATTATCATTCGTAGGATTACTGGGAAAACTGAAACAAGCGCAGGAATTGCAATTGGAAGTGAGATGTCTGGAGGTGTGTCAGAAGTTCATGCAGAAAACCTCCATTTTTTCAATTCTAAGACAGGTATCAGAATAAAGACCTCCCCAGGAAGGGGTGGCTATGTGAAAAATATCTATGTATCGAACGTGACCTTGGATGGTATAGATATAGCTATAAGGTTCACCAGTCACTACGGGGAGCACCCAGATGAGTTTTATGACCCAAATGCCCTCCCTATTATAGAGCAAATTACTTTTAAAGATGTCGTAGGAAAGAATATCAAAACTGCAGGTCTCCTAGAGGGTTTAGAAGGTGACACTTTTCTGGACATTTGCTTATCCAATATTACCCTTAATGTGACCTCAAAATCTCCATGGAAATGCTCTTCTATTCAAGGATATTCTGACTTAGTTTCTCCAGAAACTTGTGAGCCTCTCAAGGAGAGAATCTCCCCTGAGCATTACTTGGATTGTTACCATCTATCTGATCACATATGGATTTCAAGTAATCAAAACGAAGGTGTTCAGTTTCTGTCTTGGTAGATTCATGAAAGTCGCCTTCTGTGAATGTTGAAAAAAATCGATTCTTGCCATTTCTCAGTGCAACAGCCAATTACATAGCTGGAGGATATAATTGCGCGACATAAGAAGTTGAGTGCAGTTGCCAATTTGTGGTTTGTACCTTGCGAGATGGTACTAAGGGAATGAGTATATCTTGTAAGTTTGTGTGCAGTAACAAATAATTGAGTGATTTTGTCATAAATTGGAAATAGAAAGATTTTGTAATTTCAAAACACACTTTTTTCCCTCTTGCTTTTCAAGTTATACAATGGTAAGAAATTAACACACATACACAAAAAGCACTTCTCATGTTGCCGGGTCAAGGGTGCACCTCATACGCAAATGTGATGTTGTCACATTCATTACCATCCAAATGATCAGAGAACTAACATCATATTAGTGGCAAATTTCTTCAACTTCATTGAAGCAACATTCCAGCAATAGTGATTTTATTATACTTAAGGATATGTTCTTCTTGAACACTAACAGATACAAATGTTAAACATAAAATAAAATAACACTGCTGACAGAGTTACTCCAGAAAAAAAGCTTTGTGCACACACAAGAGCTTGGTGATCAAGCCAAATTCGAGGAAATTTCAGTTTGATGCAGGGCAATATGTATACCATCAACTTGCATTTCCATGGAAAAATTACATTGAATGGGCATTACCATAAAACAAAAACAAAAGTTACATTCAATGGGTGGGTAATAATTTTAACAATGCATGTATACGTCAGTCTCCGAAAAAGAAATCCACACATGACATCAAGAGCACACAGGCGATGAATGATTCTTCTCAAAGGCTGAGAATCTAGATTTTTGTTTTAACTCCCCTCCCCTATCTTGGGGATGCCTCAGTACCGTCCTTCTTTATAACAGAACATAGAACCTGCCTTGAGATGTAGGTCTCCAGCTCTCTGGACACCTCTGTCAATTTCAAGTCAAAATTGTTTCTGTACTTTTGCTTTGGCGATGGTACAATGCCAGAGAACATTGTTGGTGAACCAGAAAACCGCCTTCTTGGGCTTGGAAACCTTCCGGGTGACCCTGGCATCCACCCTTTGGATATAAGAGGTGTTAAGCCTGATCCTGCTGTGGCCGTGTTTTTATCTGTGAGTGGTCCACATTTTGTCTCCAATGGTAGTGGTTTCAGTGAATCCTCTTCTGTAGGAGGCTTCTGTTTCACAATCCTTTCTCTGGCCTTCTCTGCTGCTATCAGTGCTTTCTCCTTGCTCAACTTTATCAGTCTCCACGGGTCAATGCTGACACGGAAGCCTTGTTTCACGGTTGAGGTGGACGGCTGAGGATCTCCGTCAATTCTTATGGACAGCCTTCTGGTATTCTGAAACTTAGAAAGTCAATTTATACAATAAGTTAGGCAGATGGACTTGTGTGCCTTCCCAAATCTGAAGAAACATAATTATGGAAGGCTGTATGCCTGTATAAGATATGTGGCTGTACCTGAGTTATCCCTCGTCCTCTGCATATAAACCGTGATATGAATGATGGCTTTTCAGGTGAATCAAAATCACTACTCAAGTCTGAGGAGAAATCTGAATCATCAAATGGATCCATTTCTATAGATTGGCTCTCCTCTTTCATTGCCAGGATATAGTCATATGTTCTCATTCCCTGCAGCAGGAATATATTGTGCACAACATTTTAGTGAGAAGGTGGAGCAGGTTTTACGAATTTCGCCTCATGAGATACTACCCTACAATGCTACTGTGAAACTGGCAATTGGCAAACGAAAAGGAGTGTTGGGTTATTGGCAGCTTAGAATTGCGAAGTACCTTCCGTATTAGAACCACATGAAAGAAAAAAAGCTGTCCCATTGCTGCTGAACCATAAGCTATCATTAAAGTTAGCAAGACCTGCAAGATTTTGATGGAGTTAAAATGAGTATATGAGTGAAGATTGCTGCAATGGAAACTTGAGACAATGTTAACTAACTACCGATATCGTTGCAAGAATGCCTCTTGGGAAGTCTACGTAGAGTTTCCTCTTCAGCTCATGCTCTATTCCATTTTTATCTGCAAAGCACCTGACGAATATTGCAATTGCAGTTGCTCCTTCTATGATTAGCTGTGTCAGCAGAAGCAGTAATTTTGTTTATCATGGACTTGGTGAACAAGAGGTGAAGCAAACAGATTGAAATCTCGACTTGTTGACTGAGTTTTAATTCTCAAAGAAGCCAAAGAGACAAAACATGGAACTTACCAATAACAGAACGAAAATCATGAGGAGAATAAATGTGGTGTAATTCTTTTTCCCGACGCAGTTGTTTAACCACTGGAAAAGAAAAACAATTGAATTTGATTTGAATGTGTTCTCAAAATGAATACGAAGCAAACAAGGATAGGATTTCTCACCCTGCAGTGGTGATCAAAGCCATCAACACAACGGTTGCAGGTCCTGCAGTGTTTGCTGTGTTTTTTCACCTGAAAATAGAATTATGTTATAGAAATACGAAATCAATGTGATGCTCGTGTACTGATGTGAGAGTGAGATAAGCTCGTAACCTTACCTCAAAATCACAGAGTGCGCAGAAGGAGATGTCGTCTTCCCTTAAATCGGGAGAGACTGCGTCTTCTTTCATGAGGACAAAGGGAAATGGGAGCAATGGATCCAACTGTGCGCCGGTCTTCCAAGGATTGAGATACCTCCTCCTTATGAAAGTCCTGAGGATCTTTCTCTCCATTCTTCTAAAGAACCTCACTATAATCTGCCCCAAAACGAACCCGTAATTGAGCTTTGGATAGCCTTTGCCAGCTTTAGGTTTCTTCTTCCTAAGGCTGGTTTTGTCAGTTGGGTCAGTGGCTGTGCACCTTATGAACAGGAACATGACTGAAACAGCCTGAAATTCATAATTTAATTTCAATATGAGAATTCAGATGTCAACTTGATCTTAAGCTGATATTGATATAAACTTGAGCAAGGTATGTATATAAGAGAAGAGTAGAGAGTAGTATAAAGAACCACAAAGGAAAAGATTGTGGTGACTGTGATTTCGGCTATTCTGTTTCCCAGGAAAAGTCCAAAGAATGTATAGAAGGACACCACAAGAAAACTGTAAACTGCAATTCCCACAATCTGCATTGCATTCAAATACATTTTGTTTTAGATAGACTGATAGAGGTCTTTGTCTGCAACCAAACCAAACCAAACCAAATCGAACCAGAAAAATAAAAACAGAAAGAAAATACCTGCAAAGGGTGGAAGGGGCGTTGCCAGCCATGGCGTCTCCTATTCATTAGTCTTACCAACAAACAACGACACTAGCTAATTTGCAAATTGTGATTGCTCTTCTTCTCCAAACAAAAACACCGACTGACTTTCTCTTTCTTTCTAATCCCAATCTTCTTCTTCTTGTTGTTTTGTTTACCTCACACTATCTCAACGGTCGACTACGGTGGCTTGGGTTGGCTTTTGAAATTTGAAATTTGCTGGCCCCACTCCCATCCCCTTCTTCTCCCTCTCGTCTCGTTAATTAAATCCTAAAGTTTAAGTGGCGTGGGGGGCCCACTCCTGGCTGCAATGCAATGACTTCTCCGTTCCGTTGTTTCTTTCGTGGGTTTCTATATTATTACTTGGGTTCGGATTGGGAGTTTGAGCGCGCTCCTTGACTTAAAAACACCCTGCCCCTGACCCTGCCCAACCCATAATATAATAAAGCACAAACGAACTTTTTCTTTTTCTTTTTCTTGGTCAATAAAATCCCTCAGTGTGTGCTTGTCTATGCTATGAGTTCAGTTCAATCATGCATCACCTTTCTTTTGATCCCTTTTAGGGAGGTACGTAATCAAACTGGTTGTGATTTCAATAGTAAACACTTTAATTACGCTCCAATTTTATTTTTGTTCTAATTCTAGACCGTTAGTAAACATCTTAATCGGGTTACTACATATCATTTCTTCTTGTGGAACTGAAAAATAAGGCCTAATTTTAACTTTAAAATTGTTTTGATCCAACATGAGTGCAAAAATATGGAGACCTAATTGAAATATGGACCAAACTACCATGACAAACGTAATATTCTTAGCCTATAAAAATAAAAAATAGAGGCTTAGGGTTAACTTTAGAGATTACTAAAGGCTTGTGGATAGTGCTTAATAAAGAGCTGGATTCTTAGCAGTACTAAAGAATAAACCCTTTAACAAAAATAAAAATAAAATACGATACGAGAGTTTAGATGTCTTGGAGACTTTGTAGCTAGTAAAACTTGGGAGAGATAGAAGACCCAATTATTCTTGTGTGTACGTTAAAGAACCTATTTGTTGATCTTTTTAGTCTTCTTTCTGCTTATATGCAATATCACACAATGTTATAATATTTACTAAATTTAAGTTATAGAAATTAGTGATAAATATGTAATTTAGCGCATCAACGACATATACATATATCAAGTCTAAACACTAGAAGAAAACAACATTAATAGTGGCACAAGATGGGGTGGCTAACTGCACTATCCAATGAGCACCGATAATGCAGTTAGGCACCTCATTCTATGCCCCATATATCCATGGATATGAACAATGTTTTCTTGTAGTGAAATTCAAGATAAAAACTCCAGAATTCTTGGGCAGAAAAAAATTGAATATGTAACATCTTCATTATACTCTATCATCTCATTCTTTATATATAACCTTTTATTTATGTACAAGGAAGATGTTGTCTCATCAAACTTGATGATCAGTAATACAACGCGTATAATCATAATTCACACACACACACACACATATATATATATATATATATATATATCTACAGGTGCGAGACAATATCTTAGCCCAACTCGACTCCCAAACATGAACAATGAATGTATCTATTAAAACCGAGCTATGCATTTTAGATAGAGCAGCAAAGGCCACAAACAACACCCGATCTTAGATAATTCATGGCATATAACACCCTCGTGAATCTAAGATGGATTGAAAACGAAACATAGCTAGCTAGTGACCCAACAGGACATATGAGTAAATGATTAGTTGGTGGAGAAAGTGGTGCAGGACTGAGGAAGCTGTGGGGATCCAGGCTGTAATGATCCGGGTGGAACCCCAATATTAGCACTAGGAGGGGAATTATTGGTACTTGCAACTACTCCTCTAGCTGCATTATTATTAGCGATGTCTCCATCATTAATATTAATCCCCCCCTGGTGGCCCTGGTGGGGGCGGGGTGCCCCCATAATAGTTGAGATGGCCGCAGCTAGGGCTGCAGTGAAATTGGGGTCAGAAGCAATGGCTGCACTAACAGTCTCAATCATGCCACTATCATGAGTACTAGTATTACGTTGGCCGCCTAGCGACACTCCAGCAGGTGGTGGGGGTGCCTTGTAATTAGGAGGGAAATACACTGGGGCTTGGATAGGATGCCCCAGCCCACCCATAAGCTGGTGATAATGCAAAGGCAGAGGAAATGTGGATGAGGAAGGTGGCGGGATTCGGTGGAATTGCTGCATGGGGCTCTGAGTCAAGTCCAGCGTGATGGTGGGAAATGGTGCAGAGGCTGATAATGTGGCCATGGACGAAGCGAAGAAGGGCAGCTGGGAATTGGAGAAGAAGCGAGAATTTGCTAGATGATGATGATGATATTGGTGAGCTTCCTTGCTTGTAGTTGAACCTGATAGCAGCATGGCAGCTGCTGCTGACGTGGTGTTGGCCATGGCTGTGGCTGCTGGAGGCAGAGGGTGGCTGTGATTACCTTCATAAGTAGTTATGAGAATGGTTTTATCCTCCGCCAATCTTTGCACCTGTTTGCGAACGGGGCATCCAATGGCCATAGTACAACGGTAGTAAGCACGTGGGCAAGGGTTACCCTTTGCCATCTTTTGACCGTATTTCCTCCATTGACATCCATCGCTAATCTGCATATATTTATTTCCACAAACATTTTCAAATTAAGAAATTAACCATTAGTTGCTGGATTCATATCACAAGTCAATTGAAGTCACACATTGTCAAACTGTCTTGCTATGCTAGCCAGACTGTGAATATGTACCATTGATGTGTCGAAATTCACAATATTGCAACATAATTAGCATTTGTATGTAACATAAGTTTAGCAATAGAATGATTGAGTTCATGTGCAAAACTCTCATATATGCATGTATATATTTAGTTGAGTACAAGTGGTTCAATGTACATACCATAGGAGCTTCTGATCTTGCTCGTACGGAAACCCTTGCCTTCCTAAAAGGAATCTGATCAGCCACTGGAACTTGTTCTTGATCAGTACTACGTTTGGGCTCATCATTATCATCATCAAATAAATTGGGATCGCTACTTTTACTGGTATAATTAGGGGACCCCAGACACTGGGATGACCGGTCAAGAGCTTCTTCCGCACAATTAATATTAGTTTGCAGCCTCCTCTGATATTGGTCACGCTCCATTGACATCACCTCTATATTCAAATTTGATGGAGCGAATGATGAGAAGGCTTCATGATCAGCCGGTGTCTTTCCAGAAGAATAGGCAACTGATGGATCGCGGACATGGTCTATTGCAGCAGCTGTAGATGGCCGTGGATCCATGAATTGTCTGGCCAACATGCCATTTGCCTCACACTTAATCTGTTGTTCAAGAAACCATGCCTTACGTACTGTTGTGATAAAATATTAACTTCATATTCTTTATATTTATGCTGGACTGGTTTTACAATGTTGTTGAATTTTTAATAGAATAATGTGGAGTGCACATCATGTTCATATAGGTATTATCTCAAGCACGACACCAATATATATGGTGTAATGGACATTAGAACACCGCAGCACTTGCCTTAACAGGCCTAAACCCTAATATATTAATCCTGTCAATTCATAATTTTATATATAACAGGATCATGTTGATCACGTATATGCGATAGTTCTAGGGAGGGGAGACAAGATTAAAAGTAAAAGTATAAACTTAATATACCGGCTCTCGTATTTGTGCCTGTTTCTGCATCGTTATGAGTAGCTGAGCTTGCAACTGGCTGTAACTTTTGGTCATTTGGTCTAACATGGTTTGGAGCTCGCCATTTTCTTCATGTAGCCGCTCTAACTCAACTTGAAGACTAGCCATCAGCTGATGAAAAGTTACCAAGTTACGATTTAATAGTATCAACAATTAATTATGATAATTGGAAATTAATTAGGAAACATATATGAGAGAGAAAAATCAAATTCTAAAATGAATCGCGCGCCGGAAATTTATAATAAAAAAAACACAGCCATATGTAAATAAATATGTGGTAAGACTAATCAGTACCTTGTTATTGGAATTTTGATGAATATCACTGGCAGATGTTGATGAAATTCCGGAATTTAGAGTGAGGAGATTCAATCCTGTCTGGCCATGGATGATATATAATAATTTGTGAGTAGTGATGATGGTAATTAGGTGGGTTTTGTTTAGATATAGATATATAAGATGATATATAAAAGAAAAGAACAATAAAAAGGAAGTATAATCTTACGTTAACAGCCGGAGGATTATTGTTGCAGTCTTGTTGGGGTTGACGACGGGGCTCCTCATCATCATTCATGATATTATTATCGGAAAAGAAATCCATTACTTTGATTTCTTTGGTTTGTCTGAAAAGTTGTTTGATTGGGATTGGGATTGGGATTGAGGGGTTGCTGCTACTAGTGTTGTTGGTAGCGTCAACAAGACCATCATCGGAAGCATTAAATGAGCAATCGGAGACGGAGTGGGGGAAGAGTTTGGGGATTATGTGATGACGACGGCCTTGTTTTTCCATGACTGCTATACGTACCGCAGAGTGACTTGCAGCGCCCAGCTACCGACCTTTTTCAATTTCAACCAACAAAATAAATAAAAGTATATCTATATATTGCGAGCCTTCTTTTGTCAAAGTGAAATTTCCAACTTCCAAGTAATGGGTATCCATAAGAGAGAGACTAGGACTTGAGAGAGAGAGAGACAAAGAACTCCTTAGAAGGGGTCTATTCGTCCATATGGAAAAATAATAAAATTATTAATGAAATTAGGCTTATTATTATTGAGGTCTAGACCTAGACGGGATGAGCCGAGCGTACAACAGCCGTTTTTTTTACCTTTCTTTTTCCTTTCGAGGGATAAATGACGTCACCCTTGAGGTAAGGGTGTAGGTGACTGGTTTCAACCACCACAACGAAAGGGAAGCTGCTGCAGCGCGGAGGAGGAGGAGGAGGAGGAGGAAGGGAGGGTGAGAGTGTGAGGTTAATTTCAACTTGAAATATAAATATACACACGTTATCTCTCCAAGTCTTAATATAGTAATTAAGAAAGCCGTGGGAGATGAGTCACCAATCCTCAAACGGAGTCACAGACGGTGGTTAAATACTACTGAAAATGAAAACATATATATATATACACACACAAGTTACAACACCTAATCCCACTGACTTCGAATTCCAACCTCATTCAGCCAACCCCTCACGTCAATGCAATGCTCTCTCTCTCTCTCTCTCTCTCTCTCTCTCTCTCTCTCTCCCCTTCAGCCTCGGCTTATACATAGTTATAGTAGTAGCATTTTAACAGCCAAGACTATCCGCAACTTTATGGTTGGGGGGTCAGTCTAATTAATACTGCCATGCTTTGTCAAAGCTGTAGATATCATACCTAGTAGGCTGAAAATTTTGACTTGTAGGAATTAATGGACTAGGGTTTTACCCATATTAGTTATTAGTATATCCATTAGATTAGAATGCTCCACCTACTCCATCTTAATTTCCTCCAATATTTGCTTGCTTCATCGACATTAATGTATGCCTTTATCTTAATTGATTTTACCTATAATTTCCTCTATTCAACACCCCCCCAACCCCCCCCTCCCTTCTTCTGCCCAACATTCTACACCTCTACACTTCACGTATATAATATACCCAACCTTCTACATATCAGAATTGGTTGGTTTACTTTCCTTTAATCCCTAGATTTCCAAGATTAACATTATTATTACTGCTAGCACTGCCCACCTCGTTGGCTTAAATTTCTAAAAGATTTTAAGATGCGTGTTAGCCAACTACAACACTTAACTCCAGTTGATGTCCAAAAATGAATTCAACTTAGAAGTAGGCATGCTTTTTGTCTGGAGCGTTCTACGACAGGTGTGGGATGAATCTACAAAAGGAGAGAGCAAATGTGAAGACCTTAGGCACCTGTGTGATATTGGCCGAAAGCACTCCGATGCTTAAGTTAGCACAAGTGTTGTGAACAGAAGATAACTATTGATTTGAAGCTATTGAAATGTACCATTGCAAGTAAAATTGCAATTCAATTCAATAGATACTAAAATAGTTCAATAAATTGAACTATTGAACAACCATTGTGGATGCTCTAATGTGTAAAATTCTTTACAAAGATAATTCTTTATGAAATCTTACAAATGGAGGGTTAGATTATCATGATCACATTGTGGGGCATAAGAATGACAAGTGCCGTTTAAATTAAAAATAGGCACACGTTCTTGAATACTTTTGTATATTTGAAAGAAGGGCCTAACTAATATTTCTTCTGAATGCATTAGCATAAATGAAAGCAAAGACAATAATTTTATTTCAATTTCCCATACGAATTCAACTTAGGATAATGACTTTCACACTCCCATTTTCTCCTTATACACTCTTTCCCTTGTCTGTGTCCCTTGATTCTCCTGTGATTTATTCAACCTAAGGTTAGGGAAAAAAAATAAAAAATAAAAAAGTGAAGTGCATGGAGAGAAAAGCAGAGTGTGCAAATTGCTTCCCATATTTTATATATTATGTGTTAGGGCCCTTTACTACAAAGGGTCACCCCTTGACAAGACACACAACTTATTTTTTATTTTCTTTTAAATATTTATTTGTGTGGCTTCATATGAAATCAATTTATGTCCGTTGCTCAAGTCAAGTCACTAATTTCATGCCTCTTAAATGTCTTAATTAAACTATGAATGAAACCACTTGTTGATGACATCAAATGTCCCCTTGTATTTTCTAAAGATAAAAATTTATTTGTAACCTTGCTTGTATCATATATATATATATATATATATGTGTGTGTGTGTATATGTTAGAAAAATATTTCATTATTAAATAGTCATGATCTTTCTTGTTTTTTTTAAAAAAAAGTCGAATTAAATAGTCTCGATCAGGGGCGGAGGTACACTAGGGCCTGAGGTGGCCCTGGCCCCTCCACAATTTGTTCTCAATGCAGTAAAGCTTGGGTTTTAGTTCATATATTTAACAATGCAAACCATATAACCATTCTAATGGCCCCCCCAATTGCAATCCATAAATAACTTCATTTATAATTATATGTAAATTGTTTGTAGGCCCATTACACAACTGACATTAAAAAAAAAGGGAAGTATTAATCCTCTAATAATCAAACCGATGAGCTAAGGGAATAGAAAATAGTTTGACCAAAAAAAAAAGGGGGAATAGAAAATAAATAATTTAAAGGGAAATGAGATTTTATCATTAAACTTTTCCGTTTTGATACATGAAATTAAGTATGAAGTTTTAAAAAATGTCCATTTTTTCATATATATATATTATTGATGTAAGATTGAATTTTTTTTCTATACTTGTATTACGATTCGGCCCCTCCACAGATACAATCCTGGCTCCGCCACTGGTCTCGATGACGTATTAATATTGTGCACATCAGTTTCATTGGTCAAGTCAAGATGTGGAAAAGTGAAGTCAATGGTAGAAGATGCCTCATTTGACAATGAGAACACACAGCTGGAAGGTCGCTCTCTCTTGATTATTATATACTAATAATAGCATTGAGAATGATCTGAAGGTACGTGCTTGTCTATTTATATATATATATATATTAACTCCAAGAAAACAACAAACATGTTATTATTTTCCTTGTGCATGTTTACACCTGCAAAGTCAATACGTACGATTGGTTTTTATTGCAAATATCTCGTGTTAGGTTTTTATTTCATTATCCATGTTTGATTTGAAGGCAAAAACAAAGACGTAACGACTGCAAGTAGTCCTCAATCCTCATCATCAGTGACTTTATTTCATCTTAACTTGAATTAGTGGCTTTCTTATCTTACTCAATCAAATTCAATGCATGATGCATCACCTTCACTTCCATAGCGGCAAGCAAACGGCATACGGAGTTGATCATGATTCATGATCACATGCAATGCAAAGCAACGGGCAACCTGGTTTTTCTTGAGAGACAAAAATCTCAATAAAAACAAGAAAAGAAAAGAAAAGGTCATGGAATATAATTATTCCTTTCTACTTTGTAATTGAGACAGACAGCCAATAACCAGCAGCAGCAAGTCAACAACTTTTTACAATAAATTTTAAATTTTATATGCAGTTACAAAAGTTTAACTTTACATGTAAACATACTCAAGCTTACAAAGTCTTAAACACTCAAACCTAATCAAGATAGTTACAAGCCAAGAAAAGTGAACCAATGACAGGGTTGACAAGTCTCGGACAGAAACCCAGTCTAGGTCTAGAGGTAGTCGACATGTGTGTAATCTACACCAAAACGTAGGCGCGCGAGAGCAGCAAGCACATACCTTTGTTTGTCCATTTGGGTCAAGTCTAAAAATACTTAAAGTGCACGAAAAACATTTGAAACCATACACAACAAAACTATTTATCAAAGCATAAACCATTTGGTATGCTCACGCACTTGCCCAAACATTTTTCAGGATCGTAATAACGTTATTTGGTAACCGATCCATGCATAATAAACTAGTGTCGGTTATTAGGAACTATAACTATGGCCCGGCCGGCAAGGCCTTAGGGTTTGATGGACTGGCAAATCCTCGAGTGGTAGCAAACGATTCCATAGTTGCTTTCAAAACTGCCTTGTGGTTTTGTATGACTGAGCAAAAGCCTAAGCCCTCTTGCCACGATGTCATGACTGGAAGATATGTCCCCACAGAAGATGACATGGCAGCTAATCGGACTGTTGGGTATGGGCTGGTCACTAACATAATCAACGGCGGAGAGTGCGGAAGATCCAACGACGGAAAAGTGAACGGTCGAATTGGTTATTTCAAAAGATATGCTGAGTTGTTTAACGTTGATCCCGGACCTAACTTAGATTGTGAAAATCAAAAATCTTTTTAATGAATTCTCCTATATATGCTTTTTGTTTTTTCATTGCTTTGCCCTTTGTTTAAACTGAAAAAAGATTGGATGTACGTATGTCGCACAAAAATGTTGTCAAATCTCTTGAAAACAAGGCAATAAAAGTGTATTCCATGCTTATGTGATGTGATACGGATTTCCGGTTGTTTGATCGTAACTGTACTGATCCGCAAGGTCAACCGGAAAATCAAAATGGCCAAAAGAATAAAACTTTCATAATGCAATACCGATCAATACAAATGTTGGATCTGCCAACAAAATGATAATGATAATACAAAATTGCGGATAGTCTGAAACAAACAAGTCCAAGAGCAGTAGATTTATCCTAATGACTGATATATGAGAGAATCGTCTAAAAGACAAGCTCATGAGGCTTCATGCCTGACTTAAGAGAGAATCTCGCAGCTAAGTATGTCTTCAAGTCTGGGACGGCCTCAATGGACTTTAACAATGAAGCATCCACGCTCTTCTGATCGTCTTTCCTTCCTTGGGGGAGGGCATTCTTTTCCTACATTTTGTTGTTGGGAAAATATTAATTCAAAGTAAAATATTTAGACAGGAACAGTCACAGTGATGGATGCTATTCTCCAATATTTGTATTCAGACCAGTAACAAATAAATGAAGACCATACTATCTTCCTATAACATGGAAATGAGAGCGAAAATGGAGAAAGAAACAAATAAAAGTAGCAGCAGAAGTTGGAAAGATATTGATAGGAGTGGAGAGACAACGCAAAAGGGAAAAACAATTAAAAAAAAAAAAAAAAAAAAAAAAAAAAAAAAAAAAAAAAACAAAAAAAAATAGTGTGGTCTTTTTCTCATGCTTAGAAAACTATACATAATTAATAGATCCCGATGGCACCAATAAACATTTCAACTTGCACAACATCTAAGTCCGCATAGACAGTAGCAAGAACAGATGATAACTAAATTTGCTCTACAAATATATACAAGTAAAAAGATGATAAAACTAACCTCTTTCTCTGCCTCAAAAAATTCTCCCTCCCCCTTATTTTTCTTCTTCTCCACTTCCTTTGCAAAATATTTGTCATCAAACTTTTCTACATTCACCCCAGAAATGTCAACCTTGGTGGAAGTGGCAATCACATAGGACTGATTCACACGTCTCAAAGGAACACCATTAATTTTGAATGGCCCTGCAAAGGCATAAAACCAGCACTCGAGTTAGAAATACATTCTATGAATTTGCCTGAACAAGTTCATTTTGAGAACCAGACAAGTGCCACAATTAGAAACCCATGACCCAGCCACTACGCAATAAATAGAAAATAAATAGGAAAATTCATCTCCCACAGATGAGAGAAATTTCGTGGATAATGGATTGGCATGTATGGGCTCAACTCTTTTGTTGGCATTGAGCTCATCCTGAGGAATGACTTTATGGGTGTTGCCCGTCCTTGGGACCTTGAGGCCCCCACTTAAACATAACACAAAATCTTTTCATGTAAAAAAAAAGTGAATATATATAAAAGCAGTCAACTTAAAGAAAACAACTGACAAATCATTGGATAAACCAATTCCGAAACTGTCTATGAAAATTAAAAGGCATAAAATATATATATATATATATATATGCAATCAAGGTAAAAGGCCATATAACAGGCCAAGTGAAGCTAACCACATAAATGCTAAGAATATCTATTTCTACCAATCATGAATGCATAATCAAAGGAACAGATATCATAAATACAATAAAAACACATTGGCATAAATTAGATAAAGGAACAACGTAAGTGTGATATTTGGTGACACTTCACAAGTTGACACATTCACATGTATCTATGCTGTTACAGATACACGCTACTGCACTTAAACTACACACTACCCTATTCGAACCACCCTGCAAAGTATCCCAGTTTACAGGAGCTGAAGCAATCACAGAAAGGAAGCGTGCAAGGGAGAGGGATAGCTTGTACAAAACAATAACTTAGGAAAAAAGGACTTGTTACATAAAGCTTGTACAAAACAAGGTTGTTGGGTATTTGGCAGAAACAAGGTGGAGGTCGTTACATAATCATAAGCTCAAATGAACTTGTTTAAGAGAATTCAAATGTACCTCATGGAACAATTCGAATTAGCTTGATCAAATTTTTCATTAAGAAAACGTTCGAAAGTGTACTATTATTACCTTATTACATTAAAAAAACAACAACAACAGAAAATAGATGAAGCGATAATGAATGAAATTGGAAAGCTCACCAGTAACGAGAAGCAATCCAGATGTAAGCTGCTTAAGAAAAACAACTCTCTTTCCCTTAAACCTTCCAGCCAATATAATCAACACCGTGCCAGGTGTAATACTCGCTCTACATACAAACAACCAAAATTTTTAATTTAAAAAAAACAATAATAATAATTTGAAAAACAAATTAAACACATTTTGTAAAATTGAAATTTAAAAGTAGGGAATATGAGAGAACCTGAGGTTGGTAGGCTTGGGCTTGCGCTTGTTGACGAGAGGCTTCTTGGCGTCTTCGGCAGGGTAGAACTTAGGGGGTTTCTGGGTTGGGACCTCAGCCGCTGGCTTGGGGTCATGGCGTGGGAATACGCCGCCGTTTTTGGCCTTGATGGCCCAAAGACCGCGCTTGTGGTACATCTTGGACCTGGAGAACTTACCCACCCCACGAATCAAATCAGGGTTCCGGGTCTTTCTCGGGAGTCTGGCTTTTGGTGCCATTGCGATTTGCAGCAACTCTCTCTGTCTTCCGGAAACCTACGGCTTGCAATTTGCAAATGCGAAACAGAGAGAGAGGTGCGGCGGAGTTGAAGACTTCAACTTTAAAGTCTTAAACCCTAAACCTGTTTATTTTTTTGTTCAATTCATTTTGTTGGGCTGGTGGATCAATTAAAGATAAGACGTCGTTGGGCTCAATAGATCCAGTCCATAGTTGAAGACTTGGGTTGGGCTCTATCAATCCAGTCCACAGTTGAAGCCTTGGGTTGGGTCCAATCCAAAGCATCAAAATGATTTGATGAGAAGATTTGGGTGACATGACATGAGAATCACGTGAGCAAATACCAAGTCTTCCACTCCAGTTTCCACTAGTTGAACTTGATGACATCCCTGCAGCCGCTTCTCTATTGATTCATCACTCTTGAGTCTTGTCTTGTGTAAATTAGCAAATACATGGACATCTCTCTCTCTCTCTCTCTCTCTCTCTCTCTCTATATATATATATATATATATATGCATGGTGACGACATTTCCACTCTGGGGAGAAGTGGCTAAGTCAGCCTCTTGCCTTCCGGTAAAGGGAAAAAAGTATATCGTGCCCATTATATTATTAGGCCATCACATGAGACTGGGTCAAGGAGTCTCTAAGCTAAGCTGACCTCTGAGCTAGCTAAAATATTGTATGTTGACCTCTGACTAATTAGTATTTGCTTGAATGCAATGCAACTGAAACGAACCCACTACCATAGCATATAGCATGTAGCATGTCCTCTTCTTTCTAAAATGAATTATGAATATATGGCCGGCACTGCACTGCGCACGTCTGTATAAAAGGCCAACGACTTTGCTTTCCTTCCTTCTTATATATTCAACCAAATTACCAAGCACATATGCACGCCTAAGCGCTAATTACATATCCATGGCAATAATCAGCTGGTTGTCATCTTCCATCTTCCTCTCATTATTCACCTTGTTTTGCCTTAGTATTAGTAATGCATCATGGGGTGCTGAGGCTGCTCGCGAATCATGTCGTCCCATCTCGTCTTTGATCAACAAAGACCTTTTCCACACCATGTTTCTACACAAGGACGACGCCGCATGCCCTGCCAAAGACTTCTACGCCTACAACTCTTTCATCCAAGCCTCCAAATCCTTCCCTGGATTTGGCACCACCGGAAGCTTAACCACTCGCAAGCGCGAAATTGCTGCCTTCCTTGCTCAGATCTCTCACGAGACTACAGGTGGGTGGGCTACTGCCCCTGATGGACCCTATGCATGGGGTTTGTGCTATAAAGAGGAAATCAATCCCCAGAGCGACTACTGTGACTCCACCAACAAGGAATGGCCCTGCTATCCGGGCAAATCTTACAAAGGAAGAGGCCCTATTCAACTATCTTGGTAATTTAATTTCATTACTTGATCATCATATCTAATAGCTATATCGACATAATATATATGCATGTCAATGTCACATATATATATTATGGATGGTAATTGGTAATATGTGGTTTTGTCGTACAAATGTTTAGGTTGTCGGATTGTCTTTTGATGATTTGAAATATATATGTTGGTAATGAATTAGGAACTTTAATTATGGCCCGGCCGGCAAGGCATTGGGGTTTGATGGGCTTAAGAATCCAGAAATAGTGGCAAACAATTCCATGATCGCGTTGAAAACGGCTCTGTGGTTCTGGATGACTGAGCAAAAGCCGAAGCCGTCTTGTCACGATGTCATGGTTGGACGATATATTCCCACAGAAGCTGATGTGGCAGCCAACCGGACGGCCGGATTTGGGGTGGTGACTAACATAGTCAACGGTGCCCTTGAGTGCGGCATACCAAACGACGCACGAGTGAATGATCGGATTGGTTATTTCAAAAGATATGCTCAGCTGTTGAATGTGGATACTGGATCTAACTTAGACTGTGCAAATCAGAAGTCTTTTTAATGTTAAAAAAACAGGAATGCAGTGCAAGTTGCAACATGTCTATGATATTGTTCTTACAATATTACATGGAATAAGAATTAATACAGAGCTTGAGTTGATGGAGTTTTCTGTTTTGTATTTAATTTCTGTCTGCGTGATCCTTTTTTCAGATTTGATGAATAGAATATGTTGTGATCCTTCAATCATGGAGTAGTTGTTGGAATATAATAAAAGCGAAAGGATCATTACCCGTGTGATTCTTTGGCTCATGCTATGTCCTCACTTTGTGTCACTCACTCTGTTGTTGGATGGTATATATGTATATATATAATTTGGAAAACATGTACACAGAAAGCATGTCCCTGTTATATCAAATTAGATTTGTCATGCTTAGATAAAAACATATATTACTAAACCAAGTTGGTCCTAGTGCAAAATACTGACAAAAACAGTAACAAAAATAAATGATAAATACTATTTTCTTCGTCTTCTTCATCGTCAACTCTGTACAGAATTATGAACATCAGTAAAGCCAATAATCTGCATTGCTCAGAGCAAGAAACTAAACAACAACTCGAACATACTTAACTTTTAGATAGTTGCAAGAAAGGAAATAAGAAATGACTACAACAGGAAAAGGGAAAACTCGGAACTAAAGTACAAAAATGTAGAATGAGTCTGCCATGTTAAACGAAACAACCACTCCAACCACATTTTCTACTATACCAAACATTCAAATATGCATAATACATAAACAATTCAATATAACAAATGACAGACTCCATATGAGTCTGGCATGTTGAAATGCAATGGAAAATGTCACACACTAATTATAACCTTCTTTGATCAAATAAAGCGAGAAGTAATACGATATACCAAACACTTCTTTAATCTCGGGGAAGGGAGTGTCTGAAAGCCAAAACCAGTGTTTGAGGATTCCCTATTTTTTTTCCTTGGTGCAAAAAAGCCATAAAGAAAGTGCTGCCCGTGGCCCTGCTTATGGAGTTGCGTAGAAAAGGCTTGCTAGTTTGATATTTGCTATATTATAAGCAGTGCAGTCCCCTGGTTTATGATGATCAGTCTAATATTGTAGCACATACAAAAGTCCAAGATCAGGTTTGTCTAACTCAAAAGAAACGATAAGGATGTGGTAGATGAAACTGTGGATTTTGACATCACAAGAGAGAGTGTTCCGTATCAAAGTATCCACCAGTTCTAAGAATTTGCTTTGCTGTCTCTCTTTATCTGAGCTTGACCATGGCAAGAACATTTCAGAAAGGAAAAGAGAAAGTGCAAACTAATAAAGAGCAAAAGCACAATGAAAGGCACCATTAAGAGTAAAGCCTTTAATAACAGAAGAATAATTGTCAAGCAAAATCATCCAAGTAAGAGTTATCCATTCCATCTGTCTCTCTTCATATGGAGAGAGAGTCTTACAAGCTATGATTGGCGGGAAATGTGACTCTATCAGGACAAAAATTTTGAAAGGCAGCTGTCAGTTTGCCACTAACTGTTAATGTGTAAGATGGTTCTTTGTTCAACAATGGTTGCAGACTGCAGTGAAAGTAAATAACAAGCAAAGCTGCACACAAACAAGCATTGCACACCATAAATTCACAAAAGGTCACATGGGAAACAGCAGAACCAAAATCGATAAATTAGCCCTTCAAACTGGTTGTTCTCCAATCCAAATGCCTTAATCAGAATAAGAAAAACAATATTAAAGCATTGGAGAAGAAGTATGCACCACGGACATAGCCTGCAACTCCCTCAATGATCCCATTTATGGGATGCTGCCTGAAATTTTGTTACCCTCAAGCCAACTGCAAGGAAATAGTTCCATCAAAGGCGTTTTAGTAATCGATCGGGATAGGACAATCTGGTGGACATGGATAGCATAAACATCTATTGACACTTCCGTGAGTATCTACACTACAAGTCATCCAATGCATTCAAGGAAAAGTTTAACTACATCAGCAATTTAGCATACCATTCCAAAACATTGCATGTGTTTTTCTGCACAAATGAATGAACCACCCAAAGAAGGCGAAACCGAAATTATAGCCTAGCAAAGGAACATGACAATTCAAGGAAGTGCCTAGAAATTTACCTTGAATAACAAGCAACTGGCAACCACAAGAATGATATTAGAGAAAGAAACTCCCTTGGGCAAACTGTTCAATACTTGAAAAAGCGATCAACCCAAACATTATTCCAGATATAGCCCCTCCTCTCCCTTATCCCAGAAGAGGGAAAGAAAAAAAAAGAGATGGGTTGGAATTAAAACGCTGCGTTTCACTTCACACTTACTTAAGGCTGATGTGGAAATTCTAAAGCCGTTAGATTCTTTGAATGGCTAAGATTTCTCTAAATGCAGAAGACTGCACTTAACTTATTCTCACGGCCAGAGACCTCACTCGCTGGAGTTGCAATAATCCGACGCTACACCCCCTCTCCCTTATCCCATCACCTTCCACCCCGAAACTCTCTGCTTCACCTTCACACTTGCCGCCGCCGCCGCCGCAGGAGCCGCAGCGAGCCTTGCTGCTCCTCTCCTCTATCTTCTTCAGTTCGTCTCCATCTCTAAATCCCCTAACCACAAGCTTCAGCCTCCAATATCCAGGTGAGTCGTTTTCAGCATTAAATTTTGCTTCTTTTGCATCCTCTTTGTCTCTGGATTATGCTTTCTCTTGTAGTCTATAAGTAGTAGCTCCAAATGGAACCGAAGCTCTTGTTTTCTTCAACCAAAGCCTCACCGTCCCCTTCTTTATCCTTTTTTCTCTCATACAAATCTCCTTTTCTTCTACAACCCAAACAATCTACGAAAACCCATTTGTCACTCTCAAAGATACTGCCAGAAAAATCGCTATTCTGGGGAAAGAGTTTGGTTTTACATGGGAGAGATGTTCCTTTGGGTAACCTGACAAAAAACCATGTCCCGTTTGGGCCAATAAGTGCTGCTGTGAAGAGAAGGAAAGAGCTTCCCTTTGACAACGTAATTCAAAAGGATAAGAAGTTGAAGCTGGTTTTGAAGATACGAAAAATTTTAGTGAGCCAACCTGATAGAGTTATGTCGCTTAGAGAGTTAGGTAGGTACAGAAGAGACTTGGGTCTGCAGAAAAAGCGTCGTTTTATTGCCTTGTTAAAGAAGTTCCCCGCAGTGTTTGAGATTGTTGAAGAAGGGGTTTACTCTTTGCAATTCAAATTGACGCCGGAAGCAGAAAGGCTTTATTTTGAGGAGTTGAAGGTCAGGAATGAGATGGAAGAGTTGCTAGTCGTGAAGTTGAGGAAATTGTTGATGATGTCATTGGATAAGCGGATTTTATTGGAGAAGATTGCCCATTTGAGGAATGATTTGGGGCTTCCTTTAGAGTTTCGTGATACAATTTGTCACCGTTACCCTCAGTTCTTTAAAGTTGTTGCAACTGCGAGAGGTCCGGCTTTAGAATTAACTCATTGGGATCCTGAGCTTGCAGTTTCAGCAGCTGAGTTATCTGAAGAGGAAAACCGGGTTAGAGAAATAGAAGAGAAGGATTTAATTATAGATAGGCCTCTCAAGTTCAATAGACTAAAACTGCCAAAGGGTCTTAATCTTTCCAAGGGTGAGATGAGAAGGATATGCCTGTTCAGGGACATACCTTACATATCCCCTTACTCTGATTTCTCGGGCCTGAGGTCAGGTACAATTGAGAAAGAGAAACATGCTTGTGCAGTTGTTCATGAGATGTTGAGTCTTACTGTGGAGAAGAGGACCCTTGTGGATCACCTTACTCATTTTCGAGAAGAGTTTAGGTTCTCTCAGCAGGTGAGGGGTATGCTGATAAGGCACCCTGATATGTTTTACGTGTCCTTGAAAGGAGATAGGGATTCAGTTTTCCTCAGGGAAGCATATCGTGATTCCCAATTGATAGACAAGGATCGTTTGTTGATCATAAAGGAGAAGCTTCGATCTATTATTTCTGTTCCTCGGTTTCCTCGAAGGGGTGCTCCCAGAAGTGAGGCAGATGGTGCAGAAGGAAATGATGTGGCAAAAGGTGGAACTCTTGAGGAGGGTGAGGAATGGTCTGATGCTGATAAATTTATGAGTGATGATGAGTTTGACAATGACGAAGATGATGATGAAGATGATTGGAGTGATGAAGATGATGATACACCCCCGGATTTCGACGAAGATGGGAAAACACTGAATATTGGAGTGAGCAAACCAGTCAAAGATGAAGATAATTCGAGACAGAATGATGGAAAGGTACTTGTTCCAGTGTTGCCAGATGGTCGGCCAAGGGAGCGCTGGTAAATTAATGGATTTGTAGGGACTGCAGCCTCAAGATATATCCTGAAAGGGTTGATTATATGTTTTGGCCTGAAATACTATATATGTCTGATCCTGCTCGAAGGAGAATTCAGCATGCTATCTGCAAGGCTCTAGAACCTGTTAGCAACACAAGGCCTTTACCTTTTCCCCATACTCGATGTTCAGAGAAATGTTCTTTGAAAAACAAAGGCATCACCTTCAAGTACTATATTTCTCTATTGCCTTATGTAACAGAGTCATTTGTTTTTGTACTCTTTAGTTAAGAAAACTGATATTTTGTGGGAATGAGAAGTTGCAGCTTGTTTCAAATAATTCTTCATGCTTTTTAGTTGAATAACCTGGTTGATGCTTAATGTTCATACCTCTGCAATGCAATTACTTACATAACGATTCAGAAACGTTTGTATCTAAAGCAAAACACCTGGTAGAGATTAGAAGTAACTTTATGAAATTTTCATCCAGATTATCAAAATTAGCTTTCTCAAATTGTTCTTCCATTACTCTTTCACCATACTCGTCTTCACAATCTTTTCATTGTCTCAAGAGAGTGCTTTTAGTTTTTTTTCCCCTTATTTTCCAAGATTTTCTTAGTGGCCAAACAGAATATTCATGATCTATTATTCTTCTTTTGTATCATTATGAAATTAAAAAAATCTACAATTGTTTTGAGAGATTAAGGAAATTGCAAAGGTCTAAAATACGACTTGCAGATATTATACATATCCTGTATTAGGCTTCCTTACTCCAATGTATGCCTTACACATTTGTTTCACCATGCTTTATTGGATTGTGCTATTTTCTCTTTAAAAGTTAGGTACTCAAAATATGTTCTCTAGCATACTGTTTGGAACCAAAAAGAAAAAGAATTTTAGTTAATATGCAAATGAATTCAAAATTTTGGAACAAAGTATCTATTATTTTAGTTCAATTTTCATTAGATTCTATATGCAGCAGGTAAGTTTTCATGGATACTAAGGGAACTTATTCTGGGAATAACATAACTGCTATATGAGAAAAGTTACCTGAAAAATGTTCCTTACATCTGTGTTCTCTTTATGTATGGAGGAAACCCTGAACATAGAGAGAACACTACATAGAGAGAACACAGATTTAAGGAAACATAGTGATGAAGGAAACCGAGTCACGAAAGGAAACCCTGCGAAAGGAAACAGAGTCACGAGACGTGGAGAACCCTGAACATAGAGAGAACACAGATTTAAGGAAACCCTGAACATTGAGTACCTTACATCTGTGTTCTCTTTAGATAGTTGATAAGATGATTTACATGATCTTCAAAAATAGGCAACTGGTAGTGTGAGGAGAATCCAATTGAAGGCCACTGGTAGTGGAAAGATGAGATATATGTGCCATGTGCCTTGCAGGTTCGAACGGTTTCAATTTTAATTGTGTTGCTCTATTTGTTCTTCTTAATTTGTTTGTATTGGTTTGAGTTTTACGTTTTATTGGGTGCTATGTTATACTAATTGCTGACATTTTCCCTTCATTTACTTATTGAACATTAGTCTGGTGCTTGCTAAAAATATTTACTGGTTATATTTCTCTTTAAATTTGAAGCCTTCCTACCAATTTCAACATTTGCAGCCTTGATTTTATAACCGTTTTCATTACTTTGGCAAGAACATTTTCAGGTTTTTAAAAATTAGTGCAATTTTACAACACAATTTTTGCATGGCTTCTGTATTGAGGTTTGATTAATTTATATCTCTTGCAAGTGAAAGAAATTCTGTATTGAGGCTTGATTTTATAACCGTTTTCATTAATTTATATCTCTTGCAAGTGCATGACTTGTATATTTCAAATAATTGTCATTTGATTGAATAGTTATATCTCTTGCAAGTGAAAGAAATTCTTAAGTCGTTTCTCATTTCATGGAGTCCTTTCAAGTGTTAATGAAAATGTAGGGTGAGCTGGTGGTGCTATCACTGGAAGTAACAACCACGCCATGTTCTATCCATCATTAATGTCAGTCTCCATGCGCCTAGAGGATGATTGATCGTAAACGGCGGGATGTGTCATCTCTTGATATGGGAAATTGGCAAGATCTGAATTACAATTATTTCTTTTTGTTACAGGTCTAGATTACTTTGATGGTCTTTTGTAAAACTGTCCCCATTTGATCTTCTATATATATGTAGGTGTTTTAGTCATATTCCCGAGTACTTTTTCTTGTCCACAGACACAGCATACCAAAGTTTTGGAAAGATGTGACAATAATTTTTGGTTCACCTTTATCTGTAAATTTTGTGTTCATTTGTAAGCAGCTGTTCTGAAATGTTTTCTTCCTTTACAAAGGTATGTTACCAATGAGCCTACTGATCCGTAGTCATCTCCTGCATGCCATTGTAATTTGTATGCCTTTTCAGTTTATGAGGGACATGACCTTATACAAGGGAAGGGATGCGTACAGTTTATGTAGTTGTAAAACATCATTAACATACAAAATACATCTCTCTCAAAAGTCAAAACGGATGAGTTATGCTAGCGATAGTTACGCACCCATGCAATTAAGTAAGCTGAAAGAAAGATGAGCACAAAGATGAGGAAAATAAAACAAAATAACCCACCCTCTGGGCTCTAATATACTTATACGTTCTAAGGCCCAGCTTCCAGCCCAACGCCCTATCAGTAAACTCATCGTTCCAGACTATAAATCTCTACTGTTCCTCTCTCACCCTCGCTTGACTTAGCCCGTCCCAAAAATTCAAAACCCTTGGACTTGGAGGAGGGAGATGATGTGAAAATCAGCATGGAAAAGTCCTTGTGATCTTCAATCTTTTCGCTGCGGACAAGAACATCCTGCGTGCATGCATTAAATTTAGAAAGAAAGAAAGAAATTAAGCACAAGAAAAGCAGTTGATCCATCATTATTAAACTGACTGCGAATTGGGAATTCGGGATTGATTAATTAAGCAAATTAAGAGGAGGAGGATTATTGTGCATTTATAATGCAGAAAGATTAATTAGATTGACTACTTACTCCCAAGGAACATCCCCCACCATCAGCCAATCCCCTTCCTCGTCTTCATATGTCAAAACATGAACATCACGACCAGACTCAGAGTGCACTCTATCCACCTCATCTCCCCCTGCAGTTATATGTATATATATTTCAATCACAATCACTACTACTTCTACACAAGCTTCAAAATTTTCTACTAGTTCAACACGAATGATTCAAATATATATAAATAAAATTTTCCAAAAACCAACTAGTATTAGATGTGTTGGAAATTGATGAAGCAAAGTTAAGTCACATACAGAGAATGTTGGTGTTGAACATATGTTCCAGTGTTCGTATCAAGTCATGAAAACCATCATGCGCTAATAGATCCAACTTCCTGCCAATAGCATGGCCTGCCATGTAAACCTTCACATATAAGGTGGATGTGGTGTGATCATCATTATCATTGCTGCCTTCATCTGCTGCAGCTGCTGCATAATTATTCATTGCCTCCTCCTTCTGCTGGTTTGAAGCCCAATCCGACGATGACCCCCTATTATCAAATCATATAAATACCATATGTTAGTGAGTAATCCTCATAGTTCATATATGTAGGTATTGGTAGAAGTCATAATATATATATATATATATATATATTATCAAATGGAGCATTAATGGATTCATGAAGTTGTTGATGAGAGCTTCATGGATCATGGCATACACACACGTACGTGTGGCATGTACCATGCATGCATGTACATATATGTGTGTGTGTGTGTGTGTGTACCTTGCAACTGAAGGGTTGTGTTGTTGAGAGTGAGAGGCAGAGGGTGATAGGCTAAGCCCAAGCCTGAGATCTGTGCTAAGATCTCTCTTCAACTGTTTGAACTGTGAGTGTGAGAAAGAAGATGGGAGGGTTTGGGAAGATGATGATGGCGTTGTTGAGAGAGCTGGGCCTGGGTGGTTGCTACTGTCAATAGATGAAGAACAACTAGTACTACTTGTAGGAGCTCTGCCTCTGCCCATCGCTTAATTACGTTCATTCATTTATATTGAAGAAGCCGCCAGCCACGTATCTTGTGTTTATATATATATATATATATGTAACTTTAAGGCCTTCTCCTGGGGAAGGCAGGCATTTCTTCGATTTGATGATACTAGAGTCCACCTGACCTGAGAATCCAAATAATGTTCTCAGTCTAGCCGACAGGTACACGTGTCAAAAAGCGACTTACATCGAAATTCCATTTCAAACTTGAATGCAATGTTGAACATGTGAGAAATACAACCAACCTGAAGAAAAACAAAGGGAATGAATGAATGAATGAATGAAGATTGCATTTTGTTGACGTTTAAAGATCCAGTTCACAGGCTGATGCTGATGCTGAGGTGAAACTTTTGAAAATTTGCAAGTTATTTCACATCAAATAAAAAATATCATATTCATATGGCTCCCTCCCCTCCCAACTTTATTTCACATCAAATAAAAGGAATCAAAAATGGGATTCACAAGCTTGCTTTTACACAGTCAAGTTACAGGCAAGAAGAGCAATCATAATACCTTGTGTTTTTTGGTACCTTAATTTGGAACACAATGTCAGTCAGTCAACAACTGTTTAACTTTCTCTCAGATCTCACTTTAGCCATTGCAAATTAATCAGGGACAAATTCTATTAAGAAATGGAAATCTTAAGAGAATTAAGTTGGTTTTATATCAATTATATGTGGTTGAGGAAATGAATCTAGACTCTTCTCTCTCTCTCTCTCTCTCTTCTTTTATATTATTTTTCTGACCTCAAACTCAATAATGAATGGGACTGTGTTTGTGGTCGTGGAGTCGTCTTGGACGTTCAATTTGGAAGCAAAAAGGAACGATCTCCGATGTTTACATAGCAAGAGACAAATATTAGATTAATTTTAATTAAAGAGAATCTCCAAATCAATGTTCAATGGATATAATTATCGTGTTGCGCATGGGGACCTTGGGTATAGAGTCACAGGACATAATCAAGGGCATTGGCATTGGCATTGGTGTAATTTGTAGCATACCATATATAATCTTAATAATATATCACTAATGTACTTTAGCAACAAACGATGATTGATTAGGGGGGATGGACATATATATGCTTAACAAACATCGTACAGGATACACATGCAACATTATTTTGAACATAAAATATACAAATATCACTAATGTTCAAGAAATTGTCACTTAATTACGATCTAAACTCTTTCAGTCGACGTATATGCTTCTCAAAGTTAATTCTGTCTATTGCACGTGATAAAATTGAAGAAAAATTGTAACATAATTACAGTTAGGAGACATCCGCCTGAACTGAAGCTTAAGGAGACTCAAAACTAAATTGAAAGTTAGAATGGCAAAGTGGAATAAAGTCAAAAGTTGAGAGGAGATCTCTAAATTAATTTTTCCCTAATGAATAATTTGCTTTGTCTCCATTGGCATCTTTCCCCCAGCTCCACGTGCATAAACTGTGTGTAATAATAGTAAGACACCACTTTTACTTTTTGTTTTTCACTCTTTTTGTGATATGTTAGATTTTCCATGTTTTTTCACGAGGCCAAGGGAACATGAATATCTTTGCTTACGCCTAAAGATACGCCAATTGCTATAGGAGGAGATTATAGATTCAGAAGAAGGAATTGAAATGAGGACTTAGAAGAAACAAAGGCAGAAAGAAAAAGTGGATGTTCCCCACCACCCCTACCATTATCATAAGTATTGTTCCTTGAATCAATTAATTAGCCTTCATCTCTTTGAAACACGCGAAACGTTTGTTTCTTGAAATTCAACTCTAGAAAAAGCTTTCCGCAACTCGCAGCTACTTTTAGTCTTTTAGATCTCAATGTCCTGTCCTGTTCTCCCAACACCTATGCATTGCCATGCTTGTATTGTATCGACTTACCAAGAGACCTCTACCTCACCCCCACATTCACCCTCGGCTACTAAAGCTATTGACATCAACCACCAAACATGTGCTCCCTTCCCTTCTCCTACTCCTAGTGTTCGGTAACCTTGGCGACCAGCACGCTAATGTCTCAACCGGCATACCTAGGATATGTATATGGCTGGCTGATGCTTCCTTTCCTAAACCACGCTTTACAAGTTTTTCGAATGATGCCTTGCCTCGGCATTGGCAACACTCCAAAAGCAAAAGAGAAGAATAACTCAGCGCATTCCAAACAAGATAGTGTGGGTGTGATGTGGCTAGCTACGGGGGCGGGAGAGCTTTTAGAATTAATGTAAGATCTATATCAATCTGTAACAAGTAATATGTCACCTGAGTTACAACTAAGAGAAACCAAATAACATTTTATTTACACATGTCCCACACATTGACATGCACAACCAGAGAGATGGGTAACTAAGAACATCAAGATTAACATAGAATTAATTAAATAATTTATAAATCAAAACACTACGAACATTGGCAACCAGTAAGAGCAAGGACCAATTTATCAGCCCTTTCCTCCGAAGAATATAAGCTGGAAACTCGTTCAAGTGTCACTGAATTTAATCACACGGCCTTTGGTAACCATCAAGTACATCCAGAGCTCCAGTTAATTACAAAACTTGGCACTTAAGATATTATTAATGCTAGAGCTCCAGGTATTTACAAGTACAAATAACAAGACAAAACCAAAATACCTAAAAGAAGAAGCAACTCTATTTGAAAAGCTGGCTACCCAGCACGTCCAGTGAACATCTTAAGTTCCACTTCCCAACATACCATTTCTACAGGATGCAGGATCACCCTTAACTGTACTATTTGTAAGCATATCGTGATACAAAATTAGCCACCTCAGCTGCAACATCATAAGCACCCTCAACACATCGACCCAAGGCTACACCAGTGACGTAGTTGCCACCCAGAAACAACCCTTGGGAATCACTTAAAGCAGCTTTTGCAGCATCTAGGACATCAAAATGACCAACCAAGAACTGTGGAATGGCTTGTGGCCATACTTTCACACCCAATACAAGTGGATCCTTAGCATTACGGTTTAGGAGGACGTTTCTCAGATCTTGATCAACTGCTTCAACAAGCTCGCTCTCTTTCTGTTAATAAACATATATTTTTACTTTAAAAAGAGTTCAAAGAAAAGAAACATTAGAATGTAAATTTATATGTATATGCACATGCGCCACACAGCACACACCCACACAAATTGACAGACTAGGAAAACAGAAAAAGAAAAAAGAAGCAGCAATGGCACAATGCCTTGCAAAATAAAATCTGCACCCAAAGACAAAATACAAATTTTGCCACATGATACCAAACTCACTTGCATGAAGATACAAGTTTCATGCATGATTACTTGACTGGTCACGGATATAAAATTATGGTACTAATATGGAAAACCACCAATGATCTTTCTTCTAATTCTAAGTATCAACGATTCAACATTGTCGCTCAAAATAAAAGTTTTAAAAGATAGTCAATAAAGGAAATTACAAAGGTGGAAAACGGATATTGGATCAATGTATGTCTTCTTTTCTGGTGCAAAACAGCATGCATGTCTCCTTTTTTGTTTTTTTGGTGGAAGGGGGTTCTCTTATAGGGCAAAACTCACTTGAAATATCATGCCATACATGAAATGAAGTAAATTTTGAGACCTGCTTGAAATGCCAATAGCACCAGCCTTACCATCACAGTGCTCCTAAATATAATGCCAGTTATGTCATGCATCTTTCCCAACACAAGATGCGATATCATATGACATTTACCTTTGACAAAATCCCAGGATTGGTGGCACCTCCAATATAGTTCAAGAGCAGTACCCTTCCAGGTGGTGCACGATTAGGAAAGAGTGATGAGCTGTATATAGTTCCTGCAAAACCCAAGAAAACCCACAGACTAAACTCAGCAACAATTGGTGACCACTGATGTTAAGCATCAGTTAGTGGCATAGATAATGAATTTTTAAACCAAAGGGAATCTACCTAATGTTTTCAGCCCTTGGCTACGAGGATGCAATTGACCAAAACCCTTCAGTTCACCATCTATCAAGCATTCAGTCCGAATTGCTTCTTTTGGATATGAAATAGAAACTGCTGCAACTGGTGGGTAATAAAATTTTGATAGTGCATCTGCAGCAGCACCCTGCAGAAAGAAGCAAGAGGCAAGAAGAAAACAACTTGGAATGTCAGCTTCAAAGTAACAAAATGCAAAAAACAATAAATAATAAAAATAAAACCGCCCTGATTAGTCTTGTAGATAACCACTATTTATAGATGTGTTCTTATTAGGACAGAATTTTGGCCAAACACCACCAACTTTAAATGCCTCAGAAATCAAGATTCAACAGTCAAACAAGTGGAAGTAAAAGATAACAAAGTATGTGAGAAAGAAACCTACAGATAGAGGACGCAATAAGCTACTTGCTACATGGGATGGAACAGTCATCACAACACTTTTACTCAGTAGTGAAATCAATCCTTCTGGTGTTTCATATGTCAAAGTGTACCCTCCTGTATCCAATTTACTGATATTTGAAAGCTTCCAAGATAACTTTACTTTGCTTCCCAACCTGCCAACATAAACACAACACAGTAGGCTTATCACGGCTGAGAAAAATACAACACATGTTGCATATGAAAGAAACCCCACAGAGATGTTTCTCTGCTTGCCAATAAAGAAGGTTGATCATCCAACTAGAGCACTCATTTTGCTGAAAGAGGGTACCTTGAAGAAATTGCATCTGGCAACATAGAAAGGCCCTTCCTAAAAGATCCAACTGTTTGGCCCTTCGGTTTTGGTAGGCGCCTATCAATAACTAAAATCAGGACATTGAAAATAAACTTTAATAGTTAAATCATAAAATAACTTCAAAACAAAAATATGTTATTACGGATCTCGAGGTGTCTTATGAGCACGCTTCCTCTCCTGGATTGCTTTAAAAGCGCCACCAACGATACTGCCACCATTTTGCTCTAGATTCCAAACTTTGCCAAATGCTGCTTTCATACTTAACTTTGAAGGATCACCCGCATAAACACCTGAATATGACAAAAGTTTCAAGGCAACTATGAAACCACCATTACCTGATAAGGTGATAAAAAGCCACACCACTTTTAAAAACTTAATGGAAGAATGCAAAGTTAAAATGAACAACTTTTACAGGAAGTTTTATTGTCAGTAACTTAGTTCAAAGTGCATAGTTTGTGTAGATAACTGAGGATGGGTAAATAAATGAATGTGGTTAAATTCCATAACCTATGTGAAATGCTGCCAGTTCAAAGTGTCATATAAAATTTGTGTAATGTAACATTGTCTGCTATGGCCAATTTGATGTCACAGGGTGGTTGCTTGCATAAATGATGAAACTAAGTGCAAACAACTTCTTTTCCTCAAAATGGGTGTGGTTTAAGGTGTAAATGCTATACACAACAGTTGGATTGAGAACGAATCAACCTTAGGATCCATTTGCAGGAAGCAGGAAGTGAATGCAGATAATAAATTAAGGTAATGCAGGAAGAGAAGAGAGTAGATAATGAATTTATAATAATGACCTGAACAGAAAGGCTCAATCAAGCGTTCAAAAACCTCATCTCCGAGATTACGACGCACAAACTCTTCGACTGATTCCTCATGACCCTGTCACTTTTGTGAAAGATTATGCGAAATGAGAAATGCAGTTGAGGAATTGAGGAATGAGTGAGAATCGTGAAACAATTAATGAAAATTACATAGAAAAGAGACAAGAAGAGGACAAACTGGAGGAGGAGGGGAAGGGCGAATGCCAAGAGCGCCAAAGGCAGCCCTGAGTTTGCCGCCGATGCTCATCAAGTCAAAGAAAGGTATGTCAGCTGGGCTGGAGGGTACAGGCCTCAACTTGCCGTCCCACAACACAAACCGAGGTGCATTAGGATCCCCAAGAACCAGATCATCCTTCAAACCACTGTCCACCTACCAAACACAAATACCCAATTCACATTCACAGTCATAGCACCAGCACACTAGCAGTCTAATCTAGCTCACTAATTTGTAATTACTTTAACTGAAATTCCACCTCGCTACCAAAGCAAAGCAGAGCAGAGAAGAGCAATACCAGCATGGTGAGCATGGGATCCGACGGCTGAAAACTATTGGGGCCCTCTTCCCAGAGATAGCCGTCCTTCTGGACGGTGATTATGTTGCCTCCCACGCGGTCTCTGGCCTCCGTCACTATCACATTCGGAACGGCGTCGCCGTGCTTGGTGGCCAGCGCCTGAGCGATGCAGAGCCCACTGATTCCACCGCCCACCACAATGCAGTCAACGGCTCCCAACTGCCCACCCTCTCCACTCACACCCAATGGAGATATCGTGGACTCTTTGGCTACCGAGCATCGCAACTTTAGGGAAGGGGTGGCTTTGTTTGGTTTGGGGCCCATATAAACGGAGGGAGGTCTGTGACCGCGAGGTGCAGGAAAGAAAAGAGGCTGAGTGGCCGCGAGCGAAGGGAGGTCTGCGAGCCTGGCGGTGCTCATGGCGATTGGCAGGGAGGAGGAACCAGCACCAGCTGAAAATGAAGAAACACAGGTCACCAACCACCGTTTTCTTATCTTTAAACAAAGTAAAACGACAGTGCTCAGACTCGACAAAATAAAAGAGGAAAAGATAAACTAAAATGCAAACACACGTTTTTTTTTTTTCCCTACATATTTATTTATCAAGAATTAGGAAGTAAATGTCGGAAAAATTAGGAATATGGGAATGAAGGAATTGACAATATAGATACGCTTCATGTTAATAAACACATATAATTATGGCAAATGACCCACTAGTGTAATAGTTTGAAGTAATTGCTCTTTATGAGAGGTCTTGGGTTCAAGTTATAGTATTCGTGTGTGGTGTGTGTGAATTTAATATGTTATCATCATTCTCAATAAGAAAGATATTCCAAAAAAACATAGAGATCCCTCACTTGATGGATCCTTCTGAATTCCTAGATCGTCACTTTTTAAAAAAAAAAAGTTTGCAAGTTATTTCGATTGATTGAGTGCATATATAGTTTTTGTTAATGTGTTATTGAGTCTTAGGCCATCTCCAGTCATAAGGCTAAATGTAGTCAAAGGCTAAAAATTTAGCCCTAAAAAATATTAATTTTTTAAAGAATAGTGCAGGGCTAAATTTTTCCGTCTCCAGTCATGCAAGGCTATATTTTAGAGTCTTTCATATTTTATTATTTTGATAAAAACTATGGTACAATACTTATACATTCCACAACTATAAAAAAAGAAAAAAAGAAAAAAAGGGTTTCAATAGTCTGATCTCCAACGGTCATGACCAAAGTTTTTTTTATCATTTTTTGTAAACAACACTTGAAAACATTTAAAAAGGTGACCACATTTATAAATAAATAAATAAAAAAGAAAAAAAATGATGGGTTTCAATGGTCTAACCTCCAATGGTTATGACCAATAATTTGTTCTACTTTTTTCTTAAACAACACGAATTGAAACATTTAAAAAGGTTTTTAAAAATATATATGTTTTAATGTTGGTTGTTGAAAAGCAAATGCATGGGGCCCACAAAAAATTTGCCCTAGGCTACATTTTGCTCGATTGGAGGATTAATGGGCCAAATGTGGGCCTCCAAAATTGGCCAAAATTTTGTTTAGCCCATTGCTGGAGATGAGTTTTGCATTATTTTAGGGCTATATTTGGGATATAGCCCATGGCTGGAGATGACCTTATGGCTAGTTGTTGACTGGTCATATTGTATCTTGGTGTGTTTGATTGTTATTCTCCTAGATCTGTTAATAAGAAAAATTGATAAAACACTTTTTAAAAATTAATAAATTTAAAGTCTCAAGTAGTTGGAGGTAAAATGTTTAGGGCTATTTGTCATTGCTTAAAATTTCGAATTTGAATTTGGGATGCTAATGAGGTGTAGTCTAATGAACAAGGATCTTAACTTGCAAATCAACAATCTCATATTTAAACTCATATGACACACGGTCCTGTGTGTCAGTAAGAATATCCCCTTCTCATTATTTTATTTATTTTTTGCCATATACCCTTCCCCTTAGTAACTTTAGCTAAAAAACAATTGGATTTGGGACGTTTGAGTTGGAAATGGTATATACCCTTAAAAAGCAGGGGCAGTGTCGTTAACTGAGTTGAAAAGGAGTGCACCCTACTCACCCGGAATAGAGCGAGCCCGTCAAACCTCATCTTATTTTTGAATATTTGGACGATCGCCAGGGCTTTCCATTCTGCGAAAAACGCACACGTTTTTCCCGCCTTCTATTTTCATTATTTTCAAACTGTTCTCGATAATTCTCTCTCTGTTTTGCTTTATCTTTATGAGGAACCCCTCAGCTTCGTATTCAGCTGTCAAAATTACTTTGTGAATTTATAAAGCTGGAGCTCATCGATCATCAAACACAACGGTGAATAAGCTGTAAGCTATTTATGAATAAAAATGTTTCGGTTTTGATTCGTTTCGTTTTGTTCGATTATTTTTGCAATAGCAGATTTTATACTTCGATTTTTTCTTGAATAGTTGGGATAGCTTCATCTCTTCTATTTTTAGCTTTTGAATTTTGCATGCTCGTACCTTCTGCTTAGTCATCTGATCTCAGATGCAGAACCTAAAATGTAAAATACGAGGGTCCGAGGGCCTGAGATTGGTTTTCTATGAGTTAGGGTTTACCAGTCTGATTATCGTATGAGTTAGATGAGTCTGATTTAGAAGTAGTGAAATATTTTACATGAGAAAAGGAAGCGTCGTGATTATTGGGGATTTACCAATTTGAATTTTTTTTTCTTTTCCTTTGTTTTCCTATTGGATGATGAATTCATAGTTAGGTGGTTTTCCTCTCATGTTCTCATTGCTTTAGAGATATTTATATCAGCACTGGGTTTATCAGATACTATGTTTGGTTACTCAGAAAACAAGGATAAGAAATCATAATGAAATATTAAATCAAGCGCTTTCTATTGTGTTTGTTTTTACTCTTTTAACAATTTGAAAACTCTACTACCTAATATCAAACAGTTACCATCTTGGTGGTCTGGGTCTGAAATGAATTATCATGGTACTGAGTTTGTATTAGCTTCACTTCACAAATTTTTCCTCAGCAAACAATATTAATTTTTTATACCCCCTCCTCTCCTTTCTGCATCTTTCTTTGTTTCTTTAACTAAATTGTGTTTTCTATGGTTCAGGTTACAACTGCAATTTTGCTGTTTATGCGTTCTCAGGGTGGTGTAGAACCAATGTCGGTTGATACACGACAATATTTACGGGATGTAAGCAGTAACAACTTTAATACGCTGTAGTTGTATTGCCAATGGCAGAACTTGTTGTAGCTTTCCAGTTTCCTTTTCATATTTGTTAAATGGTGCATAATCTTTGTGTAGCTTAGTATATGCTATAATTAGCTCATAATAACTATTTTATTAATTGTTAGCAACTGTGTCATCTGGTATAAGACCCATAGATGCCGTTTTGGTTTTACTTTGTGTAACTTAGTTATGTTAACTGAGTTGTTAATGGATTCCAGATCTGTGCAATCTGAAAAAGTTTTTTCACCTGATATTTAGTTTCCCTTTTATTGAGGGTTTCTTGGATTTATATTCATCTCAAAAGGAATACAAAGGAAACAAAATTGTAGAGTCGAATTAGGATTTGCATGCCCCAATAAACCTAAACACTTGCAATTTTTAGTAGATACTGGAACAACAATTATATGCTTGATGCCTCAAAAAATCTGTTTCAGGACCAAACAAGCAATTTTCGGAGTTTTGGAAGCATTAATCATCCGTCTAGCCAATCGAGAAAGATATCCATTGGAATTATGGTAGACCAATTAGCCAAGAAAAAGTCTGGAGTCACAAGGGAAGGGGAGGTTGTGGTGCCAAATGCAGAAATGGAAAAATCTAACTTAGGAAATACCACACAGGGAAAAAGCAAGAAGGAAGAATTCACAGCTTCCAAGAAAGCAAAACAAACTAAGGATCCACAGCAGGTGAATTCCCCACGGATTACTACTACATCATTGCACCAGAAAATGCGGACTTCAGATACCGTTCTTCATGCAAAACAATATTCTAATTTGCCATCCGGTAGTGGGAAGCAGTACAAACTTGATGGAGCTAGGAATGCACCACTTACATACTCGGTTCAGTTTTTTGCAAACCAAACCTTGTTTTTGGAGTCGGATGGTAAGAAACAGAATAACTTTGATAGAGTTACCTACCAAAAGAAGGAAGTGAAGGATGGAGCAGTGGAGGTCCAAGATTTCACATTTGAGACTGCGAAGGAAGTCATAATGTCGGATAAGGAGGTGCTAGTGGATAAAGCAATTGCAACAGAAGGCAGAAGAACTGAAACTCTCAGAATGAAGCTTTGGGAGATTTTGGGAACTGTTTCTTCACCAGATGATCAGCGTTCCAAATCTCAGCTTCATGAGGTTGGTGATGATAATTTAAATCCACAGCAGGAATTTGATCAAATGGGTGCCACAGTTGTCAAGTCCAAGCAGAATTCTGATAAACCAGGGCAAAAATATGATGAAAAGGGTGATGTATCTATCAATCCCAGACAAAATTCAGATACTATAGAAATGGATTCTGAAAGTCCTGATAATGTTGTCAGGAGACCAGTGACTCGTTCTTTGAGCCGAAAGAGAGCTCCAACTAAAAAACAACATAGAACTGCAACAAATGGTCCATCCTCTGGTTACAAAATGAAACATAGAGAGGACAGCATATTTTCTTTTGAAGAATGCTGCGAAAAACTACATGGTTCTTTTGCTGGTGGATCCTCAAAGTCTACATGGAAGAAGAGAGAGAACAAAAGTTTCAGAACTGAGTTTCCTGGGATCTGCCTTCCGGAAAAGGATAAGTCAACTAAGATTCAGCAACCAATTAATAGGAGTGAAACACCATCACCTGTTAAGCAAGCTACTTCTGTAGATAAGACAATGGGAAATTTTCATGGTTGCCTACCTGAGAATGAAAGAGAGTATCTTGAACTGGAGAAGAATATCCAAGAGCAAGAAATCTATCAATCATCACTGACCACCAAGAAATTTAAACGAGACTTTGACACTATAGAAAATAAAGACCAACATGAAGAAGACAATGGCAATCCAAGCTTGAAGAATGATGCTAATTCAGAAGATGATTATCTAAGTCCAACATTTGGAATTAAAACACCTGTGTCAAGCTCTTCTCCTAGCTCAATCCCAAAATCAGACCATGTTAGTAGTCCTGCACAATCAGAGAGGAGATTTACTGTGGGAGATATTCATAGTTTCAGGACTTTCTGGACTTCAAAACAAGATTTTTGTGATAATGGACAAACAAAATCTTCTGTATCCTTTGTTATTGAACGGTAAGTAGTTTCCCAGTTTGCCAGTCTTTGATAGCTATTTTTGTTTTTGCCTTTCCTTAATGAACTTCAGGATACTGTAGAAGAGGAACTCAAGGATTCTCCATTGAAAAAAACAGCACCTGACGTGGAAGAAAATGATGCAGAAGATGGCCTGTTTTTATCATCATCTGAAGAGAGAGACTTAGGGAGTTGTGAAGAAGGTTCTCCCATTATCCACGGACATGACTGTATGTTCACTTAAACACTTCTGTAACTGTATGATAAACGCATTTCCAGAAATTTTCTGCTAAAATCAAGGTCGCTTGATTGGTTATGCATCTGTAAAATACAATTATCTTAACTGTATGTTGTATGATGTAAGATACTGCCATATGTGTTCCCTCACCCCTGCCACGGGGGCACAATGAAAGCTACTTCATTTATCTAACCATCCTGTGCAGGTTGCCTAGAAAAATATATTCTCTCCAGAAACTAGTACGGCTGAAAACTAAAATTTGAACTTTTCCCAGATGAAAGGCTCTGCAGCCAGCAAATCACTACCTTTGATCATTTAAAGATAACAGCCACCTCACCCTCTCTCATTCTGCATGAATATTTGGTGTTGCAGGGACTGGAGAAGATAATTGGATAGAGGAACCTTCAGAGCCTAACCAAGTGGATGGACTGGCTAGGTTTTTCTTCTCTCCCTTCTATCTGTACATATGTGAATTGGTGCAATATACAAACTAGTTTTCTATATTCACATTCCGTTTGTGGTTTACTTTTGTCTCACTTGACAATGTTTCAGGGCTGTTGAACTGTTTGCCTTGGAATTAGAAAAACTTAAAACCAAATTGAGGTCAGCAACTAATAGGAAATCCTCTGAAATTCTGATGTCTGTTGCCGGGGAGGTACATATGCAGCTGCAGAATGTTGAGTCTCAGATTCAAACGGACGTGTAGGTACTTTCAACTGCAGGCTTCCCTGTTAAAGTTAACAATTTCTTAGTGTGCTCTGGATTATTTTTCAGGGGAAAGCTCACAAATCTCAGTAAATCAAAGAGAAAAAGGCTGGAATCAAGGTTTGAAGGTAAGAAAATTTTATCGTTTACATGTTTAATTGATAATTTTTATGTCCTGATTTAATTAACTTGAATCTCATAAATAATTACTATTAACCATGTATTTCCATCTGTAACTAAGTATGTTTTACCTTTCTGTTTAGTAGTGGTTTGATAATTTTCTGACCAAGATGAACTGTACACACTCCTATGGCACACATGGTTATATTTATGACTGATATGTAAATGCAAATTTTATCCTTAGATGCATCTTGATAAGCACTTATGTCATCAACAACAATCAATCAACCTTCTTTAAAGGGTTTCAGTTATGTGAATTTTTTTTTCTTCTGAAAATTAATTTTCTGGCTTTTTGCACTACTCTTGTATATTAGGTGATGTTCCAAGTTCTACTGGAAAATTTGTTCTTTTTATCCACAAAGTTGTGAGGTTTGCACGTCTTTCTTTACCATGAGAGCACCTAATGCTAGCTTGTAGGTGGAGATTAGTTTAGTTCTTATGAATATCATTATCTTTTACATGTTTTAAAGTCTTGGGTCTCTCTATCCATTGCTGAATGGTTTTGGGTTGGATAACTTCAACCTTTAAGATGTTGGATTTTAATAAGTTATACTTAGTACTCTTTTTGTTGAAATTTGTTCATATACCATATTTTCTTCTTTGAGCGAGTGGAGTTCTGTAGCAATCTCTTTGACTTAGCTTGGGGTGATACGGATTTTATAGGTGATTCGTTTCCCTTCAGGGAGGAGAAAGGGTTTTGGGGTCAATTTAGTCTGTATGTGTCTGGATGTGGGATTTTCTCTCATTGAAGCTTAACCTGAAACCCCACCTCCTTTCTGTGCAGAGCAACAAGAACACTTGAAAGTGATTTATGACAAATTCAAGGAACAGGTCAATCAGCATCTTCAAGATTGCAGAAGCACACTTGAAGGGCTGGAAGTGTACCAGACAGAGTTTAAGGGAACCATGGAAAAGCAAAGTATGACAGCTTCTCTATATTTAGATCCTTATAATCCTGTCAATTCTTCACTGAAATGTGTTTGTATAGGTGTTATATCATGTCAACCAAGATTGCCCATAAATGATACTTTCAAGAAGCTAAATGATACATATACAAGATTCCAAATAATTGTTTAATATGGTGACATCTCCATAATCACGGGTAGAAAGATATCCTGCTCTTGAACCCCATGCAAAACTCAATGGAGAGATTAATTTTCTCTTCACAAAAATTCCATGCATCCTATGCCTTGCTTGGTAGATGCTCTGCTTGCATGGCGGCATTGTGTCATGCAGCAAAAATCAGACTTGAACCCAGACCGTACTGTGAAAGGCTATGATCTTTATTTTGAAAGCTACATAAAAGCAGTTTCCTTAGATGAACTAAAATTGTTTGCATTCTCATTGTAAACAAACAATGTGCAAAATTCTGGTATACTCTTTTGATTCGGTTTTACTTACAGGAGCATCACACAGAAAGCTTCTGTTACAAGTGGAAGAAGCAATTGAGACTCAACTCAATGATGCCCAAAGAAGAATCCAAGTCATGCAAGAGGCAAGTTTTCCTTCTGATTATATAAATTTATTGTTGAGTTTCATACAATTATTTGCATACTGTAATCTTGGTATAAAGCTATAGTGCAGTGGTATGCATATATAGGTGGAGTGGTTGCATATAGTGGTTGGAAAACTCCAATCCAAGCACTTCAGTCAATAGACCTTATTAGAACAGAACCTGTGAATTAGTTGCTATTTTTCTTTATTATATTTTCTGACAACATAGCAGAGATTATCTTGTGAACTTTTTTTCACTGTACTGTAGAGTTTGAGGTCGTAGTTGAGTTAAGATGTTTAAAACTGTAATCATTTTGTAATACTCGTCTGTCATATTGCTCTCTTTACTTAGATAATGCTCAACTCAGGTTTCTACTAAAACCTATCTTTTTGTTCTCACCAATTGCAGATGGGACGTGGGAAGATGCTCCAGTTGAAACACGAACTGGCTTTGTGTTTGAAAGAGGGTATTCTAAGTTGATTACAAGGCGTACAGCTCACTAGAAAGATAGGACTTTGCTTAGAGATAGAGACAGGCCCCAAGTTTGCGTCTTGCAAGTCTTGAAAGTAACACATTTGTCCCTAATCACATTTACTGCTTAGAAATATATCAGTAATCTCTATCTTTGGTTTTGTTGTAACATGTTTGTATAGTTGAACATGGAGTAAGGAAAGCAAAGGGAGGACTTATTACCTTTTTTTTTTTTTTTTTTTCCACATGAGGTATTTTTATAGTACATATTTTAGAATACCTAGATGTCTTTATACATAAGGATACCTAGAAGTTTATGTGGCAGATCCAGGAAGCCACGTAGCACATTTAGGCTATTCTACCTTGCATGTAAAGGAATAGCATTGTTTTGCTATCCTCAACCCAACCAATCAAATTTCCCTATTTAGAGAAATTATCATGCATGGTGGAACATGATTGATTGGGGATAGTGAAATCGTGTTATTCTCGTAATGTGCAGGTTTCTGTCTACCTTCTGCTATGTAAGGAAAAAAAAAGTGGGGTTTTGCATTGGTCACGTGAAAAAAGATCTGTACCACATCATGAGTTAACAATCTGTTGGCAGATTAATTTTTCTTTGAAGAAAATAACACTTATTTTAGCTACATCAATCCTTTAAGATTCAATGACTTGCCTGCTAAATCGACTTCTCGTGTCATACTTCGTGTAAAGACCCAAATCAAAACACTCGAGTTGGGGAGATAAACCCAACAAAACAAACATAAATGATTTCGACCCAAAAAAAACTGTAAGGCCCTGTTTAGTTCATGGGAATGGAGACTTGAGAATGAAAATTCAATTGCTTTCCTATGTTTAGTAAGTCCAGACATAGGAAATGGTTGTCTGACACATGAGAAAGTAGGGGGAAGGTGAAGCCCTCCTCTTAACATGGGTTTTGTTTTCCCTTCTCATGAGAAAGTTTGGGAAAATGAGCCAACATTCAATGCATAATTTTCATGACTATTTTGTCCCTATAAACAATTTATAATTACAACGTATTATTACATGCATTCTTTTTTTTATTTGATTTAATATGGGTATAATTGAAAAATTATACAAACTTTGTTTTCTATTCTTACTCAAAACAAACATGGAAAATGAAAGAAATTTTCCGATTACTTTACTGACATTACCAAATATGGGAGAAATCTTTCATTCCCATGCATTGAAAAATAACATGAGAAGTGATTTTCTCTCAAATCCATGCCGTGAACCAAACGGGCCCTAAATGCTGGAAAGAGGTGGTAAGTTGGAATTGTCCTCCCGTTTTTTAAAATCCCGCGAGGAGACTGTAACTGGCTAACTGGCAGGCAGACGAGCGACGACATCTATGATATTCGTTGGTTAGGTTTTGTTTGAACCCGGTTCTGGAGAAGGAAGGAAGCAAGCAGCGCAGTCTGCAGAGAGTGAAAAAGATGGAAGAGAGTGAGAGAGTGAGGGAGGTGATAAGGAAACAAGTGGGAGATGATTGGGATGATGAAGTGATGAGCAGAGCCCGATTCAAGGCGTTGAGTGGCCAGAGATCCGACTGGGAACCCACTTACCTCTTCTGGAGAGATTTAATTCTCAGCGTTGCTCGCCAACTCGGCCTTTTCATCATCAAACCATCTCACCTCAACAACCAATGGTTCAATCGAGGAGGCCTCAACCCATTATCCCTCGACCGTGTCTTGGTATATTTTTTTTCCCCTTTTCATCATCATCCTTCACTCTTTTTCTTTTTGGTCAATAATATAAATTTCTTCATTCATTCTCTCTCTTATTTCAGTTTGAAATGTATAATGAAGGTGAGATTGTGCTGCCCAGCGTGGATCTTGTGGACCCCACTGCAGGGCGTCTCTCCCAGGTTTTCACAAGACTTACCAACTCCATGATTAGGAGGAGCAGGACCACCACTCCTCAACTTCTTATGTCCCAGGATCGTCTCATTCTTACCTCACTTTTGAAGGTGGCATGTATTTTCCAAATAAAATGTGGAGTCTAATATCTTAGTTTCTGTGTGCCCCATGCTTATTCTTTTTGGTTAATTTTGTTTTGCTATTTTCGTATGTGTAGGATAAAGCTGTTGAAGTTGTGAAACTTTTATCCGAATGTCATTGGACATCTTCGTGCATTGTCACCATGAAGAGGTTCCAGGACATATGTGGAGGAGCCTATGAAGCTTCTGCACTCTTGTCTCACTTGTCAGCACAAGGCAAGGCACGCTATCTCTCACTTTACAAGGGAGACTTCATAGAGGTAGTACTACTTCTCTTATGCTTCTTTCACAATCATGCACAATCGATTTGTTTTGTTCAATTTTGCAAATGAGGGAGGCCTTCAACTGCCTGCCACACTTATGGATTGATTTGTCAACCAGAAGGACATGTAACAAATTCATGAAATAAACTGCCCTAATAGAAAAGCAGCCTAGAAAGTTGCAAATAAACTACGTGAATCATTCTTCTGTTGTCATTTTTCATATGATCATATAAGTTGAGATGTTGAGTGTACTAGTTACAGTATCCACGTGTCCCGGTTAATCTAAGATTTGTTTTGTTTGGTCATTTTTCATTTTCAGGGTGTGAAAGTTTCCCTCTCAGCATCTTCCGTTCCTAGTATTTCAAGTCTAGATTGCGATGTTCTGCACCTGATTTGTACAACAGAAAAGCTTCAACAACAACTTAATGTGATTGACCAACGTTGTCAAACGTACCTATTTCTCACTCTCAATACTTCCTTTATATGCATGCTGCACTTTCTTGCTTTCTTGTTTAAGCATCAAAGACCATAGTTTCATAGATCCCAATCAACCTTGCTCACACCCAATTTTCAATCAATGGAGACAATGACATCTATGTTCAGAGCACTAATAAGGAATTGGGCTTTGTGAATGGTTTCTGAGATGAACTCTGCTGTTCCATGATGGCTGTGATAGGGTGTGTTATCATAAAATTTAAGTGTTGTCATTGCTTGACTTATTTGAGATATCTGGCTTGTGCCGGCTGGTTGAAGGTTTGGTTGGCACTGTTAACCATGGACAACCAGAAGGGATTAGTTCGTTGGTCACAGATATGTTGGGAGTAGAATCATTAGAAAGATACGTTATAGTCTTCTATGCTCTCTTCATTTGGAGCTGTGTTCTTATGTGGATAAGGGATGTCTAGGTCTCCAAACAAGTGTGTATGTCCTCGGGAGTTGGGGTTGAGTATATTTCATGTGCAGGTCAAGAAAATCAGCATTAGCTTGTTTGAATTCTGGAAACAAGAAAGTGGCGCTGAGGCATGTGAGGCAGTTAAAGTTGGCCAATGAGAGTAGAGAAAATTGTGCAACGCTCTTGAATAGAGTGGAGGAAGTCCTCGATGTTATTGCAAGTGCTGAATCCACAAAGAAGGTAATTTTAGGAGTGAAGATAATCTTTTATATTAGCTTTTAAATAAATGAAGAAAAAAAAATTGAACTGTGGAAATCTTCAATAAGCTGATCCAATTTGGCTTGTTGGCAGGTTTCTGAAGCCATCCAAATTGGAGCTCAAGCAATAAAGGAAAATAAGATGAGTGTGGAAGAAGTCCAACATAGCTTACAAGAAATTGAGGAGAGCATTGATACACAAAAGCAAATAGAAAATGCTTTAGGTAATTCCTATTCGTGATTTAAATTGAATTAAGCTGTGTGAGTTGTTGTGGTGCAGGATTTGTCATGCAGACAATGCTTTTTGTTATCGTATCCAATTTGATGTCTTTGGATTTTGCAGAATCAACTTCGTTGTACACAATTGTTGAGGATGAAGAAAGTATTGAAGAGGAGTTCAAGAAATTAGAGCTGGATATTGAGGTTAACAGCGCAGGAGAAACAGAGGCTTCGAAATCCGCTGAATCATTGATAGACTCCTTATCAAATCTCAAGCTTGTGGATGATGGTCTAGCAAGAACACCAGCAGTTCAGGGCACTGTCGAAACAATAAGAAACAACAAAACAAAAACTCCTGTGCTTGAAACTGCCTAAAAGTTCCCAGATCCCAGAATCATATTGTGATGATTTTGCTCAGGTGGTGAGTATAGTCAAATCACTAAACTAGTTCATTGTATAGTTTTCTCTTTTCTGTATAAGTAAAAAAACGAGTTCCTTGTATAGTTTTCTGCGTAAGTAAAACCCTTGTAACTGAACAAAAAACCTTGCATTGCAATAGCCATTTTCAAAGACATCAAAATTAACCCTATAAATGACCGAGTCAATTTTGTAAATGGACGACTTCGGATCAGGGAAGAGTGGCATTTTCCCCTTAACTGGTGCTCAATATGGCACATAAAACTTCTCATCGGATTCTATTGTCCCTTCCTGTTTGGGTTTGAGTGGATCCCCTCCTTATATGCCTTTGTATTTGTATTTTTGTCTTCGGTTTAATAACTTCAGAGTAAATTGTTGACATGAAATTGAACAATTGGTCGTACGCATGGTCCAATCCTGCCAATACAACTCGTTTTGACTTAGTCATAGGGCCTTGGTAGGAGGACACTTCAACCTCGTTTGTTAAGGAGGAAGACTAGACTGGACTAGACTAGATTAGCGAAATGCCTACATTTCATGTGTAATCAAGGTATAATATGGATATTGTTGTCTAACTTAGAGGATGAAGGACTATTCATAAGAGGTTGATGACTAAAACTTATCCCCAATCCTTTTGAAAACAGTGAGATTATGAGGAATAAGTTTTAGTTATCAACCTCTTATAGTCTAGTCCTCCTTATCAAACAAGCCCAAGAGTATTGTGGTGTCAGCCGGTAAATTGGATCATCTTTGATCCTCTCTTCTTCTTCATCGTTATTATTATTATTATTATTTGCCCCTTTTTCTTTTTGCTCTCTTTATTCGTAACATATAAAAATTTCTCATCTTTAAGAAGGCTCTCTATCTGGCTCCTCTAGGGTTTTGGTGGCTGCTACATGGTTTCTAAATCCAAACGTTGAACAAAAACCATGATATGCCTAGATTTGATTGGATAAAGGTTTTCTAATATAGCCTGCACGTGACAACGCATGAACAGTGTTTTTTTTCTCTCTCTTCTCTAACTACCAGAAATTTCATTCGAATCATCGATAGTCTCTTTTGGCATTTGAGATTGAGTCTTTGGCCTCAAAACGAAAGTGACAAAAAGTTGACTTCAAGAGCTTGTATCATATTATAACGACGAAAACACAGACACATGTCATCAAAATTGAATGAGCAAATTATTTTCTATAATAAAAAAGTGAACACATTTGAGCAGGAAAACTTGTATAAAACAGAGATAATATTGTTTTGCTATTTCTGGCCAATCACAGACTACCATCTGAAAAAATTATCACACGTGACATACTGTGATTGACTGGAAATAGCAAAATAGTTTTATCCCCGTTTCATGAAAAGTGTTTCTCCCATATGAGGTTGCAATCCATAAGAATTCTATAGTGTGGGCCTTATATATAACCTTTAGATGAGACCTTATCTCTTAATCATTTAATCAAATTAATTAGCATAATTCAACAATTAAGAAATAAAATCTCATCTAAAAGCGATATATGCAATATATAACACCTTCGTTATAGAATGACTCATCCAGTTGAATTGAATCTATGGCAATAAAATGGGGGCCCAGTAGATTATTATAGATGGCCATTGGCTCCATTGTTGAAGAAGGTGCGAGCCATCCAATCGCCACGAACTCTGTGAGGGCCTCATCAACTCACGTTGTGTTTGGAGCCTTGTTATTATCATATCATATCATATCATATCATGGGCAATGGGCCATCGGAGAGGAGACCATGATGAGACACGTGTAAGAAACCCGATTGGGCATCAGAATGACAACACTGACACAACACAGCAGCTGTCGTTTGCCAGAGGTGGCTTCACAACCAGAAAGGTGACCGGTCAAATGAAGGGAAGGGATCAACGGTCGGTGAACGGCAGTTAGACGAGAAGTGTATTGATTAATAAAAACAAACTTGGTCGGATTTAATTGATTGATTAAATAGTTAATTAATAATTAATGTTAAGCTTAAGATAGAACGCATTTCCAATTCCCAGGGTTGGCAAAAGAAATGATAATCTAATGTTAATGAGGAAGGAAAAGCAGTAGGTGTGAAGGTAGAATCGTCTTTGGGAAGTTGTGAGCACACAGTAGCTACTAGCTATAGGTAGGGATGAGGAAATTTGACCGTTTGAGGTTGGGGTCAGCCTCAGCACAGCACAAGTTGTTGTGTTGGGGTTCTGGGATGAGTGCCATCTGGCTATGACTGGTGTCCAATCCCACCCATCATCCCATGGGCCCATAACTCATAACATGCTTTTCACAGTTTGACTCCTTGCGGGAAAGTGATTATTAGGAAAAGCATTTTTGGAATGAAAACGCGGACACCTGTCTCTCGTCCTTGTTAAACGCGGTTTGCATTACATCATAGGTTTGCACTGCAGTAGGAATCCATTATGCATACCACAATAAAATATGTTATCAAAAGAAGACCCCAAAAAACTCACTTTACAAAAAAGTTCAAAAGATTTCCAAATTTTATACCCAAAGAAACAAAAAAAGAAAAAAAGGGCAAAAACAATGCAAATCATTCACACGTCCAACAACAATGCAATAATACAATGGGGGTGGGTAATTGGATCAATTCTTGCACAAGAAGCAAGATGGGTTTTACAGTGAAATTGATAATATGAAAATCACATGTGAGTAACGTGGTATTGAATTGAAAGCTTTGCATCATTTCATTGATTGCCTGCCTGTGGATGTGGTCCTATCCTATCCTCCTAATCCTATGCTGCTTCTTGTTCCATCACAAATTCAAAAGGAAAGGTGTGGTTGATATATAACCAACCACGCCCTAAACCCTTTCTTTGTACTAGTGAGCGAGCGAGTGAGCGAGTGAGTGCAGTGCACTTATTATTAGGTCTCCATCTTGGTTTGCATTCATTTGACCAACACTGATGAAGATGATCATCTACCCAAATGCCAACAACAACCAACGTACCCTCCTTCCTTGCTAAAACCCATCAACCTAATCGTGCTGCTGCAATTCCGTGTGTGTTGGGATCGGTCAAGTTCCCATAATCTGTAATCTTTTGGGGGATTTTGCTTTTGCATCTTTTAAATTTTAAAAAATAGGTCAAGTGAACGAGGTGTCCTAAACCAATGAATGTATTATATATTACGGTTAGAAAAAAAAAGAAACCAATGCGAAGTTTCAAAGAGAGAAAGAAAAAGAAAAAGTCATATTCAATATCTTACACTCACCCGTGGGGAAAACTTGTATAAAACAGCAGAACCCCACACACATGGCAGATGACACATAACATATTACTGTCAGGAATCAACTCAAATTACTGTAACTTCCCTGACTAGTGTCTAGTCATAACTAGGCACAGAGACATGTCGACTTGGAACCTTATGAGGGAGGGCATTATAGGAATTAAATGAGCACGAGATAAGATATATATAAAAGAAGAGGGAGAAAATAAATAGGGTAGATGGATAGATGGATGAATTGGATATATATCATATCATAAATCTATCTGACGACCTTTACCTTATCATGAATTGTGCAAACGAATGATCCACAAAAGCCCAAACGACCCACTCATCTTTGCATTCTGTTTCCTATAAATAAAACCACCATTCTTCCTTCTTCACTCTACTCTTCTTCTGATAACCAACAAAAACAACAAAACTTTGTTATTACTTAAATTATAACCCAATTGGCCAATTGCCCTGACTGCTTTCCAACTGTCTGTTGAGGGAGAGAGGGAGAGAGGTAGAGAGAGAGGGAGAAACAACATACTAATATGGCGTCAGATGAAAGTATGACCATCCGCTCTTGCATCTCCATGCAGGAAGACGAGTATGACGATGATACGACGGATGATGGATATGATCACCATCCCCATCTCCACAACTTGTCCAGGCTGTCTATGTGTACTAGTAGGAGTTCCACCTATGGTGCTCCTGATCTGGATGAAATTGATGATGATGTTGATGATAACTACTTCTACCAAGGCCTACATCAAGATCAAGATCATGATGCCCAAGAACAGACTGGCATGAGTATGTACATGTCACTCTTGTCCATGGAAAGCTTTGACGGGGATGTAGACGACGAAGAAACATTATCATCCAATGATAAACGAACCAAACAAGTACTACTGGAAGCTGGGCTGTCATCCGACTCCGACAAGGAACCCGGCTGCTGTTACTCGCTTCCGGCGACACCCCGAAGACCAAGGACTCAGGCTAGTGCTCCAGGGGGAATGCTCCGTTATAAGCATCCCAATCCCATGTTGGTCAAAGAGTATGCCAGCGAGAACGAAGCTGAAACGCTGATGAGCGGCGATTCCAAGAAGAGGAGCAGGAGGAGAAGTAGGCGGAGAATCTCATCAGACAACAAGGAGAACATGAATATGATGATGACGAGGATGGGTAGTAATCAGCTTGACCATTGTCATAGCTTTAGTGGGGAGAGTGAGGGTGGCTCTGGTACAGGGGTGGTGGTGATAACAAGGCCCAAAGGAGGGAGGAGGTCCCTGTGCATGGACTTGGAAGAAGTCAAGGCTTGCAGAGATCTTGGATTTGAGTTGGAGCACCAGCACATGCTGCAGGAGATGCCCTCTCGTCTTTCCCTCTCCACCCCAACTCTCACTCTCGATACCAACACTACCTGCAGTAGCGGTGGCAACTCCCCCATCGCTAACTGGCGCATCTCAAGCCCTGGTATGCCTAAGCTGCCTGCCTTCCATCTTTTTTTACCTTCATCATCTAATTTGAGTACTAAATATCTCTGCTTCAGGTGACGACCCACGGGATGTCAAGGCTCGCCTCAAGGTCTGGGCGCAGGCAGTGGCACTGGCATCCACATCAAGACAAGGCAGCGGAGCCGACTAATTCACAGAAGACCATCTATTCTATTCTATTCTCTCTGCATTTGGTTTTTTTATGTACTTCTGACACGCGCATCGGGTGTCGGGGAGAGTTCCAAGTGTGGGGATTGAACAGAATATGGTAGCTTTTGCATTTTCGTTTCCACTACTAAGCACATTTTTCTTTCTTCTGTCTGGCTTTTGGGTAGATTTTGCCATTTACTTTTTCCCTAGGAGAGTTCTTATTTCTGGTTGACGATCCTTTATCTCTATTGAGTTGACTATATTTCACCCGTACCTCCGCAGCTTCTCCACATCGTAAATATAACATAACCGATCATTTTTTTCATGATGATAGACTTACAATCACACTTCATTATGTTGATTATGTGTAGAGATTTTGAAGTTTTCATTTCATATATCGAGTTTGTGAGATGCTTCCCCATTGGATATTGGTTTGTTTGAGTATAATAGTATTGGGGTTGATATTGTATTGGTTATAAAACATATATCAAAACCTTTTTATTGACATTGTATTAGTTAAAACACATATCTCATAAGTTTTATGTATTCTACTTAGTCCTATGTTGTCCCATACGGACTGCCCAAATTGATCGGAAGCTCTCTAACAAACAAGATGCTAAAGCGAGACAAGGAATAAAGAATGTCATACTTGGATAAAACCCTGTCGGAGCAGGACAGTAAACCAACGCACTGTTTTTAGCCCTACTTTTTCTCTCAAAACTCATACGTAATCTGTGTTAACTGTTAATGGCCGTAGTCAGGCCAAACATACATGCTGGAGGATTTATAGCAGTGAACTAGTAAATTAAACCCTATCCACGACATGGAAGGGAAAAAATTCCAAAATCTCTGCACAAAGAGAGACAGAGATACCATCTGTTCTCACTTGACAGAATGAAACCGCATGATGCATCTGGAACATAATATGGGCACCATCAAGGCACTTAGCAGATTTAGCACAGTAAAAGACAACCTTGTGGATTGAGAATATGTCATGGAACTGGAAGATAAATCTTCGCTGCAGAGTATAACAGTCATTTCAGTCTCTTACAATTGAAATGGATGGAAGGAATTGGGGAAGGGTACAGAAAGCTGAGAAATTGAAAGGCATCTGCTAATTTGAATGCTGAATTTACTCCTTGGTTACTAACAAGGTGAAAGCTTGTAAACCGAATTAACACAAAGATACATTTATTGAAACCAACACTTTCCCAACCCAAGGACGGACATTCCAGATCTCCCAAGATACAGGAGTGACACCAGAGGCTTAGCTAGCACTTCCTTTTGAGCTCTTACACGACAAACCAAAGATTTTCAAGGCTAAAGCAGAACATAAATATCCTTGTGATTATGTTTCCCCTGCCTAAATTTCAATAGTAATTATTATGGGATTAGCATATGCCTGCCCGCCTTAGAAGCTAAATGGTCATTAATAGAATCCCCGTGGTAAAGAACCTAGAAATTAAGTTGGGAAACCTCCCATTGGGGTATTCTGAGATTAAGAATGTCTACCAAGGAAATAGGCACCTGTTCAAAGCTCTTCAGTTTCAATGGGCAGTGCCTCACCACAAGAAGCTCTTGGTCACTAGAAAGTCAGTGATTTGTGGTCCTACTGACTTTATGAAGAGAAAGAAATAGAATCCACTACAAGTATCAGCTAACACAGTCATAAGCAGAGCACTAATTATGAACCATTAACTTTAAAAGCATGAAAAAGTTTCAAGTTATCTTGAGATAGACAACAGAATCTCTCAGGTGAGAGAAAAATGAGGATGACTCCAGCGTCTACAAAAACTTGCATAAAACAAGCACATATTTTATTTGAATGAATGAATTGTTACAATTTCCAGAAATGGTAATGGAGTAAAGGATAAATTCTCACTCACTTGAACATTAGATTGTGGCAGGTGTTATCACAGGGATATGCACAGTCAATAGCTTTAACCGGCAGTCGATCAAAGTACCAGTCTCCAACAGACAATGCAATTGCCTGCAAAATAAAAATGTGACTTAACCAATGCCTTTCAAATCTAACGCCATTTCATTATAAATGATTTTACTGAAGCCAAACTATGTGTAACTTGAGATTTCGGTGCTACATTTAATCATCTAATGAGATTTCTGTGCTACAATTCACTGCCTATCATATGGTATAAACAGAATGCTTCTGCCATTCTCACTTAACTAAATCAAATAGACAATTAAAGACACAAACGCATGAGTTCAAGGCTTCCCAGATGTCAATTCATAAAACAACCACCCTCCCATGTTAAACTCTTACTATAACTTCCACAACCATTTGAAAAAGTAATAGATATTTAAATGGGGGCATACCCTGTTTCCAAGAACAGGAGAATCATCAGCAAACCATGTGTCTTGTCTCTCAGATTGGCAGTGAGCAAAGCAGGAATTTATGAATAAACCATTTTTAGTGGACATTGAGAAATCTCTAACAGCATTGAGCATTTGATTCCTGAAGTCTGCTTCATATGAGGGAAAGGAGAACAGCATTAAGAAGGAATTCTGTAAGTGTGTGCTTGTGTCTGTATATATCAAGATTACACTGGCACAAGAATTAAATAAAATCAAGAAAAGAGCTAAAAAACGAGAATTACCTTGCAAAAACTGGATCTGGGATGAATTACAAAGTGCATGGTTTGATTTGCATGCACCCCATAAGCCACGAGGATCTGCAGATGGAGGGGCTAAACTAGCTTGAACCTGAAGAAAACAAATAAAAAAGACTTCAGCAAAATTATATCGGGGCCATGAAATACCAGTACAAAAGCCAAAATCCTTGCCAAACAGATAAAAACTGAATACTGATTTCTGTCCTGTCAGTCATATGGTAGGCTCATTGGCTGCCTAATTATGAAAAACTACAGCTTTTTACTATGCCTCTTAGAAGTAGAGCATTTAGGAATAAAGCATAAACAATGCACTGGCTTGACAATCGAGTAGTTGCACCATGAAGATAAGACTGTTGGAGGAGGTATAGGCAAATAATTTCAACCAATACCTACAGGCCCTCCAGTACAATACGGTACACACTATAAATTGTCTATATAATAAAAGATAAAAAGAAGATGACCTGCCATGCATCATAGGCTGCATTGAGAAGAAACATGGGAGTCTTAACATTTGCAACCAAATTTTGAGGAAAGAAGCACTGAGAGAGAGAGAGAGAGAGTTAGATTTTTTTAATACACATTTAATTGCATAAAATCAATAAAATCTAGAGAATTACCGAAGTTGGGTCTAGGTGGTCGATACAAGTCTTTGGCAGATTTTTTTGCACTTCCTAAAATCATAACAAGTAGCCAATATCACACTTTAAACAGGCAAAGCGACTGGAGAATTATTCAAAGGAAACCTGTAATGTGACAATTTGAAGTGCCATATCGTTGTTCTGTTACCAGTCAACATAGATTGCAAATGTCCCAAATCCGTGCTAATGAATATTAGAAAACTTCTTATCAAACGAGCTCAAACAGAAGTTGTGGAAAGGTAGCGGAACTTTTTCGTTAATTTTGTAGGCCAGAGAGATTGCTACTGTTGTTACAAGCTCACAAGCAATCTATGGAAGTGGTGAGACCACTTTAGAAAGAAATTTACTATTGTAGTACAAGCTTTGTCCTCCAAGGGTCATACTGATATAACCCTAAGTTTCTACTTCAAAATTGAGTCTAGTCAACCATGAAATGGAAGCAGAGAACGATGAACATTACCTGCAAGCTAACCACACCAGCATACAAATTCTTTAGAGTGTGGCCACCAGATACATCAATTCTACAAAATATAAAACAAAACCATCACTAGAAGCATGTTCTTCAACTGAAGAATGCAAATTGATATAAGTTATAGAAGATCAGCTCATTACGCATCAAGGAACATTCCAGCATCACTTAGACATTTCACTCTGGTAGTTTCGGGAAACAAGTCTTGGAACTCATCACAGTGTAGTATGGATGCCAGACCCCCAGCAGAACATCCAGAAAGAAGAGCCTAAAACACAATTAAATGAATAGTAACTAAAAGTTTCGACGCTGACTCACATGAACAAGAGCAAGTTCAGTGTAAAACCTGGTCAGCTTTCTGCATTCCCTTGGACATTAACTCTTCCATAGCGGCTAACCATATCCGTTGCCCTCGAAAATGAAGTTGTGCAGCCTGAAAGGGAGAAATTAGAATATTGAGTGAGGTTTAAAATCAAAAGTTCAAAAAATCCTTTTAGTTCTGAGGATTTTGGGACTATGGGTATAGTTCACTCAATAATTAAAAATGCTTATTCATCAATAAAATGTTCTCTCTAATTGACCATCTTGAAAATAATAGGCCAGCGAAGCTAAATGGTTAGAAGATAAGTCAGTAACCAAACTAATCCGGAGCTGTTATGATATCCCTAAAATTTTTATGATTGTAGGATTGGAAAAACTCAAATGAAACAACCAACCTCATTCTGACTGTCTCCACTAAAAGAAGCCCCATCACAGTAACGTAGCTTGACCCTGTTCCAGTTGAAGAAATCTGCAAGCATGAGAGGAGAGGCCCATTCAGAACATATAAAAAAATTATTAATTACAGATTAAGCAGGTGCAAATTGCGGGTCAATGAAACAAAGAGGAGAAGAAAATGTATTTGATTTGATATAAATGGAGGGAGTGCATAACGTATGGAATAAGGGAAAAGCGTACCAGGGTTTTCTTCAGCTTTATTGCTCAATATTCCTGTGAATGGTAATTGCTTTTCCATGAACTTGGATGAACCGCGGCGAGTAGTTTTGCGATAAACACAATTTCTGATTGAGTTACACCACCCACCTCCCTGCAGAAGAAACCAAACAAGTTGCAAAGCAAACTTGATAAGAAAACTGAAATTGGAAATGAAATGGCAATACTTGATACCTCCAACTGAATGAGCCAGCTGTTTGCACCCGATCCATAGCCAGGATGAAGATGGTAACCGGGCAATGTGCCATCCAAGCAGACTGTGGCATAAGAAGAAGAAGAATATAATTTATTATTCTTCTGAGGAGGAGTTGATTTGATGCTGACATTGTAAGAAATCTTTGTATTTCTAAGAATAAGATAAACCGAAAAGGAGAGAGAGAGAGAGAGAGAGAGAGAGAGAGAGAGAGAGAGAGAGAGAGAGAGAGACCAGCTCCTTTAGAAGCAGCAGAGTCGATGAGAGTGAGGGGAACCATGAGATTGAGAGGAGGCTGCGTCTGTGTCTGTGTGGGTAAGGCTGAGGAGGCTGAGTCCGCCGCATCTTTGTCCGCTAAGTCTAACCAAGACTTAGACCACAACACTTGCTCTTTCTCCTTCTCCTTCAAGGCAGTCGCCAATGCCACCACCAACAAACCCAAACAACAACATACACTCACTTTCTGCTGCGGCTTCATTCTCACTCAGACTCAGAATGAATCTCAATCAACCAACACCCCTCCTCCTCTCCTCTCCTCCTTCTCTTCTCTCTCCTCTCCTCTACTCTCAACTCTCTATTCTCAAACTCATATTGTTATACACAGCAAAATTAATTCACTCGAAAGAAAGTCAAAAAAGGAAAGAGGAAAGGCTTGTCTTTTCTTTTTTCTCCTTCTCATTTCTCATAATTCTATTTTATTCTTTTCAAAAAGCAGCCGTAAAACTGGTCAGAGTCCAGACAGTGACACTGTTTGAGTGAGAGGAAACGAGACACTCGCGTCCGTCTATCAAATATCTTGGTTTCGTTCGTCCACGTCTGTTTTTTTTCTTTTTGGGTCAAAATCTTTATTTTTATTTTTATTTGTTTAAGAAGAGCACGTATGCGTATGCTAAGATTCAAATCCAATACCTTTTTTGAAGGAGCAATGACTCCAAAGCATTACATTGGTGGGTCCTTTGTTTTTTGGCCAAAAGTCTTAGTTTAGCCACTTACCAGTGACCTTAACCCCCAAACACAACCAAAAAAAAAAAAAGACCCAAAAAAGAATAAAAATAGCAGTGAACGACTACTTCCCCACATAAGTTAAATTTAGTTTAAAATTCAAGTTTGGATCTCTTTGATTTCTTGTTTGAATATAAAATTGAAGGCTCTAGACATGATTTTCAACAATCCTTGAATAATATTCGTGAGTATAACCAAGCTTTTGGTTGTGATTTCAAGCCAATTAGATAAAACTTTCAAATTACCCTTGAATTGCTAAGAAAACAAAACACTGAGCAAATTGAAGAAAAAAAAACCACAAACATAGTGACCGAAAGTGAAATTGAGGCACTGCTATTCACATCCAGCAATGCAATTAGACACAACAATGACGCCAAACAAAGTAAATAAATAAATAAAAATCCATCAATCGATTATCGAAAAGGAAAAGATTGGCTTGCCGAATGCATCCTATTTCTGCCGTACAACTCCTTTGCAAAATGCTACCAGTGAAGTTATACAATGTAAATACATTTCCCTCTCCTCCACAAGAATCAATGTCAAAGAATGTTCTATGGGTTGAATATACATACAAATAAATTCTATCTAACCAGGGCAAACTCAGCCCCCGCCAGAAATCTATCTCCACTTTTGAGCTTGTGCTACAAAATCATTTGTATCATGCTTGGTCTTCCCCGAATTATTACATGTTAAAATTTATTTTATATATTAAAAAAAATCACAATAATCTATAAGCCCCTTAAACACCCAACCCACTTGACAACGTCTCGCCACCTTCTTCGCCAAACTGATAATGCTCATATACTTCGAGTAAGAGTTCCCTACACGGTACAACTGCCCCAAGCTTCATGCAAGCCAAAAAGGCACCTGAAAGCTTGCGATGAAGGCTGTAGGCCTCGTCAGGTGGTGGAGTGACCCTGTGCCTTAGCATGGTTGCCCCAAGGTTTGAAATGCTTTGAGTGATATTGGATGAGCGGAAGTCATACCCACCAGGCTTTGAAAATGGCAATCCCACAACAAAACCGGCTTGGACATGAGCCTCTAACATTATTTCTGACTCCGTTCCCGAGAGGAATCCAAGTCTCTTAGACATTTCAATGACTGTACCTCTATCATCATTTGCACAGGCAAGAACCTGATCAAATATGCATTAGAAAGTCCTCAGTGATTCCAGCTCACTTTAAAAAGTTTTAAAGTTCAAACAAACAATTAATATTTAACCACAATTACAACCACAACGTCTTAATCTAACAGACAAGAGTTGGCTGTTAGCCAAAAAGAATAAACAAACTATCAAGAGTTGACTTCAGGATTGAACCATGATAAATCAAGGTCTATAATTCTTGCATGATCAGGTCTTAAATGACATTAGTCCTGTCTGAATAGATGCCTCATTCCTATGTGCCAAGATCATGACAATAGAGACCATAACTGAACCTCAGGCAACATTTATATACTATCTAGGAAGCAGGAACCTTTGTAAGGTAATGATAAAAACACAGAAAAAATTCAATTAAATAGAAAGAAAGGAGATTTCACCATTCTTAGATAGTCATCAACAAAACTCTTGGGGTAATCCCTAGCCGCTCCAAAGTCAATCAGATTGATTGTTTTCTTAGCCTCGTCGTACAAGAAATTACTCCAATTAGGATCAGTCTGCATTGCATAAAGCAAAATTAGAGCAAGATGAGCTGAGAGCCTAAAACTAGGAAGAATGAATGACTTACTAACCCCCTCAGAATTTTAATTGCTAAAAGCATAATGCAGGAAAAACATAAAACAAAAACCACAAAATAAAGTTCAATTCATGAATAACACCAGCTCAGATGTCAAGCGGAACGACACCCCTGAATCTTTGATATGCTAAACGAACTGATGTAAGAAACTCTTTCATAAATATGAGCTGGACTAGACCATAAGTCTTGCTTAACTTTGGCTATTTAAACAACAGCTGAAATGTCCAGCAGAACAGGCACCCCTGAATCTAGATATTTTAAACGAACTGAAGAAATTAAGTCTTTCATACATATGAACTGGACTAGACCATAGGTCTGGCTGTAAATTGTAAAATGACTCGGAATTTTAGCTACATTATAATTACTTAACATCAGCAGCTGGTGATTAAAAACTTAGTATCTGTGATACACCAACAATAACATTTCCTAGAGAGAAATATCCTCTTTGGCAACCCAAGAAGACACCCATTGGCCTAAGTCTGTCAATGAAATACAAAGAGAAATTGTCGGTGGTAAAAAAAAAAACCACTTCGTCTACGTCATCGTTTAAAATCAATCCATTTTTAAAAATTAATCTTTAGAGCTAGGGAAAGTGTCAATGTTGAAAATCACTAATGTACTTTGGGACTCTATTTGAAGCCTAGAAATAATGCTATTTCATGTATTTTTTAAAAATTCATATTTGTAATGAAATAATATTTAGTAATTTTGAAAGGCTTGCAGCCTTGAAAGCTTAATGTTTTTAATGATTAACTATTAAGTATTTCCTCTGCAATGGCAGCAACCATAAATCATCGTCCTCCTCTATCTAAAGTTCTTCTCATTACTATAATTTCTGCCCTCCACCATAATCGTAGGGAACGCTCACCTTGTATTGTGCTACATCAATTTTATATCAGACAACCCAACTTGATTGAGTTAAGAACTGGACCAAGAATGGAATAATTGCCCTCAATGTCTTTAAAGAGGGATGAAGGTGATGATTCAATTTTTGGTCGAACTCAAAACTCGACCCCATCTGGTACCATACTGAAGTAAGACAAAAGAAAGTGGGTATGAAAAGACTTCTACAAGAAATGACTCATTGAATAGTAGAAGAATTCATTTGACTGACTCCTAAATGGCATTTATAAAAGATGGAAAAACTTGAGCTAACAGCCTTTGTTTTGGGCTTCCAAAGTTTTCTAACCAAACTACTGCCGTGCATAATACTAATATTGCTATCCTGACAAATAAAATTAGCAGTTGAGGTTTCTTCTGCGGGTCCTACTTTAAGTTGACTAGTACAATGTCAAACCTCAACAGGTGATACTAAGACATCAATTTAATTAGTGAGAGCAAGTTATTCTTAAGCTTGCATAAAGTGAATGCTCATAAAACAAATTAAGAAAAGCAAAGCAAACTTACAATAAAATACTACATATGCATGCACTTGTGAAGACACAAGAAAGAACATACCTGCATGAAACGGAAAACAAACAACTCCTTCAAAGTGAGCTCTAGCAACTTTGTGCCAACATAGTTGCGAGTTTCCTGGTTTAATAATGCCACTTTGTCTATAGGTACTCCTGTAGCAAGAGAAACAATATCATGTTAAAGGTATATCAACAAACGTTTGCTCTGTTGATGATACAACTAAGGCTGTTGGCATGCATCACAATGAAAACTTGAAGGTAACTATGTTACTTGATAATAAAAGGAAAATGCTAGAAGACAGCTAAGTCATATAAAAAGCAAAAAAAGAAAATATCATTAGTGCTGGTTAAAGGGTGATTTTATTTAAATCCAAAACATTGTCCTTTATACTCTTTTAAATAATTAATAAATAATAAAAAAAAGCAATGCCATTTCTTCAATATGCCGCCAGGAAAAAGTTTGGGTAAAATTGCTTAAACATCTGAAAGTGTAACTTAAAATCGACGGAAAAGATGCAACTCATTTACAAACGTTACGAGCAGTCCATAATTACATTCACTTGAAATATAAGGCGACTTATGCATGTGGAGCCTGATAAAAATCTGACATCATTCAATTCATAGCTTGCCTTTTAAGTTCAGCCTGTGCATTCATAAGCTTAGTTAGCAACCCACACTATATCGATGGAAATTTCAATTGCTGCAACCACTTGTACAAGAAAAAGGCAGTTTCTATACCAGTACTTGCATACCCACAACACGTTGTACAGTTCAATTTTACAACAAATTTTGAAATAAACATTGTTTCTTCAAGCGATAGTGTTTATAGAGTAACTTGTTAGCTTTGCATTAGGGTCTACGAGAAAGTCCCTAAGCAAACATGTTGGAATCAGTTCTTTAAATGCTAATTAGGGAACTTTACCCTGGATTTGCTAAGCAACAACATAAACTTTTCGGGGTAAAAATCACTGGGTCATAGTTTAAACAATGGAATATCATAAATGACATAGTTTACTTACCAGAAACAAGCTCTGTCGTTAAGACTCTTTTGCTTGAGATATCATCCACTACAAATGGAACATAAAACCCTTGTGCATTGGATAGCAAATCATGAAACCGTTTTTGATTTTCTGCCTCCAACAGATAGTCGCATTCACGGGATAATTCTTCTTTTGCCACCTATAAAGGATCCCAGGAAGAACATAAAAATGCATTGCCAACAGTTCAAGACATTTCATCATCTTCTGAGATTCAAATCCACAATTCAATCTCCATCTGGGTACATTCAATATGGAATCAAGTTCCCAGTTCATGGGCCATAAGGTAATGATCAACGGGGATTAGATACAAACCCATACTAGAGAAAGAGTAGAACAATGGCCAAATTTGTAAGTGAAGCAATTAGAAAAAGTAGGCTCACCTACAATGTTCCTGATAAACCATGTGAGTCATATTGAATCATTGATACAATATCAGAACTCTGATTAAAAGAAAAATAATCCCCTTTGGAACCAAAATTTAAGCATGCTGGCCCAAGTCTATCAATAAGGCATTTTTTTATCCAAAAAGAAATGTCCTAATAATTAAAAGAGTCAGTTCATCTGTTGCTTTTTTAAATGTCATTTAAAGCTTGTCCAATTGTACATGCTACTAAAGAGTTATTTGAAGAAGCAATCTAAATGTCATTTAACAGTTGTCCAATTCTAAATGCAACTAAAGAATTAGTTGAAATTTTGAAGAAGCAATCTATATGTTAGTGTCAAGAATATTTTACTTTTTAATGTCTGCTAATATCTCTTGTTTAGGAAATCAGATTTTGATGAATCAAGATTACATGTTATTGAAAGGCTTGATGCTATCATATCGCCTTCTATAAAATCTCCACCTTATTTTTTCCTCTATAACTTGTTTGCAATTATACCAATCCTAAATATTCTCTTCTTCTTCTTTTACCTATGTTCTTCTGTTACTAAAATTTCTGTCATCTACAGCCCATCATAATCACAAGAAGCACTATCTCATGTTGTCGTACATCGTGCATAGTTTCCACACTCAAGAATGTGGGTTTTGAAGGCCTCCATCAACACTCAACCTGATATAACCACCATATAAATAGATGAATGGATAAAATAAAATAAAAATACCTTCATCGCTCTTTCAAGATAAAGTCCCTTTGGGATTAGATTTGTATAATCTAGAAGAAGTTTCACGTTGTCAATGTCACTTTCAATGCTATCTGCAACACCAGGGTACTGAATTTTCATTGCAACATCCCTACTGTCCTTTGTGACAGCTCGGTGTACCTAAAAATGTTTTAAAGTGTAAGACAAACAGTCTAAACAATGTAAAATGCATGACAACTTTTACTACACAAATATATGGGATAGATGCAGAAGTCCATGTTGGATTGTGATGGCATGTAAATACATTGATGCCAATCATGCAGGTGTGTTAGCAGCTTATGTATTTTGAACCAAAGGTAATTTGGCTGCAGAAGAGTATGTTGGGTAGGTGTGAGTGTGTGTAACAATAAACAATCAAATGCCTCACCTGGCCTATACTTGCAGAAGCCAAAGGTTCATAATCAAAACTAATAAGCTTTGATGACCAGTCAGGTCCAAATTCACCGTCCAAAACTTGATTGAGCTGTTTCCTGGGCATGACGTCCGCACCTTGACGGACAATATCCAGAGCAGCCAAGATCTAGAAGAAAAGAAAAGGAAAGACTAGACTGACAATTTCACAAAGACAGTAAAACACTAAAAACATATAATGCAATGTATATGAGTTATTTTAAAAGAGAGAGAGAGAGAGAGAGAGAAATAGAATACCGGAGCAGGGACGAGGGATTCGTCCTGTATACTCAACATCTGTCCCAATTTGAGTGCAGCTCCACGCATTCTACAGAGTCCAAGAGCCAAAAGTTCTGCATTTTTGGGAGACAAAAAAGGAGAAAGAAGAGGCTTGTCTGATGAATTTTGCGTACCATAAACGAGTCTCTTGGTAGACTCCTGAATGGTTCCCCACGCAAGCCCAGCTCCAAGACCAGCAAACCTTTTTTATATTTTATTGTTTTGTCAGAGAGAGAAACAAACAACAGGTTAGGAAAAAGAAAAACAAACAACAGGTTAGGAAAAAGAAAAACAATCAATCGCAATCAAATACATAATACATCATCATGATTCATGATCATATCGAGAATGGAGATACCCGAGTGCTCTAGAGAAGGGGGTGGAAGGAACTCGTCTCTCTCTGGGCTTCCGCCTCTGCAATGGCTGCTGAGGTTGTGGTTGTGGCTGTTGTTGGGCCAAATTCTCATTCTTGGCCGAATCAAGGACCTCCACTTGTTGTTGATCAACGTGCTGCACTTGTTGATGTTGATGATGTTCTTCTTGTTCATGCTGCTGCCTACGCTGCTGCGGAGGAGGAGGAGGAGCAGGAGCAGAAGGAGGAGAAGAAGGTGCTTCTTCATGTACGAAGTATACGACGGAATCTTGGGCTTTGTTGTTGTCGTTTCCATTGGTAGTCGCAGTAGTATTAATGGCGTTGGTGAATTGGGAGAGGGTGCCTTTGGTGAGGCCGGAAAGGTCGGTGGCCGACACGATGGCATTCTTGATTAGGGCTTCCAAATCCCCATTCTTGGCGCTTTGGAAAGCCGGGGATCGTTTCACAAACTCGTTGGCGATTAGAGACACCCCTTTCACCACCCTCCCTACGTCCTTCCGCTTTGCCCACACCATTCTTCTCTTTTCTTTTTCTTTTTCTTCTTATTATTTCGATACACGAATATAGTATTGTATAATCCTGGTTTGCTGCTCTCCTCCTCCTATACCGAACATAAACATAACCTCAAAGTATTAACCACCGGAACACAATTTAAAAAACATTAAAGTCGCCGTGAGACAGACTGCGTGTTCCGACAGACACCACATCTTCATTTTTATCACACAGAATTCGGCCCAAACTAATTTCAATTTTGTACCAACTACACCCAAAGTCCTTTTCCTTAGGCCCAACTTATGTATGATTAACTATTCTGTACAGATTAGCCAGCCCAAAATGTTAAAATACGGTGTTGTCCTTTTTTGGTATTAATTTAGTACATGAGTTTATATCTATGAGTCGTTTTATGGTGAGAGTGCTATATATGGGTCATAGAAGTGAACCTTCATATTAGCCATATGATTTATCTGAATAGTAACTTCACTTAAATTTAATGAAATAATCATGTGGCTAATATGAAGGTCCACATGAGGAGTCCATATATGTCACTCTCACTATAGAATTTTGCCTATATATATCTGTAATTTAGGAGCATACCACATTGTTTACACAAGTATGTAGATGAGCACACCTTAGATAAGGTCCTTAGATGAGACTCTATCTCTTAATCGTTGAATTAAATTGGTTAGTCGTTAGTTTGATCCAACAGTTAAGAGATATGTGATTACCAATTGGAGCCCTAAACTAGAAACAATATAAATATTCAAGATCTCCAGCCAAGCCACCAAAGAATGTGATATGAGTCCAAGACTCCTAATTATTGTTTCTCTTTGTCTAACTTGAGCATCAAAGGCTGTTTCTTAAGCTCACACTAGAACCCAACTGAATAATAAACTTTTTGGCTTGAAATTGGTGCCATGGACGAGTAGATAGATTCCTAATGGGCCACGTCAAACGCCACCACCTATAGCCTAGTTGGTTGCAAATTGCTGGGACAGAAAGCATCCTTCATCCATAGATTCTATGGATAGATGATAGAAAGACGGGAAAACACAGTGATAGAATAATGCAAAGCGATATCGTTTGAACAAATGTTAGATTATGGGCATTATGCTTTTATTCCATATAACCATCGATCGATCTTAGAAAGAAGGAATAGTCCTCACCTTGACAATATCCCACTTACAGGGTAATCTTCTTGATTCTTAAATTCCTGACCAAAATATCCTTGATTCTTTAGCTCAAAAAAAAAACTATATGATCTCTTTTGTTTCAATTAATTTGCACCGCAGTATCATCCTCGAACCTAACCCCCTCCAGCATCCCCCAGCTGCTGCCGACAAAGATAAGAGATTAATTGATGAGACGTACGGTCATGCATGCATTGCGTTTGCGTCGTTTAGCTAATAGCTTATAGCTATATATAGCATGTTGTTGATCTATACCCTAAGATAATTAAGATTGAAAAACCCATGCATAGAGATCGAAAATGACAGCTCTACCTTAATTCCATAGACTTTAGTGATTCGGAATACGATCACAGAGAATATAGTTTATTTATTTATTTAATATGCTCTCACCACCTCACCTCGGATCTGGCGAGCATCATCTCGCACATTCTTCAAATTGGTGGGTATATTATATATACACAATCTCCGGCCCTAACCAATTATCTCGTGCACCAGACCAGAGCTGTTATATATAGTCATTCTACTATACATTAATTTCAAGGTAATCTTTATCTAGTTTTTGCGACGGACTTGCATTGCTTTCATCATGCATACTGAAAACGATGACTCTAATCGGGCAGAGAAACAAGGTGATAACAAATCCGTAAACAAGGGACTTGCATTTCTTGATGAATTTTTAAGATATCTCACTTTCTTTTCCTTTCATCCACCAAACTTTGATTTCTCAATGATCGTTATTCATCATTATTCTCTACTCTTCTTCTTCTGGCCTTATACGCTATATATCGATATAGTTTGAAGAACATGGTGTTGAATGAATATAATCTACCAGAGTTTTACTGAGTTATGAGTTTGTTGGAAGTGTTTTTAATTTCCAGAATCATTGAATTCATATACACATGTTCATTAAGATTTTCTTTGTATTATTAAGTAAGAGGGCTAGGATTTTCAAAATTCACTCTTCTAAACTTTGTTTCTTTAACCAGCTTTGTGGAACCTTGTTTCAGGTATATTCTTGAAGATGGATGATGTTGGGAGGTCCGGTGGAGCCAAATATGACTGCTTGCTTTTTGGTAAGATACAATACAATGATGCAACTTTTAAAAGGCACTCACTCTCTATTTTTGTAGCCAAGTGTGTAATGTTTTGATTAACCAGATGAAAATTTTAAGCTTTTCTTCTTCTTCTTCTTTTATATGTAAATTTTATTGACTTGGAATTAATTGTGTACATTTCTGGATTTAACCATTAAAAGCATCTCTTCTTTCAGACTTTCACTTGCCAACTACTCACTCTTCTGTTTGGTGGCTTCCCAACATGTCTTACAGATTTGGATGATACTCTATATCCCCTGAGCTCAGGTCTCAACTTGGCATGCCGCAAGAACATTGAAGGTATGGCCGTAAACTACTATTAATAATCAGAAGAAGATGCTATATATTAGTCAGGTGATAATATTGTATTTCACTACTCATAACCATTAATAGATTACTCATAATGAGGTTGAGCAATTTCGATTGTAGAGTTCATGCTGCACCACTTGCAAATAGAAGAAAGTGAGGTACCAAGGATGTGCCTGGAATTGTACAGGGAGTATGGGACAACCATGGCCGGTCTAAAGGTAAGACAGAGCGCTGTCCAATTGACCTTGGAGTTTGTTTTCTATCAATGTTAGTACCCTACTTCAATATTTATATACATATATCTAGAACTTTGATAGTTTCCATCTCTTCATCCAGGCTCTCGGTTACGAATTTGACAACGATGAGTTTCATTCACATGTCCACGGCAGGCTACCTTACGATTCATTGAAGCACGATCTGGTGTTAAGGAACCTTCTGTTATCGATGCCCCAGAGAAAAATAGTACGTCAGTACTGGTTAAAATTTGTTCACATTACCTGCCTCCTGTTCACAGAGTCATAGGTTATGGTAAACTAAGATGCATCTACTGGTGTTTTCAGATCTTCACTAATGCTGATAAGGCTCATGCGGCTCAAGTTCTCAACAGGCTGGGCTTGGAAGACTGTTTTGAAGGCATCATATGCTTTGAAACTCTTAACCCTCATCACCTTGAACCAGTTGATTGCAGGACATCAGATGACCAAATGGTCCTCATCGAACGGACACCAGAGGGCAAAGCCAATTCACCAATTCTCTGCAAACCCTCTGTGGAAGCAATTGAAGCTGCCATTCGTATTGCAAATGTTGACCCCGAAAAAACTGTACGATTGGATGCTTAGCTAAACTTGGAAGATCCCCATCTTTACTTATTTTCTTGGTCAAGCCTTACTTTACATATTCTTTTGCTTCAAACATTAGGGAGATTATGTAATGGAGATTATTATTATTATTTTCCGCAGATTTTCTTCGATGACAGTGCTCGAAACATAGCAAGTGGGAAGGCAGCAGGACTTCATACAGTCATTGTAAGAGCTCTACAACTACAAAAAAACAACTAATAGAAATAACTGAACCATCAGAGGAAGGAAACTTGTAGCTCATCATAATAACTATAAGTTTTAAGCATGACTTGCTGATTCTCTTCACTACCATCAACAAACAAACAAGTTATTTGAACTTTAATTTTGTGAAGTTTTGATACAAGTGGGAAACTTATGGCAGGTGGGAAGTTCAGTACTAGTGCCTGGTGCAGATCATGCATTGAGTAGCATCCACAACATCAAAGAAGCAATACCTGAGATATGGGAAGGGGAAGGGGGGCAACAACTAGAGCAATTTATACAGTCAACTGCTGTTGACACAGTGGTCCTTGCATAGGTCTTCTACTGACCGTGTCACAGTTTCAGTCACCTTGGAATGCAATTGTCAGTCAATGAAGTTTAGCGGTAATTTGGTGAAAAAAAGTGAATTTAAGGATCCTTACGACCAACTTATTATACATCTTATAAAACAATAGAGTTCAACTGATACCATATAATTCGTGTAATTGACTCCATGTAGTTCTTTTCTAAAAACGTAGTGATAAGTGTGTCTTTGTTTCTAGTCCAAAAGAATACGTCATGTTTGATGTACCTTCATCTCTAGCTTATATATTCCCATTTGAACTTTTCTCAGCGGAAATGAACAATCTTTCAGATGCATGACTGGTATATTTCATTTCACAGTCAAAATAAGATACATAGTTAAGAACAACTCTGGAATAGACAAACCGGAAAACCGCATTCCACAGTTATACTTTTTGACGAGTAAGAAGGCATTCAGTCCAAAAGCAACTCTCCACAGTTAACAATTCTGCATGGCAAACGAGGGACATCTGACCTGCTTGTCTCTTGGGATTCAAGTTTCCGCAGAACATCCATTCCCTCAATCACATGTCCGAACACCACATGGCGATTGTCCAACCATGGAGTCTACATGATGCACATCCAAAACATTAATTGACAAAGTTCTGAAACAGAACATAACTAACTCAGCTAAACAGGGTACATTTCAGTTACACTTATTTTCTTTGCTTGGAATGAACACAGTGATATAATACTAAAAAACTAATGTTTTATTTCCAATCATTCTAATGTCCTACTTTGACTGGATGTGCGATGATGTAAAAACCAAAAATTGATCCATAAATAGAAGTAAACCTTGAAAACCATTTGTCTCTGTGTGTGTGTGCATATCTCAGTTCTTCTTTCAACTGTTGATGGATCTCATAGATGTTGTATGGGCTTGTTTAAAGATTTATTTGAAATGTTCTGTATGGTTGTTTAGACGAAAACAAAATCAAATCTTCTCAAGAGGATTGCAACCAAACAAAGCAGTTGCACCTATTCAAAAAAGTCACTCCTGCCCATAAAGTATAGGAAATATAGAATAGACATGGGATTTGAAGGAAAGCATACTGAGAATTCAAACAAGTCAGAGAAAAGTATTTAGTTAAAAATGTGATATGCAGAAAGAAAGAATTGCGAAGTTGCAGCAGCCATCTTACCTTCACTGTGCAGATGAAAAACTGGCTCCCATTAGTACCAGGGCCTGCATTAGCCATGCTCAGTACACCAGGGCCAACATGCTTCACTGCAAATAAGTGTTTTTTAATGTTAGTACTGTAAGGGCTTTCAGCTAACAATCAAATGCCTTTCAAATGAAAGGATCTCAACTCCAAGTAAAAGTTCTCATTAAATTGAAAATAGTAATATAAGCTCTATTCTATTTTCTATGCTCTGTAACAAGAACATACATGCAAAGCTCTCATCTGCAAATGTGGAACCATAGATACTAATTCCCCCTGTTCCCTGCAGCCAGTAAAAACAATTAAATTTGGATTAATTTAGTAACCCATGAGCATCCTATCCTATTTTATTTATTAGAGAGAGAGAGAGAGAGAGAGAGAGAGAGAGATCACATCTCCTTCAGTGAAGTCCCCTCCTTGGATCATAAAATCTTTAATGATGCGGTGGAAAGAGCATCCTTTATAACCATATCCTTTCTCTCCTACAAGAACAATAATCAATATTAATACAAAGCAAAGAAGTAGAATAAGAGCAGCAATTGGGAAGGGAAGAGAAAAGAAAGAAAGGTTTGCCTGTGCACAAGCCGCGAAAGTTTTCAACGGTTTTAGGAACAACGTCACCAAAGAGGCCCAGTACAAGCCGACCAACAGCTTCACCGCCAATTTCTGTGTCAAAGAAGCACTTGGTTGTTACTTTGGCTTGCAGCTGCTCTACATCCTAAAATCACACAACCACGGGAGAAAATTAACTCTCAGGAAACTATTATTTCCATTCGGATTTTGCAAGTAACGCCCGTTTCTCTAAGTTGCTTATTTCCTATTTACTGAAACCCTCTAAGCCATTTCAACGTTCCTTGCATTGTTGAAGGAGTGGAGAAGGAGAAGCACTCACATTTGACATAGAGTTGGTGCACACCATTGTTTGATGTTTGGCAGAGAATCTGGAAGCATAGGGAGGCCTGCGTAGAGTGACCTGCAACCTTGTAGCAGTAGCAGTGGATGTCACATATGGCATGGAACATTGGCTATAACCACCCTGGAACTTGGAAGCGCACACACATAAAAAATAATTACATTTGGGACAAATTTAAATGAGCAAAGATAGGTAAGGCAGGCCTACTCTCAAAGTCTCAAGCTCAAATCAAATATATGGGCTGTGGAATTCACCTGGAAATGACGGAAAGGAGGAGAAAGAGTGCTTCTCTGGGTGTGAAAGATTTGTACTGAGATAGCAGATGCAGAGGCCATAGTCATTGTCTTTCGGTTTTGTTCCTTGTGGATAGGAAACTAGGAAAGCCTTTCTACTCTCAGCCTGAGCCTGGTAAAGTGGCAGTTGATATAGATTTCTGATATCTCATCTGTCAGCTAATTCTTCAAATCCTCCGCCTACACCTCACCCAGACCCAGTACAAAGAAAAGAAGGAAAGAATTTGGTAAATGGGCTGGATTAACCTCGCAAGAGGAGTTATGAGTGGAGGATACTGGGTTTGGACCCTAAACCCTAAAGTAGACACTGGGCCTCTACCAACCCAATTATGAACTACCCAAGTCAATGAAGCCCGTACACGTACACATACGATAACGATACAATACAAGGAGAGAGAGAGAGAGAGAGAGAGAGAGAGAGAGAGAGGAGTAAAAAGAAGATGCGAGTGAGTCAGATAACTGATGATGACTCATTCAGGAGGAGGAGAAAGCATCTGGTAGTCAGATAAGAATGGCTGTGTGACAGTGAGTGAATGAATGAAAATGCAAAGCGCTAATATTGTTCCTATCCCTTCTCCCACTGCTTCTGCTGCTGCTGCTGCTGCAACTGCGAAGCCCTCTTTCTTACTGCTACTAACAGTAACAAAAGCAAACCCGCCTTCAAAAACCCCAAACTTTTCGGCGAGTGTTTACTCGTCTTCTTTTATAAAACCAAACCATTCCACCGTCTCCCATTCCAGTTGCAGACCTCATGCGCAGTGCTTATCTTCAAACAAGTTCGATTCGGCCTTCTTGTCTCAGGATGACGAGGATGATGATGATGACCAAGCGGTATCGGAGGATGGTAATGGTGACGTAAGCATAAATATGGATGCTGCGGCGGATGATATTGATATTGATATTGATATTGATGTAGAGATAGAGAAGACGGGAAATAACTGTCGGAGGATCCAATCAGAAATTGGGATAGAGGCCCCACTCAACACCGTCTGGAATCTCTTGACTGATTATGAGAGATTGGCCGACTTCATTCCGGGACTTGCCGTCTGTCGATTGCTCCATAAGACAGACAACTACGCTCGACTTTTTCAGGTTTGCACCTTAATTTGCGTTGCGTGCGTCTGTCTCTGTTCTTGTAATATTTCATGGGGTAGGCTCTCATATTTCACATTTGAAATTTCTAACAGATTGGGCAGCAAAACTTGGCATTTGGGCTGAAATTCAATGCTAAAGGAATCGTAGATTGTTATGAGACTCCGCTTGAGACCCTTCCTAATTTGGGTCACAGGCGTGATATCGAATTTAACATGGTTGAAGGTGACTTTGAAATCTTTCAAGGAAAATGGTCTCTTCAACAGGTAAATTTCTCTTCTAAACGCTGTCTCTCTAGTGTACTCTTGTGCAAACAATACAATAGCTTAGACGGAGGTATATGAGGCCTACAGGTACAATACAATACAACAATGGGATTCATTTTTAAAAGCTTACAGGGTCAAAATGAATGATTCTTGATGCAGCTGAATGGGGAAATATCATGTGACGACTCTTTGATAGAGCAGCAAATGCACACAACTCTTTCCTACTTGGTTGATGTAAAGCCAAAGCTGTGGTTGCCCATTCGGCTTGTTGAGGGTAGACTTTGCAAGGAGATAAAAATTAACCTTGCATGCATCCGAGAAGAAGCGCTGAAACTAAATCACAGTAACACTATGCAGCACACTCGTTAAGTATGCTATATATGCGCCCTATTGTTATATTCATTCATCATTACATATATATTGGAAAGTGATTTGTTGTAGTCTTTCTCCACTTGGCCTTGCGCATCTAAAGGAAACCAAGAATTGTATACAACTGTGAATAAGCGTGTACAATCCAATACAAATATATACATCAATCTAACCGCATCAAAACCAATGTTTAACGAAACTCCAACTTCCTATATGCTACTAACCAAATTAATATTATTATGCACACTGGTTAAGATATCTGGAACAATTGCATGTTTTCTGTTTCAAGGCGTTGCCATTATCATCGTATTCGAGCTCTTCACGAGCTCATTCGAAGACATAGACCTGCTGTTGTTTACTTAAGTGGAAACTAAAATGAGAAACAACAGGATTGATGGTGTGTTTCCCATCTTTACACTCTTCTTTCTAGTTTTGATCCATTGCTTTTTTTTCTTAACTTTTCCTCGTAATGTTTTGTCCTCCTTCATTCCTTCTAGATATATTAATGGTTTAAAAAAACCATTCTAGGTTGGTCGACCAATTAAACACCAAGCTTTGTTTCTGTTCAAACTTCGAACACTCAAAAAAGGGACTCCACCTACTTATTTTGGCTGTTGGTGTTGGGTTCAATGTCCCTACTTCAGTGGATGCTTACTTGGATTCAATGAACTTACTTAATGCATGTGGTGTTCTTTCCACATAGTACATTCATCTATTGTATGTGAATGGAGAGTTGCATGCATTCTTTGTATGTGCATAGGTTCATTGGAGGTAATGAAGGAGTTTAGTTTCCACAAGGTTTAATGCATTTATTGGGGTGCATTGGTTCGTTATGTGGGTGGATGGTACAATGCATCTATGGCCTTCTCCTTGGCTATATAAAGGGAGGTTGTTCTGAAATCAAGTGAGTCATCAAGGTATCAACTCAAGTGTGAGTGTGATTCGCTAGGGAGTTGGGTCTGTATTAAGAGTGTGTATAACTCTTTGGGTCTGTATTAAGAGTGTGTATATCTCCATAGAAGTGTTTTTTGGCCTATTCAGAATCACTCCCAAATGAGCCCTAAAATGCTTCTATTGTTGTTTTCAGATCTTCACTAACGTTGACAAGGTGCATGCAGCTCAAGTTCTCAACATGCTGGGCTTGGAAGACTGGTTTGAAGGCCTTATATGCTTTGAAACTCTTAACCCTCATCACCTTGAACCAATTGATTGCATGATGGCATCAGATTCTCTACAAACCCTCATCACCTTGGACGAACTAAATGGTCATCATAGAACGTACACCAGAGGCTAAAGCCAAGTCACCAATTCTCTACAAACCCTCTTTCGAAGCAATTGAAGTTGTTATTTTTTTGCAAATTTTGATCCAGAAAAAACTGTAAGATTGAATACTTCGCTAAACTTGGAAGATCCCCATTTTTACTTCTTTTCTTGTTCAAGCCTTTACCTATTCTTTTGCTTCAAACATTAGGGAGATTATGTGATGGTGATTTTTTTTTCCTGCAGATTTTCTTTGATGACAGTGCTAGGAACATAGCAAGTGGGAAGGTAGCAGGACGTCATACAGTCATTGTAAGAGCTCTACAACTAAAAAAAACTGACAGAAATAACTGAACCGTCAGAGGAATGAAACTTGTAGCTCATCGTGTGTAAAGTAAGGCTTGACTGAGAAAAGAAGTAAAAATGGGGATCTTCCAACTTTCGCAAAGCATCCAATCTTATAGTTTTTTCTGGATCAACATTTGTTATAGGAATAGCAGCTTCAATTGCTTCCACAGAGGGTTTGCAGAGAATTGGTGATTCCGTCATGCAATCAACTGGTTCAAGGTAATGAGGGTTAAGAGTTTCAAAGCCTATGACGCCTTCAAAACAGTTTTCCAAGCCCAACCTGTTGAGAACTTTGAGACGAATGTGCCTTGTCGGCGTTAGTGAAGATCTGAAAACACTAGTAGAAAAAAAAAAACATTATTATGATTATGCACGAAGGTATATTAAATGTACACAAAATAATGTACCTATATGTATTATAATGTACACAAATTTAAACTAATATTTTTTCAGGATGATTATGTTGTATATGGTATGATATTCTAGTTAATGTTGTAAGAAATCACATACCAGTAGAACCGTCATTGCCGCCATGGAGACAGGGACAACCAATTAAATTGCAGCTAGCCAAAAACTTATAACACCATAACAAACAAACAAAAAACCAACCAAAAAACCCCTGATCCAAGCATATTTGGGCAGAATAGGGAATGGGAGAAATGAGGAGGGAAAGAGAGAGAGACGAGGAGCAGTGGTGTTCTCCCGCCCCCACTGTTGCACTTAGAGAGAAGGAGAGAGGCTTGGTTTAAGCGTTTTTGCTTTTATTTGCCTTGTAATGATGCAGACCTAGAAGCTCATAAATTTGAAGAGAGAGAAATGAACACCTAATAATCCCTATAATTAATGATGCTTTATTTAATAATGAAATCTGAAAAATCAAAAAAAAAATTACAAAAAAGAAAAAATTCCCAAACACCCCTCTAGTAGGTTATATTACGAGTTCATACCAATTTTTGGAGGATATTTACAATTACATACTCAAAGTAGCGAAAAACCTACAATTTACCCACTATGTTAGTGAGATCGTCAAGAAACTCGTTAACTGCCCACGTGTACAATTTTTAAAGGTTATTTTTGGCATCTCACTGCAGTGGTGTGTTTTGAGAAGTTTCCCGCCTAGTACATTACGCATGTCGATGAATTATTGAAAACCCAACCCTAATTCGCTAACAAATCCCCAAATCAAGATGGCCTAGCAAAACCAGTTACATTAATTCAGGGTATGAACTCGTAAATGACCTTACAATTTTGGGAGGTCTTTTGTAGTTAATCCTATCCTTTTTATAGAAAGCTTAGTTGTGTAGCTAATTTAGATAAATTTCATTATAAATAAATAAATTTTAACAAAAAAACTAGGAGCATAACTGTAGATGTTTTAATGAGATAGTAGACTTAGTTCACAAAATATAACAAATTTTTTTTTTTAATGCAAGCGAAAACGATATTCTATTTTAATCTAAACTATACTACATAAAGAGAGATTTGAAATGGGATGTAGAGTAATGAGCATATCTATTTTAGCTAACTTAACTAAGTTCATATATGGACAAAAGATAACATTTTAAAACAGAAGATGAAGTTCAGAAGTATTGAGTGGGCATTAGTGTAATTCAGTAATATTAATTTGAAAAACTTGGTGAAAATGAGGTCAAGGAATTGAAGGGTGTCCCGTGTCCCCACCCATCCAAAAGTCCAAATTCATTGATGAGCATGATGATGGGCCAAGTCACTAGCAGTGCTTATTTATTGACCCAAACAGCACCATTCCAATACACCTAGTCGCAAACACCACCAATCAATCATTCATAACAAATCGTTTTAAAATAAAGAAAGGGGCCAAACCTCCATTTCCATGTAACAGTCCACTCTTTTCAACGTGAAATTAATTAATTTTTATTTTTAACTTTTTTCCCTTTTCCCTTTTATATTTTCAGAGTTGTTTTTTACCCTCCGAAACCATTTGAAAACCCCAAGAAAAAGACCCTCCTTGATGAACTAAACTTTGATTCTTCATCATCAAACCGAATCCCAATTTATTTATTTTTAAAAATCTGCCTTTTTTTGTTGTTGTTAAATTTGGTTTTCAACAAACATTTTCTCCTGCCCCAATTTCACTCATTTTGTTGCTCTGTAGACTATATGTGTGTTTCCCTCTCTCTCTCTCTCTCTCTCTCTCTCTCTCTCTCTCCACATCCATTTGCCGGAACACATTCGATCCCTCGATGGAATATCTCTGACTCTGATTTTCTTTTCTTGATTCTCAGCAATCACCTACTCATAGAAGAAGAAAAAGGCTTAGCTTTTGAAATTTGAACAGCTAGTTGCATATGCGAGCACGATTCAATCAGTCTGAGCTTTGCTTCGTATTTGGATATGGATTATTCCAAATGGGTTTATGTCTGCGTTTGTATACGATGTATTCCTTTCACTGTCCTCGGCGCTGCTAGATCTGTCTGCCTCTGTGCTCGATCCACTGCTTTATTGATGCTTTAACAAGCTCTTCACTAGGTCAGATCATGGAATTTCACACTCTCTACTTGTTACTTTCTCCTCTAACTCACTCACTCACTCACTCTAGTTCTCATTTACTCACTGTGAATTGAAAGTGATGCACTGACCAAAAGGGGTGGAGTTTATTTTAGTTTTAATTTAATGGACTAAAATGAATTTTAGAAGAGAAAAGATTATATGGGCATGGGTGCTTTGGGCTTGGATATTTAATGATTGATGATGCATCATGCATATGGACAGTGACCAGAATACTGTTAAGTTTAAGAAAAGATTATATGCTGATGCTGCAAAGTTACAGTTACAGAGGTGTCAATTCTAAGTAATGGGTAACGGCACCTCTCGTGTTGTGGGATGTTTCGTCCCCTTTAATGGGAAGAGCGGGGTGGATTTAGAGTTTCTCGAGCCACTAGACGAAGGATTAGGCCATTCCTTCTGTTATGTTAGACCATCCATTTTCGAATCTCCTGCCATTACCCCTACAAACTCTGAGAGGTTTACGCTTGATTCCAGCACTCTTGATTCTGAAACTTTAAGTGGCTCCTTCAGACATGACGCCCTAGATGATCCCTCAGCTTTACACAAATCAACTAAGTTATTCCCAGAAACCACATTCAAGACAATCTCAGGGGCTTCTGTCAGTGCTAATGTGTCCACGGCTCGCACTGGCAACCAGACTGCCCTCTTTGCTACTGATGTCCAAGAGCCTGCCGCATCATTTGAGAGCACCTCCTCATTTTCTGCAATTCCATTGCAGCCTGCTCCTCATGGCTCTGGTCCTTTGAATGGCTTTATGTCCGGGCCTCTTGAGAGAGGTTTTGCTTCCGGCCCTTTGGAAAGGGGTAGTGGTTTCATGTCTGGGCCAATCGAGAAGGGTGCAATGTCTGGTCCTATTGATTCTACTGACAAATCTACCTTCTCTGCACCGCTTGCACGCGGTCGTGGAAGACCAGGCTTCCAGCGTCTCATGAGGAGTGTTAGCGGGCCGATGAAAAACACCCTCTCTTGGACCTTCTCAAAACATTCTGTGGGTTCTGGTTGGATGCAACGGTTCTTCTTACACCCAGTGACTCAACTTGCCTGGAATCCTAAGGAGCCAAAGTACCGGCCAGAGACTTCACGAAACTATCTTGAAGGGGGGCCATCTGAAGGGGAGTCTAGAAATACTCACAACTTGCAATGGGCTCACGGAAAGGCTGGTGAAGATAGGGTTCATGTTGTGCTTTCCGAAGAACAAGGGTGGTTGTTCATTGGGATATACGATGGATTTAGTGGGCCAGATGCACCAGATTTTCTGATGAGCAAGCTCTATAGAGCTATCGACAAAGAACTCGAGGGGTTGCTTTGGTATTATGAAGATAAATCTCCAAATGATCCGTTAAAGCCTGAACCTCTTAAAACTGGAAATTCCAAGGCTGGTTCAGTGTCCAGCAAGGAAGTCCTTTCAAATCTTTCTTCAAGCCAAGAAATTTCTAGTAGTGTAATAGAACCATGCAATCCAGGAATTGTCAAGGGTCTGTCATCTAGGTCTGAAATAGTTGAGGAAAACAATGAAGTTAGGATGAGTATTGAACAGCATTTTCCTAATTCAGAACAAGACAGCATCTCAGGCACTGCTTCTGTTTCAGTTCCAGCTGGAAATTTAACTGGTCAAGGCAGAAAAAGCATGCGGCTTTATGAGCTGCTTCAGATGGAACCTTGGGATGGAAAAGATTATGTGTCACCGTTAGAGCTTGATAAGCATAGAAATGGTACATGGGATTGCCAGCCAGGTCTAGATGCTTTGGATACGCAAGATGAAAATTCAAAGTATAGCTTTTTGAATAAAAAGGGAGATGGCTCTGGCCATCGTGGTGAAGACCCCACTACTTCAGGAGGAGGTGGAGGTGCTGGTATTGAATCCAGTCATCAAGATGGCATAGATGTTCTTTCTGTTTCAGGACAGAGGCAGGGTGCGAGAAAGAGTTCAATGAGCTCAAAGATTAGGAAAATGTACAGAAAGCAGAAGTCGTTGCGTAAGAAACTATTTCCTTGGAGTTATGATTGGCACAGAGAAGAGGCTTGCGTCGATGATAAAATGGGAGAGCCTTTGGGACCTATTAGGAGATGCAAATCAGGAATTGTTGATCATGCAGCAGTTTTAAGAGCAATGTCTCGAGCACTTGAATGGACTGAAGAGGCTTATATGGAAATGGTGGAAAAGGCTCTTGACAAAAACGCAGAACTTGCTTTGATGGGATCATGTGTTTTAGTGATGCTAATGAAGGATCAAGATGTGTATGTCATGAACCTTGGTGATAGCCGTGTAGTTTTGGCACAAGAAAGACCAAATGATCGCCATCCTAATCCAAATCTTGGAAAGGATGATGTGTGGCATAGGAATAAATCCAGAGAGTCGTTAGTGCGTATGGAGCTGGACAGGATATCAGAGGAGTCTCCGGTACATAATCAGAATGGTCAAGTTAACAAGATTAATAAAAACAGAGAGATATCCATATGCAGATTAAAGATGAGGGCAGTTCAGCTTTCCACTGATCACAGCACAAGTGTTGAGGAGGTGTGTTTTTCATTTTTCGAGTTATTTGATCTGGTTATTCTTTCATCTTGTTATCAAGATTTACTTCGTATTGGTTAGTTGTTATATTGATGTTATTCATTCTTTCAGTCATTCATCATTAGCTGAACATAATCATAAACAATGCTTTGCATATTTGCTCATGTATGCGAGCATGTGAATGTGCACCTGCATCTGAATCTCCCACCTAGTGGTTTACTCTGCAATGCATTGTTTTTGTTGGGTGTGTACATTTTCTGTGTGCTCCAATAATTATGAAAATCAAACCCAACCTTATAGTGAAAACCCAACTAGAAAGCCTAGCCTTGCTGCAGGTCTCTTGATTGTATGCCTATCATTCTTTTGATTTAAGTATGTATGTCATGCTTAAGCTGCACTGATTATGGACTTTTAGAAAACTAACTAGTACTTTTCATTAATTGTTATGCACTTAAATCAGGATAGTACAAGAGAAGGTAATTGGATATTGTCAGCATGCAATTGAAGAATAATCTTGTATTCTTGACTTCTTCAGGAAGTTTTCAGGATAAAGGCAGAACATCCTGATGACAACCAAGCCATATTAAATGATCGAGTAAAGGGGCAATTAAAGGTTACCCGAGCATTTGGTGCTGGGTTTTTGAAGAAGGTCAGTTCAGCTGGTAACTTTTACCTACAAAAGATCATCTTATCAAATACTCAAGTTTGCATAATTTTTTTTTCTTGTATCACTAAACTTTGTATGAATTTATTTGTTTTTTAACTTATATAGGCATGAAAACGGGTACAGATCCACCTTTTACAAATATGTATGTGTTTCCGTATCATACAAGTTTTCTTTCATAAACAGACTTCCACTATACAATTGCAGAATCTTGATTAGATGCCAAAGAAGAAAAAATGAAATGCAAAATGTGGAAACGCAAAGTATAATTTTTACAAAAGAGGGAAAATCCTGAATGTACTTTTAACAGTTTGAGCAATTACAATGTATCAGGCTGGAATGTCATAAATGTCTACTGTGAGCATTTTGTTTCTACTGTTCTTTAAAGTACATCTTATTCTAATCAAATTCTTTATTTCTGTGGTACATATCCATGCAAGTGAACACACACACACACACACACAGAGCACACCTTGTCTCTCTCATGGAAAGTTTTGTCCCAAAATCTATTAAATAGTTGCTGTTTTCTGGTAGATGAAGTTACATTGAAATAACAAAGAATTGATAAGTAGAAGTGACTATGAAGAAAATAGATAAAGACAATTTTTTTCCTATATATTATATTATATGATTGACCGTTACTTTATTTATTTATTCCTTTCATGATTTGGTTTTATCATCCTTCAATGTGCTAAGACTCTTAGACATAATTTTCTTTTTGTTTCCAGTGGTAGTTGCTGAAATCATTTCATGTATTGGAGGCATAACTGTTGGACCAAAGAATGTTTACATGCAGATTTTATGGCATGAACTAGGAGAAGTAAAAAAACTTAAGATAGAACATCCCTTAACAATAATGGAAATGCATTTATGGCGTGTTTACTTACTTGGAATGGGTATTAGTTTATTGCAATTGCAAGTAAAATAAAATAGTGTACTCAAATCAATTTCTGTAAAAAAGGAGTGAAGAATCAAGGAACTGGGTGAAATTTTTGGCTTTTCAAAGTGAACAGAAGAACCCCTATTATTTTGCTGAAGATAAAAAATTTCTAGCAACTTTAAAAACTTTTGGAGAAATTGCAGACATGAGCTATTTTGACCATCATTCCCATGTAAAATATAAATTTCCCTTAATTGTTCAAATTTCAAGCAAAATCTCCACCAATTTTGGAGAAGTTTCCCTTTTTTTCAAGAATTAAAAAAAAAACTGAAAAAGAAGAAGTAGAAAGAGAAGATCCTTGTCCTTGGGGAGCTGTCCCTTATTGACATGCTATTGTAACCAGTGTTGTGAAAAGCGTTTTTGAGGCATGCCTCAATGAACACATCATGGCGAGGCGTCATCCAGTCGCCTCAAAGCACAGCTTGTTTAGAAGATTTCATGTTTGGCATACATGATGGAGGCTAGGCAGTGCGAGGTGCACACAATCTGCAACTGAGGTGGCCTGAGGTTGCCGTTCTGAGTATATGTCCTGGGATGCTTTTAATGAAACAATGTGTTTTGCTAAAGGCTCATTTACTTGAATCGAGATGTTATCATTTTGTTCATGAAGGTTGGGTCTTGGACAAAAGGGATGTCGTGTGTCCTTTAAACCCTTTTAATCCCCACCCAATAGAATTTAGCCCCAAATCAGACTTGCGGAAGCTTAAATGTCCTCCCAAAAGACCTGAACCAGCCTGCCAAATTCCTATCTCCAGTTTAAGCCTCCTGCATCCCTCAGTCTAGATGAGCTTGAATATTGTATGTCTAATTAAATTTTTTATGTATGGACATTAATTGTGATGCTGGAATGGGAACTAAAACTTACTGATTATTATATACATTTTAATTAAAATAACTTATGCTTGAGAGGCTTATGCCTCACCTTGCAGGACCAGCAATGCCTCGTTTCCATGTTTTTCCTTTTACAATATTAATTGCAACATCCTCAAAATCCATTCTTGTGAGCTCTCCCTATATATGTTTATATAATATATTATAGAAGTGGAAGTGCATAATATCTGCTAGTCTCCAAAACAAATTCAGAATTCAGAAGGAAAATTGAAATGTATGCATTCTGCTCAATTGTGCATTGCCTATGTGATTGCCTTTTACCCTATAATAGGTTTACACTGGACCTTAAGAGATAATTCCTTCCATGCATTTCCTAGGGCACTCAGCCTTGCTTGAATTATTGCTTTATCTGCCTTAAACTTGTCGAAAGAAGTGTGTGCAAATTGTATATTTTCTATATTCATATAAATGCTTAGGTGTGACTGATTAAATCATTGTCTATAACGTATGTTGGTTGCAGCCAACATGTAATGAAGCTCTGCTAGAGATGTTTCGAGTTGATTATGTGGGAATTGCACCTTACGTTAGCTGCATTCCTTTTGTTCTTCACCATCGACTTTCGTCAAGTGACAGATTTTTGGTACTGTCCTCTGATGGACTCTACCAATACTTCAGCAATGAAGAGGTGGTTGCCCATGTCACATGGTTCATGGAAAATGTCCCGGAAGGCGATCCTGCACAATATCTCATTGCAGAGCTTCTCTTCCGTGCTGCGAAAAAGAATGGTTAGTCCTTTAAATTTATTGTCACTGATTTGGTAGGGTCTCAATGGAAAATTACATGGGATGACTCTTATCCCAAAGAAGATATGAACAGAAAAACATAAAGAAAAAAAAACTAGAGAGTAAGATGTGATATGTAATGCTTGTGGCACATGGATTGCTTGGAAATACGTTCATTTGTAACTCTGTCCTTACCTTCTTGCCGCATATGGTGGTTGGCTACTTGGCTGCTGCAGTGATATAGTTTTTATGGTAAAGTCAAACGTAGTGCAACTCAAAATGCTTTATGGCTGCTGCTGTGAGAATGTGGAGGTGAAAATGTCCCACATTGAAAAGTTAGAAAACCTTGTAAGGGCTTATAAAGTGTAGGTTTACTCTCCCCATTGCCAATTTGTTTTGGGGTGGAACCTCAACTTCCTTCATGGTATCAGAGCGGGTTGCCTACGTGTGAAAGCCCAACTGCCACATGTGCTCCACGTCACCCAAAATCTGCTGTCCACGTGTTAGGCTTGAAGCTATCTTAAATTTTTGTGCACATTTTTCACTTGGTCCTTTTTCAATCCAAGCTTAGTTAATTTGCTTTTGATTTGCCTAATTCTGGAAGAATTATGTCAGTATTGTACATAATTATATTTATTATAGCTTACCGTTGATTGTTGCAGGAATGGATTTTTATGAATTGCTTGATATTCCTCAAGGAGATCGACGGAAATACCATGATGATGTTTCTGTTATGGTAGTTTCACTGGAGGGAAGAATTTGGAGATCATCTGGATAAGTATCTCACTGGCAATTTTTTAGTTACCATTTCAAACATTTGTATATTGCTCAACATTGTAACAATTTTTGGGCAAAGTATGAAGTCATTTTGGAAAGAATCAGAGTCTTGATGTATTTGTTATAGAAGCTTTTCTTTCTTTTTTTCTTTCATCTCTGTTAAATATTGGTGTGCAGAAGTCCGAATGAATTATCCTGCTGCGAAAGTCTTTTGGTTGCATCAGGAAATATGTTTATTGTTTTCTTAGGAAGAGGTTAATTTGTCTAGTCACCTCCACACCCATGCGTGCGATGTCATCCTGGAAATTCTAAATATGAAGTGAGATTCTAAGTTGTAAAGTGAATAAATATTGAAAGTAATAAAAATAAAGTTAGAAACTTGGAGAATAAACAAACACGAAATCGAGTGAGAGCTAGAGTGGCATGGTAGGAGAGCCATCCCTCTCAATTCCGAGTCCACCACCCTCCCCACTTGGACTGGAAGCTCTTTCAGATTTGGTGAAACATTCTCTCTTTCAGATTTGAAGTCTCTTCTGTACCGGACTAAACCTACTCTGCCTTGCTAGCTATCCTATCACGTTACAATCTCTCACCCAACATAACCCCAACGGGACATGGCCATCTGAGCTCATGGCTCCTCATTTGCTGGATTTCAAATGGCTTTCTTTGTATTTAAGTTAAAAACCCTTCATATGTCGTTTTTGCTTAAATTGTACAGCAATCGCCCTCATCTTAATTTCTAACAGATCAACCAAACTTGGAATAATCCTTAGCTCTCTTCCTCCGTTATATAATATATTTAGCATGAGGCTATATATATACTTTAATGAATTTGTTTCACAAGTGATATTTATCGTTGTGTTCTTGGATAATTAAGCAATGGCTGCCAACTTTGTTGCATATCTAGCCATCTTCACATTCACTGCTGCGTTCTCCAGTGCACTTGCATCGGACCCGGACTTGCTTCAAGATGTCTGCGTGGCTCTACCACCTTCTTCAGGTATGAATCGTACATACTCTATTCTATTCTATGTATACACTAGCTATAATTATATTCTTTGGATATATTCGTAATTATTTGCTACGGCCGGCGTACGTACACACACACACTCACAAGTGACAGGACTGAAACATATATATATATAACCCTATAGGCTATATATATTAATGTTGTGTTGATTGATGATGGATGTAATTAATGTAATTATATATTCTGCATGCATAATTGTACGTACGTAGGGGGGGTAAAAGTGAACGGGTTTGCATGCAAGGATGATGCAAATGTGACGGCAGCTGATTTCTTCTTCGACGGCCTTGCGAAGCCAGGGCTGATCAACAACTCAGTGGGCTCTATCGTAACTGCAGCCAATGTGGAAAAGGTTCCAGGCCTCAACACACTGGGCGCGTCCCTGTCGCGCATCGACTACGCACCTGGTGGACTTAACCCACCTCACACCCACCCGCGTGCCACTGAGATAGTATTTGTGCTGGACGGCGAATTGGATGTGGGATTCATCACCACAGCCAACAAGCTGGTTTCCAAGACCATCAACAAAGGCGACATCTTTGTGTTTCCTGGGGGTCTCGTTCACTTCCAGAAGAACAACGGGGACAAGGCCGCTGCTGTAATTGCTGCCTTCAACAGCCAATTGCCTGGTACTCAATCCATCCCTGCAGCATTGTTCACGGCAACACCTCCTGTTCCTGACGAGGTCTTGACCAAAGCCTTCCAGCTTGGTACCAAGGAGATTGACAAGATCAAATCCAAGCTTGCTCCAAAGAAATAATTAAAATACAATATATATATATATATTTTTTAAATATATAGTTAATTCTTCACTCCACGCTGCCACCTATTTCCATTCATTTTTCCATTTTTCTTTCCTCCTCCCTCTATCATTGCTTCAAATTCAATCTTTTAATTTTGGTCGATGTCCCGATCTGTTGGGAATTTGATTTTTGATCAACTTTACTTTAGAATTAATGTATATGAATATGGAAAATAAAATAGTCGACTTTGATCAAAGTATTGAACCCCAAGGCGTAAGTTTCGTGATGAGCCCACATTAGATTCTTTTTATTTTTTGCTATACCACAAAACCACATTAGAATGCTTTCTTCTCTGTTAAGACTCAAGAGATTAAAATGGACCATTTATTTTATTTAAATACTTTTCGAATGATTGGAAAAAAAAATCTCAAAACAGGCTACATGAATACGGGATAAACCAAATAGTGGAGAACAAATCTAGGTTCCTTTATTAATATTTACAATGTGTAAAAATTTAGGTTTTTAATTTTGCAAAAAGTCATTTAAGGTCCGTCACTACAACAAACACATGCCTTTTTAATGACACAAGTTTAATGATGAATATAAAACACGCGTCATTAAATTATATCATCCATGATGCATTTTATATGAGTGTCATTGAATATAGTTTATGACACATATACCACGACACTCGAATTAACACGTCATTAAAAATGTCTTCACCAGGGTAGATGTCATAGATGCTATTACCTTTAGAGGACGCATGTGACCGTTAAAGGTTTTATAGTTAACAGTGCATTATAAACCTCATTGAATTTTGGAAATTCGACCCTTGTACTTGTTTTCCACTTTGGTCCTTATAGTTTCAATTTTGACAATTTGACTCTTGTAGTTTGATATCCTCACAATTTTAGGACACATTGCTTATTTTGTCCAAAACTGTATAAAATTCTTTCCAAAATACCCGTCCACATCAGTGACACGTTCTTAGTCATTCACAAAATTGGATGGAAATTTGGACTTGTTCTTCACTTGCAAGGATGTCAAACTACATGGGTCAAATTGTTATAATTGAACCTATAGGGACCAAAGTGAAAAATCCAAAAAATATAGGGACCAAAAGTGATGTTTTGCTTTCTAATAATGTAGTAGAATCCCTTTATAAAAAAATGTTATTGAAGAGGATCCAAGTTAGTGCCTAATAATGTGTTTTGCCTTCGCATGTGTCCCACATCGAAAGAAACAATTTGTGAAGCTCTCCACCAAGTTAAATATTTATGGCTATTTACATTTTCTGCCCTTTATAAATGACTTATTTATACTGATACCCATTTTCAAATTGTCTCATAAAATCACTTTTGTTAAAACTTCATCCAAAAATGGTTGACATCATAAAACATTATCAAAATGACAAATTTACACTCGTGGTTAATTACAAAGACACCTTTTGATATTTATCATGTTTTCACACAACCCATTGAGTTTTATTATTTATTCACATAATTTTAGAAATCATAGTAATAAGGTTTTGAGATAATTTCATATAACTCCTCAATTGACTTTCCTTGGGACCTGCTAGGCTAATTGAGGTTGTTGCCGGCTTACGAACCATGTGACCTATGTCTGATCCAAAACTTCTAGTCAATAGAACTATGAATTCCTAGTTTATAGGAAAAAGGGAACGAGAGGAATTTGAAGACAATTAGAGAAACAAAAGGAAGAAACTAAGGAACTACTTTAAGTTCTGCTTGCAGAATTGCTTGATACATTTCAATAAATAACTTACGTATTTATACAAGGTTTGGTTGCTAAAATTAACTAAACTAAAATAGTAAATTATTTTAAGCCATAATGAATGAATTGCCTAAATCTCACCCATTTAAAACCATTAACTTTTTATGGTTTAGAACAATTCGTTATGAACCATTAGTTTTTATGATTTTAAATAATTTAATAATATAATATAATAAAAAATTATGATTATATTATATTACGTTTATTTTTGTTGGTAGATCCTCCTGGATCATGGCTCCCCCATTTAAGATGCTTGAGCTTTTGGTCAAGCTAAACTGTGAGATGAGGAAACTCTGTTATTGCCTTGTCTCGAATATACCACTTCGACTTGGTAGGAAGTTGATCTTTTCTGCCAATATAAAATACTCATACTTTCCATGTCGAGTCTCACGAACCTTATGTTCCAAGATACCATCTTCCTACAAAGGATCTTCTCATTCAATTTTTAAGTCACCAACTGATGGAAGGCCTATGTCTTTGTCGGGATCATCATCAAGTAGAGATGACTCAAAAAGTTTAAGATTCTCGGCATTGATGACCAAGTACATATGCATGTATGGTGGTAATTGAAGTTGAAAGGCATTATCACCAATTTGTTTGATGATCTTGAACGGTCCATAATAAATAGGCTTTAGTTTCTTGCTTTCACCGGTTAGCCACTCCTTTCCAAGGTGTAACCATACTAGGTCACCTTCTTTGAAGTTACATGACACATAATGCTTATCATAGCGAGCTTTATATCGTTGATGAGAACGTTTCAGTTGTGCCTCCACTTTAGTATGAATCTTTCTGTGCTCGAATATGTTCTTATTCTTCTTTCCCACTTAATAGTTGGTCACTCATAGTGAATGCTAAATCAAAAGGACTCTGGTCTAAATAACCCAAAAAAACCTCAAATGGAGATTTAAGTGTAGAGCCATGAATTGCTCAGTTAAAAGCAAACTGTAAGTAAGGGAGACTTTCATCCTAAGTCTTCAGATGCTTGGAATTGTAACCCCTCAACAAGTCTACCATCGTCCGGTTTACGACCTCTGTTTGCCCATTTATCTATGGATGAAATGCAGTGTTTCTTTTCAATCTAGTATACATCATTCCCCATAATGACCTCCAAAAATAGCCTAAGAATCGACTATCTCTGTCAGAAATAATCGATGTAGGTAAGCCAAAATGATTCCAAACATGTTGGAAAAATAACTTAGCTACTCCTTCTTCAGTAACGGTATTTGCATGGAATGAGAATCACCATCTTACTGAAACGATCTACCACCACAAACAAGCAGTCATTTCCAGACTTGGTTTTAGGCAATCTACCTAAGAAATCCATCGAGATACTTTCCTAAGGTCGGCTAGTGGCAATGGAAGATACAGTCCGAACTTCCTGTTAGAAGGCTTCGATGTGTTGCATAGAACATAACCTCGAATGTATTGTGAAACATCGAGATGAATTTTTGGCCAATAAACATAGCTACGAAGATTCAATAAAGTCTTCTCAACTCCAAAATGTCATGCTACTTTGGAAGTATGAGCCTCACGAATCCACTACAATCTGTTGCCATCTTATGAAATGCACAATTGTGTTCCTTTGTACATTAGTCCATCATTCAATTAGAACTCACTAGTCCTTCCTTATTGTAGCTTGGCATAGGCTAAGTTGAAATCAACATCTTTGTCATACCCTTTGGCATATTCAGAAGGAACAATGGGTTGGATTTGCATAGCCACTAGCAATGCGGAACTAACTGGTGTAGGTGGTCTAGATAACAAATATGCCAACTTATTAGTTGCTCAATTCTTGCACTTTATCACAATATTGTATTGTTGTAGGTAAGGTAAGACATCCATTTCATATGGCGAGCTTGTTGTAACTCAGACTATGTAGTTAAAAACTGAAGAGGTTTATGATCTGAGTGAACTACGACTTCTTTTCCCAACAAGTAAGCTCTCCAATGCTTCACTGCTTGATGCATTGCATACAGCTTATTGTCATAAGTTGAATAGTTCAATACCGGTTAACTAAACATCTCAGAATGGTATGCAACTGGTTTCTCATCTTGAAATAATATGCCTTCCATGACATAGTTCAATGCATCTGCCTCCACTTCAAATAGTTTCTGCAGATTCGGTAATGCTAGTACTGGGGCCTATGTAATCTTTCGTTTCAACAATTGGAAAGATGCTTCATGGTTTCTCAACCATTCAAACTTTTGATTCGCCTTTATAAGAGAATGTAAGGGTGCTGCAATTTGAGAAATCACATGTACTTTCTCTAGGTCAATTTTCAGTTCTTCTGCACCAACAATGAATCCCAGGTATACAAGGTGTTGTTTCCTAAATTCATACTTCTTACCATTTAACTATAACTGATTTGTTCGTAGAACTTCCAAAACTTGAGCAATATGATGAAGATGGTCCTCCCATGTGACACTAAATATGAGAATGTAATCTAAGTATACAATGACGAAGTCGTCAATGAAAGGGCGAAGTACCTCATTCATCAATCGCATGAAGGTAGTTGAAGCATTACATAACCCAAATGGCATGACTAACCAATCGAAGAGTCCCTGCTTAGTCTTGAAAGCAATCTTCCAAGTGTCTTCTTCATGGATGTGAACTTGGTGATAGCTGGATTTGAGATCTAGCTTCGTAAAGTAACGAGTACTATGTAATTGATCTAACAAGTCATCAATCCTCTGCAATATATACCGATTCTTAATGGTTATTTTGTTGAGTGCCCTGTAATCTACACACATACGCTAGCCTCCGTCTTTCTTAGGCATAAGTAATACTGGCAAACCACATGGTGAGCAGCTAGGTTTGATGACTCACTATTCAAGAAAAACCTTGAATTTGCTTCTTGATCTCGTCAGATTTCATCAGAGAAGTGCGATACAAACCCAAGTTTGGTAAATGTGAATCTCCTACCAACTGGATATCATGCTCCACAGCTCTCCTCGATGGCAAACATGCACATCCTGAAATAAGTCATTGAACTTCTCTTGCTATTTCCTTATGTTTGAGCATTGTGTAGGAGATAAAGACAAAGTAGACAATGTCATAGCTCCAGAACTCTGATCTTGTGGTCGAATCATTAACAAAACGTATCACCCACATGAATTTACTAACCTTGGCTTGGTTAGCTGTCAGCAAATTATCTATAGGTTGAGGCTTGCAAGCGTTGATGTGGAACTCCTTCTCATCCTTCACAAGTCGATACTTGCAAAGCCTATGATAGTGAATGGCATCTCGATCCCATAAATATGGACTGCCTAATATGACTTGGCAAACGTCCAAGGGAACCACCTCACATGTCACCTCATCAATATATCGATTGGTGATAACAAATTTGAAGGTACATTGCTTCTTGATTTGTAAGTCAACGTCCTTTTGAATCCATCCCAGAGAGTATGACTTAGGATATAGTGTGGTGTCTAAACTTACTTTTCTTACTAAAGCCTCTGAAATCAGGTTTTTTTTATTTTTTTTTATTATTATTATTTTTTTATACTTATAGGGTCAATGATAGCTTGTACAATACTTTGCTTCACTTGAATATTCACATGAAATAACTCTGCATGGTTGTATGTCTCTTCAGTATCTGCTGGTCTTGCCATAAGGGTAAGTGTAACATCAGGTTGCTTCAACTCTGGATGCCCTTATGCCTGTTGTGCAGTTAAAGTGGTTTTTCTGTCATTTCTTCCTTTGTTGTTTTTCTCGCGCTTTGGCCGCAACTCAAGATGGAGTATCTAGTACTTGTCTTTGGCATGTTTGCTAGTTTGACAGTGATCACAGTAGACCTTCTGTGTCTGACCTTTCTTGCTCTGCTTCCGCTTTTTTTGCTAGTCATTTTTGTTGATAGGTTTTGATCTGTCATCCTTTTTGTCAGTTCTTTTATTTTTTGCCTTCATGGCGATAGCCTTCATAGTAGCTTCTTCAATAGTATCTACAATGAACAATTTTAGTTCTTTCCATATGTAGTCAGCAAGACCTCCAGTATACTTCACGAAAACATCGTAATCATTGACATCGATGTCCAGAACCATGGCTTGGTTGTGGAACTTTGTTGTATACTCTTGTACAGGTTGCTCAAATCTTTGTTTGAAGTGTTGCCACTTATACCATCTTTCATCTTCATAGCCAATTGGATAGAATTGTTTTCTTGAAAGCATCTTGAAGTTCTTCCAAGTTAATTTTGAGACATCATACTGTCTCCGATAAGACTTCCACCATGTAAAGGCATGGCTTGAAAGTTTCAAACTAGCAAATTTTATTTTTTGCACATTAGAATACTTATAAACTGTGAAATAAGTTTCTAATGTATCTATCTAGTTATCTAGCTTTTTAGGATCAACATCTCCTTTATATGTAGGGATATCAACCTTAAAATCAATTTTTAAGGTATCAATAGAATTTTTGTTGTCACCTGATTCAGCTTCCTTTTTTGTTGGATCAACTTGTGTGTCGTCTTCATCTTCACTATCCTCAACAATCTTTTTCTTGAGCTTTTGATCAGGCTCATATGAAGTTGATGAACGTGAAGGTTTTCTAGTCTTCAAACTCTCCACAATTTAAGGATTGATGCAGACACGTTTTTAACTTGTTGCTTAAGCTTAGTGATGTGATCGCCATCACTAGATGTGTCCTGTTTGTTTTCTCCAGTCATATTTTATCTCTTGGACCTTGGCTTTCGGTGTACGAGCAAAGGACCTACAAGTTCTTCTCCAGAAGCTTTACATTGGTTGCGAGTTGAGACCATAAACCACTATCACCTTATTGGATCTGGTGCTCTGATATCACTTGATCCAAAACTTCTAGTCGATAGAACTATGAATTCCTAGTTTATAGGAAAAAGGGAACGAGAGGAGTTTTAAGACAATTAGAGAAACAAAAGTAAGAAAGCAAGGAACTACTTTGAGTTCTTCTTTCAGAATTGCTTAATTCATTTCAATGAATAACTTACGTATTTATACAAGGTTTGGTTGCTAAAATCAACTAAACTAAAATAGTAAATTATTTTATGCCATAAAGAATGAATTGCCTAAAATCTCACCCATTTAAAACCATTAATTTTTTGGGAAATGGCCCTCAGTGCCACCCATTTTATAATTTTTTGTCAAAATACCACACCTCCCCAAAATTTTTAAAACTACCACCTATAAATACATTTTTATTGCCCACTTGTTGCCCACATAACACTTTTTCTGAAATTTAGTTCTCTCTCCCTCTCTCTGAAACCCAGTTCTTCCTCTTCCTCTTTGTTTTCTTCTCTACCCAAATCCAAACCCCAATTTCGTCTTCCTCACGAAGAAGAAGATCAAGAACAACCTGCAAAATCCACAGCTTTGCCCTCAAAACCTAGTTCTTCCTCTTCCTCTTTGTTTTCTTCTCTACCCAAATCCAAACCCTAATTTCTACCTCTCTTCGAATCCCTTTTGCAACCTAAACAAACCCAAACAAAACCATCTTTTCTGAATATGATAGCATGTGTTGGCATTAGGTGGCCATTGTTTGAGCATTTTGGTCCAATTTTGGGGGTTTTGAAGTCTGGGTTTACGGTCTTCAAGAACAGCAATTGTATTGTGATTTTATTGCGGTTGTATTGTAGTCGTATTGCTTTTATATTGCTATGGTATTGCTGTATTGTAGTCGTATTACAAAAATAGTACAACTGCAATACCATAGCAATACAAAAGCAATACAACTACAATACAACCACAATAAAATCACAATACGATTGCTGTTCTTGTGGTTTATAGTGAAAACAAAGAGGATTTGGGTAGGAATAAAGAGTTTTTTTTTTTTTTTTTTTTTTTTTTTTTTTTTTTTTCTAGGTCCTAGGGGATGCTGATGATGAATAAGATTCGTTTACTTTGTCCTTCCATGTTGACCAAAAATAGAATGGGCACTGGCGAGCCACCATTTCTGTGCAAAGCGTAAGCGTTGGTGATTTCTGTGCGAGCAAAATGGGGATGATTGGTTTGCTTGTATCAGATTTCACAATCTCATTCATGTGGGTTTGGTCAGGGGTCTTGATTAAGATGTATCTGGGGTTTGGGCCATGAATCCACCGGTGAGATTATCAAATCCACTTTGTCAATTGTAAACATGTTCTTCTTTGCCTTGTTGGGAAACTTCAAAAACTGGGGATTTCACTCGATTCCTTTTCACTGTTGCTGCAAGACTTCATTTGGGTAGATAAGAAAACAAAGAGGAAGAGGAAGAACTGGGTTTAAGAGAGAGAGAGAGAGAGAGAGAGAGAGAGAACACAATTTCAGAGAAAAGTGTTATGTGGGCAATAAGTGAACAATAAAAATGTATTTATAGATGGTAGTTTTAAAAATTTTGGGGAGGTGTGGTATTTTGACAAAAAATTATAAAATGGGTGGCACTGAGGGCCATTTCCCTAATTTTTTTATGGTTTATAACAATTCGTTATGAATCATTAGTTTTTATGGTTTTAAATAACTAATAATATAATTAATTATAATTATATTATATTACGTTTATTTTTGTTGGTAGATCCTCCTGGAACAATGTCTTATTGGGCTTGACTTGGGCTGATCTCCTTAGCCCATGGTAGTTCGGCTGGCGTAGACCTCTCAGTTTCCCTTTCGTTTCATAAAGGGCATTTCCATCATTCTTGACATGAAAAGTCCACATGATGTGCTCTGAGTTGATGTGTGAAATTCCACATCTATGTGTAGTCCATAAGATAAAAATGGGATCCATTTTGCCATGTAACCATTTAATGAAACAAAGTCATCCACGGAAGAGCTCACATCACATGTAGGTTTTCATGAATTTAGTTATGAGTTTTTTTTATAAAATTTTATAGTACAAGCGATTAGGTAAAGGAGTTTACACAAATATTCATTGAATGTTTAGAGGTTTCGAACCTCTTTCCAATTAAACGGAGGTGAAAACACTCAACTAACTGAGCTATACCTCATCGACAATTAAAAGTTTGTAAAGTCTTCAAAGATTGGGTGTCAATTTAAAATAAGCGGAAAGTTCTTATGAAAATTATATAATCTTTCTTCCATCCTTTTGTAAAGTTCTATTCCAGGGTAAACCGGAAAGTTAAAGTGACGAAACTTTGGAGTTTGGGTTTAGAGAGCATTTTGTGGGGTTCATATAGAATTTCCCTTGGCAAAAGTAAGCAAAATACAGAAGAAAAGCTCAAAGCAGGCAAATACAACGGAGTCTCGTGGGTAGCAGGTGAGATTTAGAGCCTAGGGTTCAAAAAATTAGAATCTAATAACAACGGTATCGAGTCCCTAAATTGAATTTGAATTTGGTGGTAAGATCGAATAGAATGCAATCGCAGCAGCAGAAGATGAAGATGAAGATGAAGAAGAATTTCAGAAAAAGAAGCGCGCCCGCTGAGGATAACCAAGATTGTGAAAAAATCAGTGACCAAGAAGATGAAGAAGAAGAAGAGAGGAGGTAGGTACCTTCCGACGTTGTTTTTGTATTACTTTCGTTTTTAATTTTTTGGATTTTATAAAACTGAAAGATAGAAAAAGTGCTATAATTTTACTGAAATAGAAATAATGAGCAGAAGGATATTCAGGGTAGACTGATAATCATATTAGGGCTTTCTGTATTTTCTTAAATTCTGTATTGTAATTTGAAAAGAAAGAATGTAATCTATGAAGTATGAATGTGCAGATTGGCGCTGGAGGAGGTGAAATTCCTGCAAAAGCAGAGGGAGAGGAAGTCTGGGATTCCTGCCTTAACAAGTAATGGTGCGACGCAGAACATTCCTAATACTACTAATAACAACAACAATAGCAACAATAATACTAACCTTGATAAGAACAAGAGAGGAAGCGACGGCACTCATTCTCCTAGTAATAAGCACGGTGAAGGCGGTGGCGGAGATGGAGACAAAGATGATTTAGTTCTCCAAGATACCTTTGCTCAGGAAACTGCCGTCATGGTTGAAGATCCCAATATGTAATGTCCTTTTCTTTTGCTATTTATATTGCTCTTGCTTTTGAATTTTGCCTCCATATAAACAATATTTACATTAGTGTAGAATGGGACTACGAGGGAATGTTGTATTACCGAACATGATTAAGGCTTCCTATGTTGATTATTTGAAAGGTTGAAATATGTTGAACAAGAACTAGCAAAGAAGAGGGGCAGGAAAATTGATGCTTCAGATCAAGTTGAAAATGATTTAAAGCGTGCTGAAGATGAGTTGTACAAGATACCTGACCATCTTAAAGTGAGTCACTCAGCACTCTAGTTTTATTTTCTAAAATGCTTCTATGTGAGTACATCATACCTATCTAGACCTACGACTCTTTTTAGTGTTGCTCACCCAACTTATTCATTTAATCCTTAAAGCCCTTTCACTACATCAACTTCTTTTAACTTGGGCCATTTCCTGCCAGGTGAAAAGGCGAAACTCAGAAGAAAGCTCCACTCAGTGGACTACTGGGATTGCCGAGGTTCAGCTTCCTATTGAGTAAAGCCCTTTCCTACTCTTAATTTATTACACTATATGTTATGTGAATGTTCTTGTTTGAAATTAGTTGTAGAGCACTTTTTCTATGCAATTCTTCATCCTTCTTAACAAAAGTGAGCATAGATTGTCACAAGGTTATGCCTTTGTTTTTGAATCTGCATTGATAGCATGAGAGCAGAATCCTTGCATGTAATCTCATGGATGCATGATTTATATGATAATTTTTCCTATACTATAAGTTTTTACTTGACTTTTAATTGTTATGTTTTATTATTTCTAATGATTGCAGATACAAGTTAAGAAATATTGAGGAAACTGAGGCTGCCAAGAAGTTTTTGCAGGAGAAGCGGCTCATTGGGCAGACAAAATCAGAATTTAGCATCCCCTCAAGTTACAGTGCTGATTATTTCCAGCGTGGCAGGGATTATGCTGAAAAACTTAGAAGAGGTTGGTTAGCTTTCCTTCTTAATTCCATTGAATAATATGAGTAGATTACGTAGTTGACTTCACACCAAATTGGTAAGTCAAGGGCTATGCTAGTCGCAAAATCTTTTTTTTATTTAAATACAAGCAATAGTTTAAACTATAAGGGGAGGGTGGTTTCTCACACACACTACAACAAACATGAAACTTACTAACAACAAACATGGAACTTACAGAACATCCTGAGCTCTACAAAGATAGAAGTGCACAGGATGATGGTGGTGTTTCCAGACAAAATGATACTGGTACAGAAGCAGCAGGGCAGAGGCAAGCTGCAACAGATCAGTTCATGCTTGAGCGCTTCCGCAAACGAGAGCGTCACCGTGTCATGCGGAGGTAACGCTGCTCCAACAACAGTAAAATGCTAGAATGGAATTTAGGCTAATAAAAAAGGAGTCAAGAATGGTTTCTGCACTCATTATGCCATACAACATGTGAAAATACGCTGTTTGTTGCAGTCTCTGTCACAAAGCTCATTTTGTTGCAAAAGCATCGTCCTAACTCGTTTTTGATGTAATATCTAACATTCTTTAGTCGACTTTGCCTGCTCAAAAGCTTGGCCTGTCTGATGACAGAGCTGAATGTGGATGGTCTTTCCTGGAAGCATGCTTGCAATTTCTGTTTAGTTTGTATCCATCACTCAAGGGAGCAGACCAAATGCAAGCTTTAAGAGCTTCAAATGTTCTGGCAGCATCCTCTTAATTGTCTAACTATGTGTTTGGTTTGTCTTAAGAAATACCTTGAAATTTTTTAAGGTGTATGATTGTTAAAGTAATCACTCTCGATATAATGCAATCAAACAGTTTTGACTTCCAAGTGTGGGTGTGATGTTTATGAAATTGATCAATATGTGAATTTGAACAGGGGGAAAATTTTCAAATTCATTTGGTTGCGAATAAATTGAAAGAGTTATCAAGACTTATATTGCTATGACTTACTAGATTTATCAGTCTGAAGGAGTTTTGACATGAAAAGCGTAACATGCATTGATGAATGTCGTAGTTTAGGGAAAATTTAGCAAATACTGCCTGAACTTTACCCATTTCGACACTTGACCACCTGAACGTCATTTTGTGACAATTTATTACCTGAACTAAATTGTTGTGACAAAATACAACATACCGTCATAGCGGTTAGAGTTCTGTCAAAAAGAGTCACGTGAGTCCCATGACTACTATTTTATTTCACATTGCCACAAACAGTTTTTTTATGCTAGATTACCGCCTGCAATTTTTTTTTGGGTGTCAAATTAGGCCTTGGTCAAATTCAAGCTTTGGGAAAATAATTTAAAAAACCCGTCTTTCAATTTTTTATTTTATTTTTAATTTTATCAAAATAATCTTGGCAATTTTAAATAGCATTTATGGGCTTTCAACAACTAACTCTACTTCTAGGAAAGCGTTGTAGAGCTAAAGCCCATAAAAATTATAGGGAAATGGCCATCAGTGCCACCAATTTTATAATTTTTTGTCAAAATACCACACCTCCCCAAAATTTTTAGGGGAAATGGCCCTCAGTGCCACCCATTTTATAATTTTTTGTCAAAATACCACACCTCCCCAAAATTTTTAAAACTACCACCTATAAATACATTTTTATTGTCCACTTATTGCCCACATAACACTTTTCTCTGAAATTGTGTTCTCTCTCTCTCTCTCTCTCTCTGAAACCCAGTTCTTCCTCTTCCTCTTTGTTTTTTTCTCTACCCAAATGAAGTCTTGCAGCAACAGTGAAAAGGAATCGGGTGAAATCCCTAGTTTTTGAAGTTTCCCAACAAGGCAAAGAAGAACATGTTTACAATTGACAAAGTGGATTTGATAATCTCACCAGTGGGTTCATGGCCCAAACCCCAGATACATCTTAATCAAGACCCCTGACCAAGCCCACATGAATGAGATTGTGAAATCTGATACAAGCAAACCGATCCTCCCCATTTTGCTCGCACAGAAATCACCAACGCTTACGCTTTGCACAGAAATGGTGGCTGGCCAGTGCCCATTCTATTTTTGGTCAACGTGGAAGGACGAAGTGAACGAATCTTATTCATCATCAGCATCCCCTAGATGGACCAAAAAAAAAAAAAAAAAAAAATTCTCTTTACCCAAATCCTCTTTGTTTTCACTATAAACCACAAGAACAGCAATCGTATTGTGATTTTATTGCGGTTGTATTGTAGTCGTATTGCTTTTGTATTGCTATGGTATTGCGGTTGTACTATTTTTGTAATACAACTACAATACAGCAATACCATAGCAATACAAAAGCAATACGACTACAATATAACCACAATAAAATCACAATACGATTGCTGTTCTTGAAGACTGTAAACCCAGACTTCAAAACCCCCAAAATTGGACCAAAATTCTCAAACAATGGCCACCTAATGCCAACACATGCTGTCATATTCAGAAAAGATGGTTTTGTTTAGGTTGCAAAAGGGATTCGAAGAGAGGTAGAAATTAGGGTTTGGATTTGGGTAGAGAAGAAAACAAAGAGGAAGAGGAAGAACTAGGTTTTGAGGGCAAAGCTGTGGGTTTTGCAGGTTGTTCTTGATCTTCTTCTTCGTGAGGAAGACGAAATTGGGGTTTGGATTTGGGTAGAGAAGAAAACAAAGAGGAAGAGGAAGAACTGGGTTTCAGAGAGAGAGAGAGAACTAAATTTCAGAAAAAGTGTTATGTGGGCAATAAGTGGGCAATAAAAATGTATTTATAGGTGGTAGTTTTAAAAATTTTGGGGAGGTGTGGTATTTTGACAAAAAATTATAAAATGGGTGGCACTAAGGGCCATTTCCCAAATTTTTAAACCTACCACCTATAAATACATTTTTATTGCCCACTTATTGCCCATATAACACTTTTTCTAAGATTTAGCTCTCTCTCTCTCTCTCTCCGAAACCCAGTTCTTCCTCTTCCTCTTTGTTTTCTTCTCTACCCAAATCCAAACCCCAATTTCGTCTAGAGGAAGATCAAGAACAACCTGCAAAACCCACAGCTTTGCCCTCAAAACCTAGTTCTTCCCCTTCCTCTTTGTTTTCTTCTCTACCCAAATCCAAACCCTAATTTCTACCTCTCTTCGAATCCCTTTTGCAACCTAAACAAATCCAAACAAAACCATCTTTTCTGAATATGACAGCATGTGTTGGCATTAGGTGGCCATTGTTTGAGCATTTTGGTCCAATTTTGGGGGTTTTGAAGTCTGGGTTTACGGTCTTCAAGAACAGCAATCGTATTGTGATTTTATTGCGGTTGTATTGTAGTCGTATTGCTTTTGTATTGCTATGGTATTGCTGTATTGTAGTTGTATTACAAAAATAATACAACCGCAATACCATAGCAATACAAAAGCAATACGACTACAATACAACCGCAATAAAATCACAATACGATTGCTGTTCTTGTGGTTTATAGTGAAAACAAAGAGGATTTGGGTAGGAATAAGAGGTTTTTTTTTTTTTTTTTTTTTTTTTTTTTTTTTTTTTCCTATCCTAGGGGATGCTGATGATGAATAAGATTCGTTTACTTTGTCCTTCCATGTTGACCAAAAATAGAATGGGCACTGGCCAGCCACCATTTCTGTGCAAAGCGTAAGCGTTGGTGATTTCTATGCGAGCAAAATGGGGAGGATTGGTTTGCTTGTATCAGAATTCACAATCTCATTCATGTGGGTTTGGTCAGGGGTCTTGATTAAGATGTATCTGGGGTTTGGGCCATGAACCCACCGGTGAGATTATCAAATCCACTTTGTCAATTGTAAACATGTTCTTCTTTGCCTTGTTGGGAAACTTCAAAAACTGGGGATTTCACCCGATTCCTTTTCACTGTTGCTGCAAGACTTCATTTGGGTAGAGAAGAAAACAAAGAGGAAGAGGAAGAACTGGGTTTCAGAGAGAGAGAGAGAGAGAAACACAATTTCAGATAAAAGCGTTATGTGGGCAATTAGTGGACAATAAAAATGTATTTATAGGTGGAAGTTTTAAAAATTTTGGGTAGGTGTGGTATTTTGACAAAAAATTATAAAATGGGTGGCACTGAGGGCCATTTCCCAAAATTATATACTAGCATTTTCTGGGCTGACGGGAGTATACGGATTCTTGATAGTTACTAAACTCTTCTCCTAGGAAAGCATGAAAATAATAACGTATATTGTGCTCCAAAGCAATAGAAAATTTCGATTAGGTGTGACATTTTCTTCACTCCCGAATGCCTTTATCCAATAGTAAGAACGCATGATGTGCTTGAAATCAATAGAAAATTTTGATTTGGTGTGACAATTTCTTCACTCAATGAATGCTTTTATCCAATAGTTCAATTCCTTTCATGCCATATAACAGGGGCCTCTGGACATGACACATGTCGCGCTACTCAGTTTGTAAGGGCATAATTAAAAAACAACCTCGCAAGTCTGAACTTTGTCCAACATCCAAAGCTTTGGGCTTACGACCCAAAAAATAAAAAAAAAATGCACATGAGAAATGTACTCTTATTACGATTGCACGCTACTTCTATGTGTTTTTTTTTGTTGAAATCGAATTTCATTAAATAGAAAGTCAAAGCTAGATTACATCAAAAAATAATTGAGTTCACACAAAATACAACACAAACAGACATAGAGCCCATTACAATAATAAAACTAACAAAATGCATAAAACACACATAAAGGCAAAGAGCCCACAACAGCAAAAGCCCACAAAACACAACACAACATTAGGAAACCCTAACACAAGCCGCACAATCCAATAGATAAAGTCACAAGCTGCAATAAGTGCTATTTGCACTTTTAAGGGCATCCCAAACTACATAAGTGCCACTTAGTGTAAACAACAGAATATACATTCGTGGAGTGAAGAAGCCGATGATAGTGGTTGAGACCAAACGAAGAGACGCAACCTCCAACAATGAGGAGAGAATGCAGTGCAGAAACCTGTAAACAGTACCCGAAAAAACAAAACCAAAGCCTTCACAGCCTAAAAGCGGAAACGAGTTAAATTAATTTTTTTTAAAAGGAAAGAAAGAAAAAACGAAGAAAAGAAAATAGCTCTGCAAAAACAAACCCCAAAATGGTGGAAGAGAAAGGAAAATGAAGGAAAATGGAGGGAAGAGGGAGGAAAAGGAGAGGAACTAGAATGTCTTAAAAATGAAAGGAAAGGAGATTGAGGAAGGAGGAAAAGAAGGCCAGAAAATCTAAAGAAAAAACAAAGGGAGATGAAAAAGAAAGATGGAGAAAGAGGGAGGAGGGGGTGGGGGAGAAAGCCGGAAGAAGGGGGAGAGGGGAGGAGGGTTAGTGACCAACTGCCGCCCAAGAAGCGGCGCCTGAAGAAGAGAGAGGAGCTAGGGTTGAGAGAAAGAAAGAGAAAACTTCTTGAGAGAGTCTAATAATAAAAGACAAGAAGGCAATAAAAGAACTAATTCAGATGATAAGACATGACCTGATTTTTTTCCACTGTTGGAGTTTTCTTTTTCTTTTACATTGGGAGAGAGGGAGAGGAAAACCATAACTGGCAACGTATTGCCAACTGTACATAAATTTATTTTACAAGCATTGCTAATGAGATCATTTATCGATCCTAAGGTTATTACATAAATGTCCTAGTTCAGGCCTTGCATCCATCCATGATGCGAATTTTATCTCAGCTGCAGAAGTGCAGTAGAGGTAAGACCTAAATGAGATAAGGAAAAAGTACCGCCTGCAGATGGAAAAAGGAGATGGTTAGATATAACAGAAAAATGAATTATAATTGTGAAGTTAAAAATTATTTATGCTGCAACATGCTGAAAAACATATAAAAAAAAAAAAAAAAAAAAAAAAAAAAAAAAAAAAAAAAAAAATGCAATACAAATGCATGTTTATTTATTTATTTCATTCAACCATCTGACGAGAGTCGATACAACACAAGCAAATATAGACACACACACACACACACACACACACAACAGCTTTTATTATGACACACCAATACGTGCAGTAAATCCATCTACTTTTTCATTTATATAGCGCACATAGTTTTTCCCTTTTTTTTTCCCTCAACATATCAATATATATGCATGGTTCAGAGAAGAACAGTTCCCATAATTAAATGAACTGGAGGGAAAACAACACCAGGTCACATGCTACAGAGTCTAACCACCAACCAAAGAAAGAAAGGCTTTATACTGTTCATTCCTAACATAAAATTAGGAGATCAAAAAAGAGTTTTTCTCCTCTAGTGATATATGGAATATTAGAGAATAACTAGCCACATCCTACTGTTGGAATTGGTTTAAGTAAGATGAGAGCATATACAGGCACGTGGTAACTATGTTTATCCAATACTTCGAAGTGAATGAAACTGCAATTCAAATGGTTTGACAAAGGCTAAACCCTATTTATCTAAAGGTGGAAGACATGAAAACAAACATACACTCATAAATAAATAAATAAATAAATAAATACTTCAATGGTTCAACCTACCACAGCTTTTACAAAATCATATGGACACAGCCTCTAAATTGGAAACCTACAGACATGTACATGATAATCCTATGTTGCATGGACACGAGCGAACACAATAATGAAGAGACGGAGCTTGAACTAAGGAGCAGCTTCAGAGTTAGACAGAGGTAACAGTCCAATGAGAGGTATGTATGTTCCAAAGAGGACAATTCTTCTTGTGAGGGGCATTGGATTTGGGGAAAAGTGGGATTGTAGTTGCTGCTGTGGTTCATTTTCATTTGGATAATTGATCAAGGTGACTGAGGATGACTTGGTTTTGCTAAAAATCAGTTGTCTAGAGGTCGTTGCAGAATAGGTGCTGGCACAGCTACAACCAAGGATTAAAGTGTTGATACCAGTAATGGGTTAAGAAACTTCGGTGGATTAAAATGTCCATACCGGTAATGTCGATTCCATTCTTCCTCTTCTTCTTTTTCAATTGTTTTACACAGCAACGGGTTAGGAAACTTCAGTGGGTTTACACTGAAATCCACCGAAATTTCAGTAAAAATCAACTGAAATTCACAGATATTGTGTGACATGCTGATATTTTGTCAACAATACTGAAACTTCCAAGCTTTCTACGAAGTTAAGGGCAACACGGGTGAAATTTTGGCAATTCCACCAACATTTAAAACCTTGGCTGCAACGGAGGTAACACCTGCAAGCCTGCAGGCCAGTCTTTAGCTTCGTCTCACATCCTGGCAGCTTTGCCACCAGACGTGGTGGGCATGAAAGGGCCTGGATAAGGATAGAGATGTGATATTGATGATGCTCATTTTCTTTTCATTGAACATTGTCATCTAATAGTGGATTTGGGCTTTGAATTTTGAATTTTGAGCATGATTTGGTTCCGGTTTGGCAGGTGTTTTGGAGCTCAAAAACAAAGGAGCTGTAACTGCCCTGGAGTATGAGGATTTTCTATGTTAACCTCTGCTTCATCACCAAAGAAAAATTGAAGATGATCTTCTGTAAAAGGTTAAACAAAAAAGACTCCACATCATTCAACTTAACCAAACAGGAGCAATCTGGGTTAACGGGCCTGGACTTATTAGTAGTTTGCTGAAATAGAGATGTCTACGTAATTACATGAAGTAGCAAGCAGGCTGAAGTATTTTACTCGGAAAGTAGTTGACTGTGAGCCTGTGAACCATCTAAGAAAATTTCCTCAATATACAACAATTTGAACTCATGCATTGATGATATCTAATAGAGGTTAGCTAACATATCAGGCCCCTCTAAGCAAAGAAAATAGAGTTACGGAAGAAACTTAGGAAGTGCTTTAAGAGTTAAATTGTTGACGAACATAAAAACTACCTTAATGCTTTGATACCCATGTCCATGAGGTATGCTTGATGCTCATCATCATCGTCAGGGAAATTCTCGAGTTCCTTACTATAATAAAGAATATCGTCTCGTAGATGCCCTGCCCCTGCACACCTTTTAATTGAAGGACCAAAGTGAGAAACATCAACAATAAGAGCTAATTACTACTACCACCTTAAGTTATGTTTAAAGATGATCAACTCCCCACAAAATGTAAAACAAGCAAAAATGGTGCAGTTACACAATTACTCAAATAAAACGCAATTCGTCAAGCAAGGATGTATTCTTTCTCAAGTCCACACGAGGAACACACAAAATTACACGGCCAACAGCACAATTTAATGCTTCTATGCTACTGTTGGCCAGACCTGCTTTTACATTTTAATACATTACCTGATGCTTAGACAAGTACGCAGTACCATAAGGCGATAAGTTCGACATGGACTTTCTAAGATATAAAATACCTTTCAATAACTACGTCAACATCTGCTTTGCTCTTGGGACCATACACAAGAACTCTTGTAAGGCTTAGTATGTCTCGGTAGTCACCCATCCTACGAACTTCTTCATCAGAAGCTCGAGAAGGCAAGTCCTCTTCAGTTGTATATGATGGATTCGTTCTAAACAGTAGTTGTGGGTCCTTCGATACAAAGTCAGCTTCTGCACCAAATCTAATACAAACAATAGCCATTGCATATGCAACTCCTCCAAACCCCGTGTGTGATACAAAAAGGTAACACCCTGCAGAGCTATAGGCAAAAAGTTAATTCTATTGAATTACATAATTTACATTAGAAATAAATTAAAAAATTGAACTTCAAAGCAAGGCTCACAGAAACCAGCTTCTTACAAAACTCATAAACTACAATAGTGCTCTGATATCAAAATACACCAAGATAATACCAAAGAATGTCAATAGTAAAAAATAAATAAAAATTGCAAGTCTATTCAGATGACAGACATGGTCTATCACTATATGACCTTTGACTGTTGTTATTATTATTTTTAAACTAAAAAAAAAAACCTCCCTTATCCTCGTTTGTGGTATCATGTTGAGGAACAGGCCCTCAAGCATGCAACTTTGTTTTCTTAATGAAGGGCAATATAATTTTCCCAGTGCAATTTGGTTTACTAAAACAAATAATGGTGAATCAAGAGTACTTTTCTTAACAGCTGCAAATGAGTTTAGTTTGCATTAATAATTTTTATATCTCAAATTTTCATTGTTTAGTATAAGTTTTCTTAGTTGAGACAAATTTTTCATTATGTGGTATTGCTATTTACTGATGGGATGCATACCAGTTACGGATACTTACTCATCTATACAGTATTGAATTGCATCCACATCAGAAGCTAAAGCCTCTCTTTCTCTAGTTAATGGTATTCTTCTATATGTAATATTATAACCCTCATCTTTCAGAGCAGCATATACTTCAGCTGGTGTCTTCACATCATCTGCAAAGATATTTTCCAAGTATCCAATGACACTGGACTGATTCAATGCCGGGCTATATTCTTCACGATGTAAAAGCATACGGCCACCAGACCGTCTGACCTCAGATAGTATATCTTCTTTTAGTCGTGCTTCCATGTGTTCCACCTGCATATGATTGCAAGAATTTTAATTTTGAGATCATATTTAGCCTAATGACTTATATTAAAAATAAAAAATAAAAAACATACCACCGGGCCTGTGATTCCCACATGCTTGAGTGTATCAACAGGTTTGTTTAGCTCCCGTAAGACAAATGGTGTGCCATTAATGTAAACAACTGCTTCTTCTCTCAGATCAGTTAAAATCACTTTCTGAGCAGCAGATCCTTCTGCTTTGGGCTTGGCACCTAAATATGCTAGCATCTCTTTGGCACCAGGAATTGTTGGCGTAGCCATGCTGTACACAGGATATCCATCCACCTGGTTCAAATAAAAATTTTAGGGTTAAAAGTGGCAAAGTCTCTTTGCACTGTAAAAGTTACCTTCTCAGTATAGCCACACTAAGGCTGTTACATAAAAAAATAAAAAATAAAAATTTATGTATATTATTTTTTTAAATGTGGGCCTGCTTATAATAAAAAACAGCTTGATTCAGACAATAACTCCCAGTGCCAGAGACAGCCTTTTAACAGATCTTCAGGCATAGACTATAGCCTTTATGGCAAAACCATTGTGCATTATTTAGTGTTTGTGTGGTAGTACTCTTGGCTGCACCCAACACTTCGCATCAGATGCATTTACATAATTAAGCATGCTTTTATCTTATATTTATGATCTTCTATATTATAGTGTCTCATTCATATCCATGTATCTCCTAGTTCATGCATGCATTCAGCTAGGATTCATATATCATCCAAGAGTGACATTTATGTAGCATTTATGCATTCATGTATCAACTAGCTACATAAGGGTGACTTCTTCTACCCTTAGTCAATCATTCTAAATTTCGATTATAATCTATCCTAAAGATCTCTCTTTGAGAGTGTTATTTCTCCTTGTGGATTTAAGTCATTTTCCTGGTAGAAAACGAAGATTTTCTTCTAGTTTTCGCTTCTGTTCTGCATCAAGTAATTCCTGGACCTTTCCAGAAAGACCCCTTAAATTTCCCATACATCATTAGTAACTAGCCCCGATATAACATTAATAACAGCTAGACAGACCCCCTATACTCCTGGTGGGGTATTAATAACCAAAAGACAGGCTCCCCATACATAATTAATAACAATGGCACTTGAACATAATTACTACTTAGTACTTAGTAAAGTTGTCCAGGCATCTCTCAATAGATATAGTAAGATGTATTTACTTCATCAATCCCTCCCCCTTGGAAGAAATTAGTCTTCGAGTCAAGTGTTGACATCCAATCTCATCTTTTGTGCCATCATTGTATGGATACAAACTGAGACGATGAATATGTGATCAATTCCCAAACGCCAACGTAAATCAACTCTAAATGCATTTTCTCCATTTTTCTTGATGATGTGGTTCAGTCCATATTTTTGCTAAATTCATAATAAGAGCCAACAGGAAATCGCCCCACCTTAACTAAACCATTCGCTTTTTCAGAAACTCTGGACACTCCTTTTCTTATCTGCATAGGCCTTGTATTTGGCATTTGAATCTTCAATCTTCAGCCAGCTTTGACCCAAATCAAAGCAATGATTCAGTTGCCTCCCATATACATTTTCCAAGGGGCTTTTGCCGGTAGTTCGATTCTAGAATAATTATATGCAAATTCAGCTTGTCAAACGTCTTCCCATTGTTTTGGGTTCTGTACTGGTACTGATTTCAATTCCTATTTTCCTTCCTTTACGAGCAACACAGAAGCAGCCCCATTATGTTCAAGTTCAGTTAAAAACTGTCAAGATGTCAAGCAAGGATGTACTTCGTTCTTCTTGGACTCAGGGAAGTCATCTTCCTTCATCGTAGCTAGGACCACCTTAACTTCATTCTTAAAAAAAGGCATAAAAATTCTTTTCACGATGGTGAACAGTCTTATTATCAAATTTCCATGGCCTCCCTAATTCTTCCATGTCCACCACATCACATAAAACTTTGTGTGAGTACATTTTTCCAATGGAAAAGGGAACAAGAAATTGTTGTGTCATCTTAACCTCTCCTCCCTTTTTGAACAAAGCTATATGGTAAGGTCTTGGATGTTGCTGAACCTAAAGATTCAGTTTTGTCACCATTTCTCTAGATACCAGATTTTAGCTACTTCCTCCATAAATGATAACATTACAAAACCTCCCACAAGAAGAGTCTAGATTTCCAAAGGGAAATCAAGGAAAGCATTTGGAAACTTTTAGAAACTGATAATCTTTTATGTAAAATATTTCTAGGCTAACTTTTTTTCTCACCACTGGACTAGACCCTTTTATAATACGAGAAGACCACCCCCTGACTCACTTCACCTCAATATAAATATTCAAACATATATGTCAGTGCAAAATCAACCAACTGCATCAAAGAGAAAGCAGCTGTCTTCCAGACAACTCTATTGCCAAATGAAGTAATCCTGTTAAATGCATTTTATACAGTTGATTTGCAGCCTTATCCAATTGCATGGCAGACTCACTTACCCTTACTTAATCAAGCGGGAAGAAATGCAAGCATACCTTATAAACATGTGGTGCACCATGAATTTGTATGTGGCTAGAAGTCCTCTGACCTGGAAAGAAATACATTTTAAGTATAGATCCTTTCCCCAAAACAGAACCACTACGGGTCTTGACAATAGCCTCCATGACAGCATCTCCATGTTGAGACTCATACGGTGCTCTCAACTCCTCCTGAGTTCCAAAACCAAAATGAAAGCAATTATATAATCCATCCCAAAACAAGAAGGAAATGTTTACTAAGCTCTTAAAGTCTCTAAATTGCCCAGTTAAAAGGAAAAATAAAGGGAAAATGAAAAAGAAAAATTCTCTAAGTCAACAAGTAGAAGGGATTTACAGGGACAGTAAAAAATCGTCCGGGCCTTAATCTTATGCTCCATTTCATTGCTTGAACTTCTGGTCTCTGATGCAACCAATTCTTAAATGTCATCCTAGATTCTCCTTGCCCACAAAATCCATCAAATGCTTCACTTCCTAAGTATGCTGCAAAAGCAATTAAACGAAAGTAGCGCTCCAAGTACTCAGCGCCACGATTCAATGCCACCCTCCTTACCCTTGGCTCAACATGTTGTTGATTGAATACCTTTCTATATTGCAGAACGGCTTGGCGTATGTTCTGTAGAGCAGAACATCTATCAATTATAGCATCTAAGGCTTCTCGGCATTCCACCCCATTATCAAATAATCTTGTTATTTTCCACAACAAGAGGATGTCATTCATGCCAAATACACGGCCTTGATCCTTTTCATTTCTTACAGCTGTAACACTGGAGGTTGATGCAGCACCATTACCTCCTGATTCTTCACCACTTGAGCTACCACCATCCACCTCTTCGAGGGTAATATTGTCAACCAGGATTTTGATAGGTCTCCCGTGGTCAATTCGAAGTTTCAAAAGGCAAGCAATTACAGTACCTGTGGTTGTCCTTCCTCTGCCCATCTGTGAATATTAAAAGAAAACAAAAAAGAACAGAGGAAGTTCAGGGGAAAGAAACGAATACAAGGGAAAAGAAAAATACATTAGATTGATCCAGAGAAATTTAATGTCTGTGTATAGAAAAAAAGAAAGGAAAATAATTAAATGTCAACCTGGCAATTGAAAACAAAAGCAGTGTCCTTGGATGCAGAAGCAATATTAATAGCCAACGTGTCAAAGTCAGAACTTTTGGGAGCTTTACCATCAGTGATGGGCACACGCGCATACTTTATGGGAAAACCATCTGTCTCCAAACCTTTAAAAACCTCAAGTGGGGTCTGAATAGCCTCAGAATTTACATGTTCCCAAGCATCAAATATTTGCCCATCATCTGTTTCATGAATAACCATTATAGCACCCCCATAACGCTCAGCTTCTCGCAGTATATCTTCTTTCAGTCGAGCTTCCATCCTCTCCACTCTCTCACGATCGATACCCTGAAAGAAGAAATAATGGTTTCATATTTTTCTTTTGGACAGGAAACATATATACTTTAGTTTCTCAAAAGTAAAAGATCATGGTTTCATTATAACCTAGTCCACTACAAACAGAAAAAGAAAATCCAAGGCAATTGTATGAACCATGACAGTTGTAATCATGTCTTGGACTGTATCCTTGTAGGGTCCTAGATGCCATGCCATGCCATGCCATGTTCATGCTATGAGATCTTTCTGCTTGAAACTCCAAAAGTGCATCAATTGAGGTATGTATTCTGTTTGGGTTACGAGAAAGGGACAAAATCCTTTTCCATTGCAGTAGAAACTCTCAGTATCCACAGTGCTAGCTGTGAAGACATTTGTCTTGACATGCTTCAACAAAATTAAATTTATGGACATCAAGCTGCACCGGTGCCATACACACTGAACATTGAGTGACAAGTTTTGTCATAAGTTCTCTCTATTTCTAATAGAAAATATGACTTGAAGATTAGATGGACGGAACAAATGCTTTTTATTAGAGGTGGGAGGGTTACTTTTGTGCAAACAGAATTGGAAAGATGTTTTACCGGAGGGCCGAGAAGGGAAAAAGAGTACATGGTAGACTGGGTATTGGTTGAAGGGCTTAGAATTTAGGGAAAAAGAGTATATGGTCTAGATGCCAGTGGGTGGGAGTTAAGTGTTGTCTTAACAGGAACCCGTCGAAGCCTTGGAAGTATACATAACGGGCTTAAAAACTCAGTTTTGTGGTGGGAAATGGGGAGCGGATCAGATTCTAGCAAGATAAATGAGTGGGGAATTTTCCTTTCTGTTTATCATTCCCCCGTCTTGATGTGATAGACCTAGCTTTTGATAGTTTGGCCTAGATTGTGGCTGTCCATGTGCTAGCTGTTTTTGTGGGATTGTGGAGTGCTAGCTGTTTTTTGTGTAGTTTGGGTAGGAGAGAGATAGATCTTTTTAGATGTACAGTGCGGATGACTAGGAGAGCTCTTGGGAAAAGGTGAGGTTCTCCCGTCTTTAGGGACGTCTCATTTTTTTGGGGGACCACTTGTTCACTAAGTCTTGTACTGTGTTTTTGAGTTTCTTAAATAAAATTTTGTTTATCATAAAAAATAAATAAAACAACAAAAGAAAAAGATTGAGCAGGCACAGCCATCCTGCAAGAGAGACTCCGCTGTTGAACTTCGTTATGCATGTACAGTGTTCATATATATAAGATAATATTCTCTTACCTAAATTCCATAAGATGCTTATGTTTTCAAACAATGAGGTTGCCTCACATACTTCAGGAAATAATGAACCTAATCAATGGTCCAGATTCACAATATTGCAACACAAGCCTCCTCTGTTGCCAAAATATCTCACAAGAGAATATATCTGTATATAATATATGCAAGTCTTTTGACAATTTGAACATGATTGAGTTTTTTATGTAATCTAGCTTAAATACTATAAGGAAATGCTCTCAAATACCACTATTACTGTAGCAATTTTTTTTAATGTAATCGACAGAATATTGATACTTTATCGATTTTATATTAAGACTATTTGGGACCGTTTTCTATCAAAATTATGGGACAATATTGACAACATATCGAGATGAACGATATAATGGGACTATTTGCTACAGTAATATGCTATTTGAGAACTTAGCTACAGTCATAGTGATATTTGAGAGCATTTCCCTAATACTGTAAGGAGCAAAATGTACACTTCCACGGTATTTCTGGTATGAGCAGATAACTCAGTGTAAAGTAGCATGCAAAGTGTCTAATGGTTATGTTCGACTTCAAGCAACAAGTACTCTTCCCTAATTTAATTTGAAGAAACATCATATAGATATGACATGCAAGGTAAAAAATAAGAAAAATTACCGTGTATTCAAGCATATTTTTGTATGGTCGTTCAACCTCACGGAGTACAAACGGTTTTCCATTGATGTAAATCACAGGTTCTTCTCTCATATTATGCCAAAAAACTGGTCGACCATCTTTGGAGCTACAAATCTTTTGGATGACAGACCGTATACCATCAATTGTTGGATTTGCGACTCCATAAACTGGAAATCCAGGGACCTCCCGAAAATTAGGAGCACCATCCACTCCTTCTGGTAAATTTTGGTTTTGACAACCAGGACAGTGGTCACTTTTCAAAACTGTTGGCTACCAAGAACCTCGCCCTTTCTCAAGGCCGCAACTACACCCATCTCATAAGGCCGGCCATCAGCAGATTCAGCAATCTTCTTTAAAGATGGTTTCAAACTTGCATATCCAAGTGCACCCATGGATCTCTTCTCAGCAACCTACAACAAAGGAACAATTTATGCAAATGAACGTAGCCAGATGGAATCCCGATAACTAATCTATGTTTCTATTTCTTTCATGAATTGGACAAAAATTCACGAATAGAGATTCATAGTTATATATTCATGTCATTATGCCAAGAGCTAAAAAATTACTAACCAAGTATGCACTTAAACAATGCAGCCTGTCAGCTCATTATATGAATTTGGACTCATCTCAACTTGTGGTGCACGTATACTTCCTTGGGTCAGAATCATACATGTATACTCCTCTCACCTTATGTATCAGTGCCACAAAATTGAACTTTTTCGGGTCAGACAAGGCCTCCAGGCTTGGGCCAATCTAAAAAAAGTTAAAGAGGCAGGACCCTTTCTGTGATTTTAAAAATTTGAACCTTCTAACAATTAAGGACAATTAGTCCAAAGAGAGCACTACGCTACTGACCATATTGCAAGGCAACAAAGCCTATTGACTAACATGGTGAACAAGGCTTCTAAATCTTTTTCTTTCCTTCCTCTCTGTTTTGGATGCAAGAACATAAAGCTTACTCTGCCATTGACCCAACAGAAAAGTAAATTCCAAATCTTATGGCCCTCTTTTATCCAACAAGAATGAATATCTCCAATTTCTTTAAACTCTCTGCGTCTTTGCTTTCTAACAAGAATCAGTGGAAGAAGAAAAGAAATAAAAAGCCAAAAGTTGCAGAAGAATATTACATCCTTGGGGTTTTATTGAAGGAACAGGACTCTAATGAGCCAAAAGAGGTAAGACCTTTCCAAAAGCATTTTCTGTCCTTAATCAGCCTTTCTTTCTTTTTTATGGGAGAGTGGAGTGCTGCAGGAAAGAGATGGGTTACATTAAAATGGTGGGTTCCAAGATAGTGATTAAAGGCTCAAGTCAACGTCCATGGAAAGACATTTCCCAAGGCATTATTAACTCCTTTTATTTTCACTATCATTTTGTGGTGAGAAACAAGGAAACAGTAAAAATAATGGGAATAGAGCCCCATTGGGTAAACACCTTTGTGTTTCTGCTTTTCCTTGTCTATATATAGACTGTCAACTATCATAATCTTCCCATGGCTAGATTCTGTGTAAAGTCATTTCTTCTTTTCAGCAGGACTTTGGTTTCTACAGAAATTAAACGATTCCAAAGTTGGGAAGTTGTCTTAATTATTTTCTTGTTAGAAAAATTTTCTTTTATAATAAGAAAACTTGGAAGTTAGAGCCTTCATGGTATTTTCTTGTAATCTTAAGCAAAGACATCTTTTTGAGTTGTACTTTCTTGTTTTTACTTGTTCCTTCACAGATTGTGGATTCTGTATCCGCTCTATGGTCAATAATCGGAATGAAAACCAATTTGATTACTACAATGCCCTTTTACAAAAGAAAATATATTTTCCATAGAAGAGTAAAAAATCCTTCAAATTTAAAACAAAATGATATGTTAGATGGCTATTGGTAAAAATAAAACTCAAACTATTTAATGAATTAATAGTACCAAAAAAACCTATTGAAATAAAATTATTTTAGAAACTGATAAACTGATATTTGTAAACATCTTTTAAAAATATTTGATAAGGTGTACAGTGTTAGGATTTTGGCTCTTCAAATATGTCCTAATTGGTTTAGGATTGTTTTAGGAAAATTAGAGGTATACCGATTCTTGTCCTAGAGGGATTAGGAAAGAATTTCAATTTTCCTTATTCAATTTAGGTTTGGATTTCTAGAAGTCTATTTGGATTTGGATAAGTGTAATTTCCTAATCCACTTAGGAATATGAATTCAATCAGCCTTGGGACGTGTAAGCCAACTCTATGTCTATAAATAGGGTGCGGCAGGGCTTATTTTAGAGAGGAAAAACAGCCAGAGACAGCCGAGAGTTTTGAGATTAGTTCTAGGGTTGCAAAAGTTCTGTAATCTCTATTATTAATCAAAGGAGCGGTGATTTCTCTAGGTAGAGAAATCACAACTGGATGTAGGCAAAAGTTCTGCCGAACCAGTATAATTCTTGTGTGTTTCTAAGTTTTCTAATATTTGCTAGTTTAGCCTATTGCCGTCGGTTACATTAAAGAACAAGATCTAGTGTGCGGATTATTTAACAATTGGTATCAGAGCTTGGCTCAAGGGGTTCTATGATGTCTAAAGGGAAGATGAATGCGGATCTAGGACCTGCGTTAAAGCCCTTTGACGACAAGGATGACTTCACGGACTGGCAAAGGATGATGAAGAACGTACTGATACATAAAGATTTGGATGATGCACTCAACGGTGAGAAGCCAGCAAGCATGACAGACGCAGCATGGACTAAGGTTCTCAAGAAGGCCAAGAGTTCCGTCGAGATCCATCTCACAAGTTCAGCTCGGTCACACATCACCGAAAAGATGACTGCCCATGAAGCATGGGAAAAGTTGGAGAATGTTTATATGGGCAAAACAGTGTCCAATAAACTTTTTCTAAAGGATGAACTATTCGGACTTCGACTGGAAGGAGGTGATATTAAAGATCACGTATGCAGGTTCCAGAATTGCATTACTAATCTTCAAAAGGTCGAAGAAACTTACAAAGATGATGATATGTCTATCATCTTGCTGAGGTCTCTACCTTTGTCTTTCAAGCACTTTCGAACAACTCTAATGTTTGAAAAAGAGTCCCTGAAGCTTGAAGACGTAATTCAAGCTCTTCAATCATATGCTAAACTAGATGGTATAACTGAAAGCTCTCAAGGGCTTCATGCCAAAGGCAAGGAGAGGGGGTGGGAAAAGACAAAGGAAGAGAAAACAGGCAAAGTTGGGTCAAAATCCAAGAAAAAAAAGGAAAAGAAGGAAGGTTGCTTCAAATGTGGTTCAGCCGATCATTGGAAGAGGAACTGCAAGATTTGGAAAGAGAAGAAAGCCAAGAGGGAAGGAAGCTCAGGTTCAGCTAGTGCAATCACCGAGCATGAGAGTGACAGGGAGCTTCTTTCAGTAACTTCAGGCTCCAAGGCTTTCACAAATTGGATTTTGGATACTGGATGCACTTTTCATATGTTTGCAGTAAGAGAATGGTTCGATACTTACAAAGAAGTCGGCAGTAGGGAAGTTTTAATGGGGGACGATTCTTATGTCCTGTAAAAGGAATCGGCACTATTCGAATTAGAATGTTTGATGGGATGATACGAGTTTTAGGGAACGTTAGATATGTCCCTAGACTAAGAAAGAATTTGATTTCCTTGGGTACTTTAGATGAGGCCGGCTATGGGTACGAGTTTAAAAAGGGAAGACTCAGGGTAGCCAAAGGATCATGGTGGTAATGCGGGGTGACCTACAACCCAATAAGCTGTATAAGTTAATTGGGGCCACTATAGTTAGGGGAGCAGCTATTTCTGTAAATCAAGGTATAGAAGACAAGACTAAACTCAGCCATCATAGGCTTGGGCACATATGCCAAAAAGGGTTGCAAGAATTACACAAGCAAGGCCTATTGGAAGGCATGTCATCTTGCAAACTGGACTTCTGTGAATATGTGTTCTTGGAAAGCAAAGGAAGGTATCATTCACGAGTAGCAGTGCAGATAACCGAAGCAAGGAACAACTCAGCTATATTCACTCAGATGTTTAGGGCCCTGCACCAACCAAATCAAATGGTGAAGCCAGGTATTTGTTACTTTCATGGATGATTTTCTAAGGTGGTTTGGGTTTATTTCATGAAGAAAAAATCCGAGGTTTTTGCAAAGTTCAAGGAATGGAAAACTAAAACCGAGAATCAAACTGGAAGAAAGATCAAGTACCTGAGAAGTGACAATGGAGGTGAATATACAAGTAATTTGATTAACAGATCACCATCTACAATTCTCGATTTTAAGAGTGCAGAATAGGTATGGTCTGAGAAGCCGGTGGACTATTCCAAGCTCAGGGTATTCGGCTATAGTGCTTACGCACACATTCCAAATGATGAAAGGTCCACGCTCAAACCAAAGTCTACACATTGCATATTCTTAGGTTTTGAGAAAGGAGTGAAGGGTTTCAGGATATCAACAACAGGAAAAAGGTTGTCAGCCGAGGTGCTGTCTTTGATGAGACAACCATGGCTCTGGATAAAGTCGAGAGCAGTATGGAGAAGAAAGACGATGCTGAAATTGAAGCAACAAAGATTCCGTTAATCAGTTTAGACGAAGAAGAAGCTCAGGTGGAGCAAATTGAGCAAGATGCCGAATCTGATGGTTTTGAGGAAGAAGAAGAGCATCAACATCATCACCAATTAGGAATCAAGTGGAGCAAGAAACATGGCAGATTGAAGGCACTCTAATCCGCAAGACATCCCAAAGGGTTCAAACTCCAACCAACAATCCACCTATATTCCAGAGATGCATAGCACTGGACAAACCTAATCGGAACAAGAAGAAACCTGATAGGTTTGGGTTTAACCAAGACGAAGTTAATTATGCTCCCAACATTAGTCAAGGAGATCCAACTACTTATTGAGAAGCTATAGCAAGTGATGAGCGAGATAGTTGGATAAGTGCTATGACAGAAGAAATGGAGTCTCTCAAGAACTCTGTTTGGGAGTTGGTTCCTAAGCCCAAAGACAGAAAGCTAGTTGGATGCAAGTGGGTATTTAGGAAAAAGGAAGGACTACATGAACAAGATGTATTGAGATTCAAAGCAAGGCTCGTGGCTAAAGGGTACTCACAAAAGGAAGGGGTAGATTATGATGAGATCTTTTCACCCGTAGTCAAGCATACTTCTATCATATTGCTTTTAGCAATGGCAACTCAGCATGACATGGAGATTGAGCAAATGGATGTGAAGATAGCATTTCTTCATGGGGATTTAGAGGAGACAATTTTCATGGCTCAACCATAAGGGTTTGTTGAATATGGGAAAGAGAACCTAGTATGTCAGCTAAGGAAGTCCCTGTATGGCCTGAAACAGTCTCCAAGACAGTGGTACAAGAGGTTCGATTACTTCATGCTGAAAATCAATTTTAGAAGATGTTTATATGACTGTTGCATGTACTATCATGTGTTCCAAGATGGGATTATCATATTGCTATTGCTATATGTGGATGACATGCTAATCGCTTTTCAAGACAAGTCTAGAATTCAAGACTTGAAGAAGATGTTGAGCGAGGAGTTCGACATGAAGGATCTAGGTGCAGCACAGAAGATCCTTGACATGGAAATTCAGAGAGAGAGGACCGCTGGAAGGATCTGGATATCACAAGCCAAGTATATTCATAGGGTTCTTGCGAAGTTCAACATGCAAGAAGCAAAGGTAGTTTCGACTCCTTCGGCAGCTCACTTCAAGTTAAGTGGGCAACAGTGTCCTAAGTCCGAGGAAGAGCAGCAAGTAATGGAGAAGGTGCCTTATGCTAATGTCGTGGGCTGCCTTGTGTATGCAATGGTATGCACATGTCCAGACATAGCTCAAGCAATCAATGTCGTTTCCAAATACATGGCAAATCCAAGAAAGCAACATTGGGATGCAGTCAAGTAGATTTTGCGTTATTTGAAGGGTTCTTGGCTACAAAGGATTATGTTTGAAAAGCAAAAAGAAAATGCAGGGGTGTTGGGATATATGGATGCCGATTATGCAGGGAACTTGGACAAGAGAAGGTCAACTTCTGGTTATGTGTTTACATGTGCAGGAGGACCGATCAGTTGGAGGACACTACTGCAACCAATTACAGCTTTGTCGACTACAGAGGCAGAGTATATTGCATTGGCTGAAGCTGGAAAGGAAGCAATTTGGCTTAGTGGCTTGGTAAGTCAAATGGGAATCACCCAAGATTGTGTGAAGCTGAAGTGTGATAGTCAAAGTGCCATTCACTTGGCAAAGAATCAAGTTTTTTTCTGGAAGATCAAAGCACATTGAAGCAAGATATCATAGAATCAGAAATTGGGTGGAGTCTAAGGAGATTTGGATTGAAAAGATTCATACGGATGACAATGCCGCAGATTTCCTTACAAAAATAGTGCCGGCCAAGAAGTTCAAGCATTGCTTGAACTTGGTCAATCTCGTTGATTGATTAAAGTGGAGCACCTCCTCACTTGAGGTGCAATGAGGCAAGAAGATTGCCAAGGTGAAGACTCTTGAAGATTTCCAGAACTGCTTCAAGGAGGTTCAAAGATACTCTGGGGTGCAACGATCAAGACTTGGTTTGACTCACCAAGGTGGAGATTGTTAGGATTTTGGCTCGTCAAATATGTCCTAGTTGGTTTAGGATTGTTTTAGGAAAATTAGAGGTATACCGATTCTTGTCCTAGAGGGATTAGGAAAGAATTTCAGTTTTCCTTATTCAATTTAAGTTTGGATTTCTAGAAGTCTATTTGGATTTGGATAAGTGTAATTTCCTAATCCACTTAGGAATAGGAATTCAATCAGCCTTGGGACATGTAAGCCAAACTCTATGTCTATAAATAGGGTGCGGCTGGGCTTATTTTAGAGAGGAAAAACAGCCGGAGACGGCCGAGAGTTTTGAGATTAGTTCTAGGGTTGCAAAAGTTCTATAATCTCTATTATTAATCAAAGGAGCGGTGATTTCTCTACCTAGAGAAATCACAATTGGACGTAGGCAAAAGTTCTGCCGAACTAGTATAATTCTTGTGTGTTTCCAAGTTTTCTAATATTTGCTAGTTTAGTCTATTGCATTCGGTTACATTAAAGAACAAGATCTAGTGTGCGGATTATTTAACATACAGTGAAAGGGCTCTCAAAGTTTTTTTTATTTTTGGTGAACTCAAAATTAAAATTACAAATCCAACCAAAAGAAAAAGGAAAAACAACCCATCCACCCAACCCCTCTCTTCCCTGACCATCGACAGAACGCAGCCACTCCAACCAAAGCCCCTCCTTAGATACTTAATGACTCCTGATTTGGTTATTGTTAATAAGGAGGACTCTTGAATAAAAACTTAAAAAAAATACTGTTTGGATTAATGAACTACAGTCTGAAGTGGGCCCCAAAAAGTATCTCCATTTTTCCTAAAAAATGGGGTCCATCCCTGGACGGGCCTTGTATATAAATTCGTTAGCATCCTATGAGTATCAATCAATCGCTTGACACTGTCAAATGCCATATTGTTAATCTTCGAAATATTATGCCCGTTATAAGAACTACCCAAGTCAAATGTTTAAAATCTATCACATACAAAGTAAAAGTTTTGGTGCCACCACAGCCCTGTCTCTAAGTGTCATCTCATTTGTACCTTGGAAAACGAGAATTAAAAGGAAGCAAGAAGATGAAATTTGGAAGCTCTTTACGAAGAAAAAGAAAAGGAATACAAAAAACTCAAATGCTAAACCTTTCATTTTTACCTGCGAATAATGCTATACAGTTCTGGCCTAGCTTTCATCCAGTCAGCAAAACTGCTATAACCAACGGAACTAGAGCGGAGGGCTGCTCTCTCTGAATGAATGTACACGGCAAAGCATATAAGAAAGTAGTATCGTTCCAAATACTCCACGAAAATGAAAGTGACGCCTCCCTTTTCATCTCATTGGTTGGCGCAGAATACTATTGCGATAAGTGGCAATTGCTTCACGTAAGTTCTGTACTTGGATTCAATAGAAACATTTTTACTGAGATCAAAATTCTATGATAAAACATGAAAACTTTACCTTAGATTATACAGAGCAATAAAATCATACATTAAAAAAGAGAGAACAAACAAATCCAAAGTTTGACATGCCATACCATAAAGTTAAAGAAATGAGTAAAAAACTATACCTGCATAGAGGCGCACTTGTCAATAACTTTATCCACTTGTCTTTTGCCTTCAACACCACCCTAAAGACATGTTGTTGATTAACAAAATACTCGAGAATACATTAACTGTTCTACCATAACAATAACCAACAAAAGAAGAAATCAAATACCTCTAATACTCGAATCAAGCTTCTTATGACTGCATATTCTCCTCTACGAATCGCATCTTCTGAGTTTGGAAAATTGTCAGTGACAATTGCACTGGAGTCAGAAACTTTCCCGATTGAATTGGTTCTTGGAATACCTATTTCATTTGAAGATAATATACAATTAAGAAATCCTTTAAAAACAGAACCAACCGCACATGTAAAAACCAATAAAGGACTTGATCTAAATTAGAGTCACCATAAAAACAATAATTCTAAACATTCCAGGGACTCCTAAAAAAATCCATCATAAAATGCAGAAAATAGTTTATTTTTTAAATGGAGGAATCTGCTAACTTTCGGTATTATCTCGGGATTGAAGATTTTTATTTATATTTATTTTTAAATGAGAAACTTTTATTGCACAAAACAAAGCAGAAATACAGGAACAGAACAGGGGTGGCCAAGGGAGGCCACACAAGCCCCAAAAACAAAGAACACCACCTTAACAGCCTATCACATTACAAAACTACCACTATCCAATCCAAATGAATGAAAACTGAAGTTAATATCCTTAAATACTGAATAAGTGATGCCCACAATGATGCCCAAAAACGAAGCCAGTCCCAAAGCGGGTCGATCTTGTCACCCTTATCATCATAAAAAATTCTCTTATTCCTCTCCATCCACACCACCCAAAACACAGCCATCATAGCACACCATCCTCAGGATTGAAGATTAATAGAGGCAAGTGTTTAATGACAGGGATAAATGCACGGAAAGATATGAAGTATTTGGGTTCATTGCTCAGAACCAATAAAAAAGCAATTAGCCTTTGGTATCTTGTTGTGGTACAGGTAGAGAAGAGGCTAGAATCCAATCAGTTTTAAGCAGTGTACCCATATACTATCTTTCGCTTTTCAAGATTCCCAGTAATGAGACGAAGAGATTATTAGAAAATGTTTTGTGGGAGGTGGTGGGAGAGGATAAGGAATCCACAATCCACTCTTTTTTTATTATTTTTTTTATTTTTAAAAGAAACATAATTTATTAAAGTAAAAATTCTAATTACAAAGAGTGGATAAGGAATCCACAATCTAGGATAGAACAAGTAAAAACAAGAAATTACAATGATGTAAAATAGAACACGCTCACTGAGCAAAAATTCTAATCTCACTTTACAGCTGCTAACAAATCCAACATAATAGAAGAATGAGCATAATCCTTAAAATCAGCCGAAACGATGCCCATAAAGCTGCCCAGAACCTCACTCTATCCCAAAAATCATTTACCCCGCGACTTTAATCCTCAAAGATTATTCTATTGCACTCCAACCAAATGTTCCAGAAAACTGCCAACAACAAACAACCCCCATAATGTTTTAGCTTTCTTCTCCCTTCCCAAAGCCACAAACTTTGTACTCAGAAGCTCAAAGCATCCTTTTGGAATAACCCAGCTAGCTTTAATCTCCCTAAACAGTTTTCCACCACAATTGTAAAGAATAAGGGCAGTGTAGAAAGACATGATCCACACTTTCCATCATCAGATTTACATACATAGGGCACAGCATTGAGGAGATAAACAAATAAAAGGCCTTCTCTTTTGAACTTGATCGCAATTGTTAACCTTCCCAAGAGCCACCTGCCATGCTAGAATTTCACACCTTTGGAGGTGCTTTTGAATTCCAAATCTGAGAATAGGGTGTGAATTCCTGCAAGTTTCCTCTGTTGGAAAGGAATGTACTTCTCCAACAATGACTTAAGTTGCACACAGCTCACTACTAAACTCATATTTATCCGCCTTGGAAATTACTTTCTTATCCCCTATGGATGTGATTGAGCTACTTTAAAACGAAACTGGTGAGCCGAAAAGCAACTCTGAAACAGCACTAGAGCCTTCTAACGTATGTATACAGAACG